AATCCCTTCAATGTCTTTATCTCTTCGTTGCATTTGCTCAATTGTAGTTTGCCATTGTTCAAGTAGTTCCTGGCGTTGTTGATGAGCTCGTCTAAAATCTTCTGCTACTTTATCTACTTCTAGCTGTAATCCGTTTATAGTAAACCAGTAAGTATCTATTGAACTATTATAAAGTGATATACTTGTAAGCGAAATTTCGAAAGATGCTTTCGATACGAACCTGAGAGGTAAGTGTTTGAGTTGCTTCAAAATCTAATTGCTTTTTAAGTTTGCTAAGTTTTTCTGTGTTTTTCTCCGATTTTAATGATAGATCCTATTGCATTAAGTTTGTGGCTATTAACGTACAGATTCAAATTATAATTTATTATTTTATGTACTGTAATACCCATAATTACTTACTGTAACTTTAGTTTCGTCCACTCTTGTATATTTTTGCAAAATTAGAGCATCTTCATCTTTATTAGTACATTCTTCAAGCCATGCTTCAAGAGCCTACAATTTCATTGATGAGCATAAAGTATTCAGTTATCTATAATAAAGTGTCTAACTTTGTATTTACATCATAATATCTATTGAACATAAATTGTTTACCTGTTGATCCCATTTAACTTGATCTTTGATATCATCAATTTTTTGATTATTTTTAAAAATGACATTCTAATAGGTAGAAATATGATTATTAATGGCAATGATTTGATTACTTTTTTTAAGATACCGTTATCACAGTATATGTATAAAAGTAATACAGTTAAAATTTTATACACAAGAGATGTTATTTAACTGGAATAACATTTGCCGTTCGCGGGTCAAGTGGTTTACGTAATTATTCTGCATCTCCACTGTCACTGTAACAAACCTGGTATATATTCATTTTGTCTTTAGTCTCAGAAGCTAAATTTGCAATACGTTGTAGTTCTATGGCAATGCGGCCCTTTTCACGATTTGCTTTTTAATAGTAACAATAACGAACAGTTTAACAGGGTATTATATCTGGATTTTAATAGACCGCCAATGAAATTGGTATATTGAAGATTTGGTTATACAATCATTCAATTACAATAATGTTCTACTTATCAAATAGCTATAACATACCAAGTTGCAGAAAGTGTTTCTCACTTTGATTTTCATTTTGTCTGGCACGACACATTGCCTATCAAAGTTACGTATGTTACATTGGGATTGTAAGGGTAAAAGAGCAGGTTGAAACAATTAATTTAAGATTTCGATTAGAGTAGTGGGCATGCATTATTTCTTAGGCTAACCTGAGTCTGCTGCCATTCTTGCCTGACATTTTTCATATGCTCTTCCATAGCTCTTATACGATCATCATGCTCATTATTGTGCATTTTTAACGACGTATTTTTTTGCTCGTTTAACCGTATCTAAGAATCATTGAGGATAAGATATTATAATTGGATATAATTTAGTACGTCAGAGAGTGAAAGATACTTTCTGATGGTTTTTAAAGGAATAAAGGTGAAGTAGTAGAATCTACCATACAATTACTCCGTATAAATGTGCATATATATCTATGACGGAAATTGCCCATAAAATACAGTGCAGTTTTATACTCCAATAATGCCAACGTTCTATACTTACAGAATATTCCTTATTTGTATCATCTAATATGATACAGGGTTATAGTTAAAATTTGCAGTCATTTAGGCTGCGTTACAAGGTATACATACTTTCTCTTCCAGTAACTTATTTTCCTTATTGGCCACTGGCATTACAATGTCATTGTCCCAATCGAATTCAATTTTAGTACGTTGGTCCATGATGTATACGTTGATGTTCGCTTACGTTGGTAAAATTGTAATTTCTTGAATTATTCTGGTATGTTCTATAGAGTTAGATAAAAAAGGAGGGATATTACGTCCAAGATATGATATCTGTATATGCGATTATTTTTACTTTTTGGCTTATTCCAATGTTCTAATGATCGTTTATAATTGTTATCCATGAAGTAGAAATGCATTTATGTCATCCAACTAGCTTTTACTCTGGAATCTATTGAAATATAACTTATTATAAAACTTACATTAATCGTTGATAATGATGGATGGATCACAAGGTAAGATCGATTTAGCAGTTTTACTTGTAAACGTTACTGATTATAATTATAGGAAAATATGAATTTATGCAATGAAATGTCAAAATATGAATTTGTTACTATGGAGACGATATAGCCGTCCTTCTTTCTGGACGTATGCCATTATCCAACATCTTACAAGCACGTTTGTTTGGAGACTAAATCAATACTGTACCCTATATAGTGGAGTAGTGAATCAGTAGTTTAGGTATAATGACCGAAAGGAGAATAACATACCATCGATACCACGACCAAGGCTAGGAACTATCTTCATACTGTACCCTACGTAGTGGAGCGGTGAATCAGAGGTAACCTTCCATGGGCTGTTGATGAACTTGGTATAGCGAGATTAATTTCGATAATACTGTACACCAAAAAAATAAAATTGTGTACGTATAATTGTTATTTGTACAGCACACATAAATTTTATACAGAATTATTAGCAAATCATAACTTTTAGTAGTTCTTCATTCCGATTTTCCTGCCGAAATGAATTTCGCTACAGTGTACAGTAGTTTACAGAGGCCTGCCGTACAGTGTACAGTACTGTAACTTGAGATGGAAGAAAATGGTAAGGGAGGGGAGACGAGTCAGGCGGCGGCGACGGCCGTTACCAGTTCCGTACGTCCCGTCTGGCACGTACAAGGAGATTTTTGCCTAGTAAAAAATTTTAAAACGGCAACTTACTGTACTGTACAGTACAGTACATTAGGATAGATTGCAAAGCGCTCAAGAGCCTCAGCTTAGAGCTTTAGATGGTTCTTGATCTGTCCCGTCGAATTTATAAATTTGGCTGTAAACGTAGTCTTGAGCTGTTGGCATAATCTGCCGGGATTATATCAATACAAGTATCACTTTAAGAAGCAAGGAAAGATTCAGGTATGTGATTGCATCGATTGCTATAATTTGACAGTTGTGTACTGTAGATAGAGACATGAATGGACCAGTATCGAACGACTAATGTCGACGCGGATAATATAGTAAACATCATCACTATTTTGAAAGAAGCTGCACTATCTTACTAGTAATACCCTTATTAAAATTCAATAATATGAATAGCTACTGTGTTACAGTTGTAAACCTTTTACCTTGATTTCATGAGGAAGATCAGCTTAGAATGTAGGCTAAGTGATGGAAAGTATGTGTAGCCTGAACGATACTGTCAATCTAAATATAATCTTAATTGACTACTGCGCCAAAAACGTATTGAAAGAATGAATGTTGTGATGACAGTACAGTATTTGCAAATGAAGCATCTTCCTGATGCCATAGCGAGTAAAGTTATCCAGTAAAAGCGATAGACAATAATTAGTAATACTGTACAGTGTACATGTACTGTACTATAATTTCTATCTCTATTCTCCAACAGGATAGACATACTTAACTTTCTCTGCTTGGTTAGGCAGTTACATACTGTAATATGTACGCGTATAATCTAATCTAATTGATATATCATACTGTTAATATAATCAATTGTTTTTCTTAACAGTACTCTATTTTAGTGATGATTGATTGTAAACTTGTAATCATGGAGTACGTGATAATAGTGATCGATCTATGCAGTATACTTTTCGTTAAAATGTTAACAAATATCACAGTAATTCTACTTACTGTACCTATCTAAATGGGAAATCAAAGTTAAACCATCGTTACTGCATGAGAATTATACTGCAGTAACTGACTTGTAATGACCGCAAACTCGTATGTCAACATCAAATGTCTACGTACGTTGGCCATCTTAGTAGAGATGCGATCATGCATCATTTTAATCTGCTACTTTTCTAGATTAAGAACCTTATCTGATCAATCTCCTATCTCCAATTGCTTTCATGATAGAGTAATACAGAATGGCATGAATAGACTGCGCGTATCACTGCAATGATCGTTCATTAATTTTATTATTATCATATGAAAAAATTAAACTGAAATCGACCTTTCAAATGTCCCGCCATCTAATTTAAACTCAGCTACGAATGACTGCATGCCGAGTATAAATAAGTCCACTCACTATAAATAAATAGATTATTTTTATCATTTCAATACTGTGCTGTAATGGACAGTACCGCATATTTTAGTTCTAGGTCAATGACAGTAAAACAATTTGAATAACACTAATGGCATAACGTGAACCGAGCAAATACTGAACTATCCAAACTATAAATATTAACGTATATTCAACTTGAAGCCTATGTTAACCTCAAATCATAGCTAAAAGACCGGGCATAAAATTTTTTTGTCTGTGCTTTACTTTTCGCTGCGTAAGTTTTTACGACGTTACAGTTATTCTAGCAATTACCGTTAGAGCCTACAGTAACGGCAAAATTGTTAGGATTTACTACGATTCTGCGTTTACATCATCTCTCAATTCGTAACAAATACAATACTATAAATGACAAATCCTTCCATCAGCATTAGCGGATATCAGTTCTAACCGGAACATCCGCTCGCCATTCTGATATAAATATTATATGCGGTTATAACTTTCTAGGGTAGGACATTCATTTTGCTAGCTAAAATCTTACTTAAAGCTGAAAGAATGCTAAAGGTTTGGATTACACCATTTGAAGATAATAAAAGTGAAATTCAGACACAGATGTTTACTCAAAATAGCACTTTAACGTTTTTGCCTTTGTCATATTCCATCCAGCCTTCATGTTGTCCTATACTGTTCTTCTTAATTACAACAACGTTGTTAGCTATAACTACTTACTTTTAGATTAATTGGTTAAAATAATTAACCTCATTACGTTGATAAGCTCGCATGGTCGTATGGCATGGTCGAAATACTTTTTAACTGGTTAAATTTTTAAACTATTTCAGGTCCCATCAACTGTCTTTTGGTTATAATAAATTCTTTAACAGTAAGTTCAAAGTGACAGCATCATCGTATTAATCATTTGACGTTAAGATGGCTTCGCACAGTGAACAGCATAATAAGTCGCTTGGTGACTACTTAAAAGAAGTATCTGATGGCTTGATGACGCTTTATAACCAGAACGATGGCTCAAACCGTAATGAAGGTGATCCAACTGAGGAAATTCCACATATTGGGAATGCAAAATCCGCTTATACATCTGATCAAACGACACAGAATAAGTCTCTTTCGCAAATTGCTGCAAACGTTTTAAGTACAGAAGAATATCAACAGCATCGTGATATTAATTTACCACAAGAAGGTACAGACTTAACTGCCGTTGAAGCTCATGGCAATGATGGTGGTCAAGATAACGATACAAACATTCAACAAGAGCTTTACGATAACGTGGCTACATCAGGCCATTTACTTAGTGCATCTGGTCAGGCAATGAAAGACAGCAATAGGGAAAATGAGATTTCAGACAATCATTCGGTATGATGTATACTTTCTGTAACATATTATATTGATAAGAATGACCTAGACAAAGAATAATAAATCTTTCTGATATTACAGAGTCAACTAGATTAACATTAGATTATCATTTGAAGGCTCCACTTTAGGATTACTAATTAGCATTTTGCTTTTTTAAATCATTGAGTATGATTTCCTTTTTTACTAAAAGTATTCTTATGTTTACCATTATGCTATCAACCAACGAACGTTACTATTTCCTGTTAGGGTAACATTTCTGGAGATGTTGCACACTTGGAAGATGTCCGCTATCAGCTGCAAAATGCTATGAAATCTGCTGAGCCCAGTAACAGATTATTGGGGCTCGCTACGGAAAAGTTCACTGCTTCCGGAGATAACCAATTAGATGCACTACTAAACCGTGTAGGGGGTGATGGTAGAAGCATAGAAGATGCTCAGTTTTCGATTGATCGACATGATTGGTAATTAACATTAATATGGTTGGCAAATTTAGACTGTACTGAATTAAATATTTATCGGACATTCGAATATTCACTAAATTTAATCGCAAGAATTAGCTAGTTATCATCCGTTTAGCTTTTACCGTAGTTTATATTCCTTTTTCTAAATCTATTAGTGGACTACATTTGATTTATTTAATTTTATTAATCTCTCCTCTTTCAGGTTAAGTTCCATTGGTCTTGATTCACAGGTTCTTCATGCATCAAATGGTAATTCGAGTGAAATATTTACGTTAAAACAGCAGTTAGAAAGCGAAGTCTATCGCAGAAAGGCAAGCGAGTATTGATAGATGTAGACTAACAAAGATTTATTTTGTTAGCGCTATTGTAATTTTAACATTAAACTATTTTTCATCTTTAGCACTGTGAAAGTCAAATCTATTCACTTAATGCAAAGGTATGAGACTAATTTATTAAAAACATTTGACTTTGTCCATGTAGTTATAAGTATTCCAATGCTGTAATGACCTTCCATTTAATACTATTGTAGCTGTTGGAAATTCAGCAACAGTTAGCAGTTGCAAGGTCTTCGGAGCGAAAAAAGGATATGATGATTGAACAACTCGATAAAGTAAGAATACGTATCTTAAATTCTGAGAATTTAGATGCTGGTGATACATTAACGTTCTGTAACGTCTTTACTTTCTAAATTAAGTTACAATTTAAAAAATAGTCCGTAGGCAGTGTTCTTGAAAAGTGGAAATTGCGTGACGCGGAAAGAACTGAATCAATTAAGAGATTAACCAATGAAAGAGATACCATTAGACAAGCGCACCTTCGTCAACAAGAAGTATGATCTAAAATTTTCCATACGTATATTATTGTATCAGAAATCATAATTATGTCTATTCTGTTTATCCTCTATCATCAATTAAAATGTATTCATAGGTTCTCTCAAAGTTTGAGCAGGACATGGCTCAGGCTGTAGAAGCCTTTTCAAAAGAACAAAAACGAGCGAATCAAGCTGAAAAAGAGAAGCAAATACAAGTATACGCTTTTAATACATATGCTTTGATTTGAACTCCCTTTCACACTATAATTGTTCATTCAGGTTCAGAAGTTATTGCAGGAAAGAGAACATATCAATCAAGAAAAAGAACGTCATCGGATGTTAGAGGTTGAGCGAAATCTTATCCAACAAAATTTAGAAGCAGTATGCAATGAGAAAAGCGCTTTAGAGAAATTGCTGGAAGAGGTTAGTACGTTCTAATCGACTTGAATTTAAAAGTTTGTTGTACGCAGTGCTAAAAATCTTTCTGTATCTTAGGAGCGATTATTAAGACAAACTATGCAGCAAGATTGGTCTATTAAGGAGGATAAGTTGAAGGATGAACAACGTCAAATGTCTAAAGAAGCAAAAGTAGTGAACGAATTAACATATTTTTGACATGGCGTTAATATAGTTTATAAAACTTGTATTTATTACTAATCTCCTCACTTTAGGGTGAACTTGATAAGTACAAAGCATTATTTAAGGTATCATAATATGCATCGTATTGTTTATAATCTATTATGATCTATGAAATTGCCCAATTTATATAGTAAACCCTATTTGCAGTTTAAATCTTGCTATAATTTCTTAACGAAGAATTTATTCATATAATTAGGAAGCGGAAGTTTCTATGGAATCTGCAGATAACGAAATACATAAGTTAAAAAATGAGTTAGATACTTCGAAACGAGCTTATGTGAGTAGATGGGTTAAATATTTTGTATACAGTAGTAACTTTTATCGTCTATTACGGTTTTTACTACTGTATGGAAAGATACAAAGTGTTCGTAAGTAATTATTGATTTTCATGCAATTAGGAGAGTTTAAAGGTAGAAATGAGTCTCATGGAAGCTGAGCATGAAACAAGCCTTAGCAAACAAAGGACAGACATTGTTTCTGAACTTGAACTACAGGTAAAGAAGTATACCGTATAAAGATATGATAATGGTGGTACCGATCGACCCTTTAATATGCTTTAAAATGGTTGCTAGTTGTCTACTAAGTTAAAAGAAACTGAAGAAACAGCTGTAAAGAATATTTCTCAGCTAAGAGACAATCATAAACAGCAGGTTTTTATTTAAAAATAATATTATGTTTAGTCAACTGTACTTAATATTAATTGGCATTCAAATGTTTATTTTTTAGATTGTAACCCTTAAAGACAAACATAAACAGGAAATAGAAGCATTAGCGTCAGAGTATTCGCAGGTTATTAAATGATCTTGACCTTGCTACTGCTTGTATATATACATTCCACTGCTACCTCTTAGTTATGTATTTACATACCAGGCAGAATACTTTGATTTCTAACAATTTTTTGTACACCTTCAGTGTGTAGTATAATTAATTAACAAGTAAATTTAATGTATATGTACGGTACTAAGATCCTTGTATATATTTTGCATACAGGAAATGACTTTGAAAGCTAATACTTTGAAAACAACTATAGATGACTATGAAGGCCGGTATGTATGCTGATATTGCGTAAATATTCGATGCCCACTAGAAATTGCTAATGCGAGAGTTTAATTGTCAAACTGCTAGACTACAGTCATTACAGAATCGTTTAACTGAAGAAGAACAGTATCGTAATGAAAGAGAAAGGCAGCGGTAAGTCAAACTTTGTCTTCTAATTAAAGAAATGCTGCTAATATGAGATCAAATTTTAGGAATGATTTAATGCTTCGTCTTCAAACCTTAATGCAATCTCATTGTAATGAGGCTGTTAAGTTAATTGGAGATTTATTACCGTCATCCATAAAGGTGCTAGCGCTTATTTATTATTTCAAACGATTGCTCACCGCTAAGGTTCCATTAACAAGTTTTATTATTTTTGGATACAGCCATTAGCGGTTGATGAAAAGATAACTTCTACCAAGGTAAATTTATTATGTAATGAGAAAATGGAAGCAGATGCTACTATATTACAACATCAACCTGTAAGCTCGTCCGACGAAAAAACATATGATCCAGTTTCTAATGAGAACCGTAATGTTAACCAAAAAAGTAACGAAGTATCTACTCAGAACGAGGTCCAACCCATCAGTGAAAAATTAGATAATCTTGGTATTATGAATGAAAAGAGACCTTTAATAAATCCAGATTTAGGGAATCACCATCAGAATGAAAGTGTTTCCTCTGATAGCAACACTAATATTATTCGTAGCTATGGTAAGTAAGAGCAGTAACAGGTATCGATACAATACTTGTAGTCGTATGAAAATGTATTAAATTCTCAACTAAATGTTATAGTAGTAGTAATCAAGTCAGGCATTGTGAAATACTGTAACATATCAAGAATAACACAATACTGTAAATTCGTTCTAATAAAATCAATGTCAGAACTTATACATTTATCAGATGTTCTTATCAAATGTTGAGTATTTTATATACCTGCTATTCATTGCATCAATTTTAATTGATCTAGGAAATGATCTCAGCTCAGGCTCTTATTCTAATAATTATGCAAGTTCCAAGCCAAATTTCACTAATAGCTTCAAGATATCGAATTTTAAAACAGAGAAATTGGCGGATATTAGTAGATATCTAAATACAATGCCTAGAAATTCACAAGATGTATCTGATCAGATTTCAACGAATGCCAAGCAGAATAATCAAACAAGAGTCCTGGCAAATAGTATTAATAGTCGTAACATGACACCAACAAAACAAGCAAATACGGACTTAATTCTAAATATACTGGATACAAATGCAGCTAACGAAAATAACGTTACACGATCGAATATTGACATGGTAGTTTAGTTATTATTGAAGAAAGTTGCGATTTCTAAGTTTGTCTTAGTTATTTTACGCAAGATTTTATAACTGAACCGTTTTATATTAATATCAAAATTTTATGTGATATTGTTAATTTTTCAGAGGCCTATTCAAATTCCCATTGAACCAGGAAATACAGAAAAATCTACAACAAATTTATCGAATTTGTACACTGCAAATATGTAAATATGACCACGCCTCACACATTACAGTATTTTGGTATAACAACATCTCAACGTTGATACTTACATTCATTTTATTTTTGATTAACTTTATAAAGAAATGCTGGTCAGATAAATGCCGAAAATATAGACGATTTACGGCAAAATGAACTGCAACACTATGTTGAAATGGTAATCGATCTACCAATTAGCTTACTATATTTCTTAATGAATATATATAACGTTAAGATTTTACAATAGTTACTAAAGCATAGAATTGGTTATTTAATCGGTTACAGCTACTTCAAAAACCACCTGGTCAACCGCTAGAGACGGTAATGTCTTAAATGCTTCTAATTATTTATAAAATAAGTTGCTTGCTTGTTTTAATCCTAATTTTATAACTATTAAGGATATGTTGACAAACAAAATTGGTGATAGCGATCAAATTGGACTTCCCTCCGGATTGATCGCTATTCCGAAATCTACTGATGGTATTGATCGATAAATGTGTCTAATGTTTCTAAGACATTATCTTTACTGATAGATTTTTTGCTAAATTAATAGACTATGTAGCAAATTTAAATGAAAACAAGAATGAATCATTTCATTCTTCAGCTTTTCAACATGTACCTTCTGGTTATGCCGGATCGATTGCGGCGACGTCACAAGGTATGATGCTGTACTGTGGTATACGGTTGTACCCAAGGAATCTTGATAGATGGAGTGCTGCCATCTTACCTTTTGATTTTATAATTATGTAGTATCGCCTTTGCTAATTTAACGATTTTTCTTAAATACATGCAGCTATGAAAGGACAAAATAGGGCAGTATCAGTACAAGATCAATCCTCAAATATGGAATCTAGCAGTACTGCTATAAACACAGACTCTAAGTACTTGTCAAATCTAGTTAATATTTATCGAAATATGTCTAATAATCCAAACCAGAAGCATCTATCGTTTGACAACGAAGCCAACTCAGTAAATATGCAGCCAACCTACTTGAGGTATTGCATTTGGAAGAGTAGACTTCGTGTAATATCCAGTTAAAATTTTCGTTTTGGATATGCGTTGACTTAATTTTGATCTTGTATTTTATAGCAGTGCATTACTATTGGTTATGTTATTACAATATTTTCTTATTACGGCTAAAATTTTAATTTTAAAGTGAAACTTTGGGGGGTTATGAGCAGCAAGATTCCAGCTTGAACTTTCGCACCTTTCAACATCCGAGCAATTTCCAGCCAGATCATCAAATGGAAGAATTGCAGCCACTAAGTGATATATCTATACAATATCCGAAAGGAAATGAAAGGAATTATCCTAGGACCCAAGACACTACTTCAAGACACCAACAGGTAACCTAGCTAAGTAGCTGTAATGAATTCGGTCATCAAGTTTCCCTTTTTCTGAGCATTATTTTGTAAACTGCTTTATTTGAAAAAGCCGTCTGATAACATTAAGGCAGCGGTTGGATTTAATCCGATTTCGCCACCTGAGCGAAAGCGGCCATATAAGCAACATCAAAGTAAGCAAGCTAATACAAGTGGGCGAGAGACTAATATTGTTCACACACGGTCGTCTGCGTCTAAAGTGAGTCAACGCTCCGTAAAAACGGATAAAAAAGCTTCTGGTGTGGCGAGCCGATCAAATAAAAGTACAGCATGGCGTTGAATAGCTAATATAACAGTTGACAAGTACAATTTGTGTACCCAATATTTAATAATTTATAGTACAGCATTTTTATCCAACGTCAGTAATAGCAGGTTATTAGCAAAATTTTTAAAACGTTTCATTGTCGATAACCAAGATTAATGTATGTCGTAGAAAAATAGCAAATAATGAAGTTCTAGTGTAGAGTTTAAAGGGAAATTGAGATTTGATGTTGTAGTCATAAAGCGGCAACTGTATACTGAACGATAACTTTAGCTATTTATTACCGGTATAAGAATGCCTTCATAATGTAGAGTAACTTATTCGGATATAATCATTTTATCATTTTAAGCCATGCTGGCTATATCATAGAATATAAACCACCTTATTTGACATTAGTTAAGTATTATATTGTAATATATTTATTCATCGCTCAATGTTTAATCGATTTCATTCCTTGTTATGGCATTGTACATACAGTATATGAGTACGTTTGTATTTTTCTATATGCTACTGTACTCTAAATCATGTATACTTGCTTGTGCCTTGATTGATGTTAGTTTTTTGCAGTTTTATCATTTCTTATAATAGCTTTTCTCTTATTCCTGTGCGATACCATAGGTTATAAAATTAAGGTTCTATTTGACGAGTTGATGTACGCGTAATAATGCAGTAATCATTGTACAGATTTAAATTTTCTTTAATTTGCCTGTCAGACTATTACTGTATCGATACCTTAGTGGATTTGTAAATGACAATGAGTATATGTTGTATAATTGACACATATGTGACAATGGTTCCTATTAACAGTTTCGATTAATTTCTTGATGTAAATTTTAAGAGATAAATACTGTATTCTCCTTTTTAAACATTAAAAATATACATGTACTCGTATGTTTCGACATAGCATCGTACAACTTTGGGATCGGGTATTTCTTAACTGATTGAGTAATAATTCATTTCATGTATGCTATTGTCGTTTACAATAGCTATCACTGCAATTACACCTAAATAGTGATATCGTCTACTTAATTTTATCTATCTCTTAAACTAATGGAGCCTATTTGGACAATTTTATACCATTTTATATTGGTTTTTAATAGATTGAGGTCATGAATGAATCAGTGTAGTTGAGGGTTTCTACAGCAGAAGGTCTATCTGCTCGTAAAGTTATAGTAGGTGTTTCTATGAGTCTACTATGCATATTATGCATATTATGATTGCAACTTTTTTAAGGCTTATTTAGTATAATCCAGTAATAAACAGAATTTTGTCGTACTCACAGTACGATATCAATACCAGTGTATAATTCTATTTTATTAATTAATTATACTAGTCGAATACCCGTTCAAATGAACGGGTATGCATACTACGCAACACATTCCACTGAACAAAATTTAAAGCTAAAGCCAGCTAGGTTATCAGACTATGTATGAATCCCTTCTTAGTGTAAGATAGCTAGCTTACAATTTAACGGTGCAGTGTTTCGCGAATAACTTGCCATATTGTCAATTTTGGGGGAGTTTTTACTTGTGCATATCTAGTACTGAACTGTACAGTACTGTACGCCATTATAATAATTTACGAAATAAGTGTTGATTTATGTAAGGTACTATAGAGTACAGTACTTAACCAAGGACTACCAGAAGAGAGAATTGATATTAAATACTGCATAAATGTCAGTACTGTAATCCGTCTGAGTACTCAGTTCGCATGTGTTTATCATCCAGTACAGTACAGTACTGTACTGTAGTCCTTGAGTGTACTGTACTGTACATTAGAGTCTTGAAGTAAGGATATCTACTGTACACTGTACAGTACGCTCTACAGTAGAGCACTGTACAGTATAGTACTGTACAGTACATACAGTACGTACTGTACTGTACTGCACCTCAAGGAGTTTCCGAGTCATTCAGTTGTACCGCGTGCATTTCCAGCTAACACCTTGCCAAAGGTTACGAACCAAGTTCACCACCTTTGACATTTGACATTCTCCGTTAATTTCTATCATATTAATAGAACTGTATCATTATTCACTTAATTTATGCCCGTGCATGTTGATAGACTAGTACTGATACTGCTCAGAAATAATAGTCATGCTTTCGAGGAACAATATTCTACAGGATCTTACTATAACAATTCTAAACGTTTAAACTACGGCTCGATGAGGATAGGCTGACTAAGTGGCTACAAGCCCATGACCACGCCTAGTACAGTCTCTGTTCGTGTGTAGTACTGGCTCGATCAGTTTCAAGATAATATACAGTATATATAATAATAAATACCCGTATAACATAGAATCTCTGAAATTCATCGGTTGACTTACAGGTTTGAAAAAAAGTAAAAGAATAGTGAAATGGCTTTAAGAAAACGATTCGAGAATAAAGTAGTAGTTATTACTGGATCGACTGAAGGGATTGGTTTTGCTACGGCTCAAAGGATAGCTGCAGAAGGTGGCAGCGTATCCGTTAGCAGTCGACATCAGGAGAAGGTAGATAAAGCAATTCAACTATTACGAGATCAAGGCTACACCAATACCCTGGGCAGAGTTTGCGATGTTAGTAAGGAAGACGATATTAAAGATCTTATTCAAGCAACCGTTGATAAATTTGGCGCTATTGATGTACTCGTATGCAACGCTGCAGTTGCTTTTGGCGGACCAGTCATCAAAACATCCAGTTCAGTATGGGATAAGACATTCTCAGTTAATCTTAAATCTGCTTTTACGCTTACCAAGGAGGTTTTGCCTTACTTGAAACAACGCGACGGTAGCAATATTGTATTGATATCGTCTATCTTAGGTCATAGCCCTATGCCAGTGACTGGAGTTTATAGTGTATCTAAAACGGCAATGTTTGGATTAATGTTGGCACTGACCAAAGAATTAGGCAGATATAAAATTAGAGTGAATGCTATTGCACCTGGTGTCATTGCTACCAAAATGAGTCTAGGCCTACGTCAAGGAAGTAACGAAGATTGGGTCATGCGGGAAACGCCTTTAAGGCGATATGGTCAACCTGAAGAAATTGCCTCTGCTGTAGCTTATGTTTCATCTGATGAGGCTGCTTATGTAAATGGCAGTACAATTGTAGTTGGTGGAGGTTTAGGAAGTCGATTATAACTTTATACGCTAAACGATCATTATGATACGGTACAAAAATCACTAACTAAATAAACAAGTTTTAAATTACTTAGATATCCTATCCAACTACTGTACTGTAATGCGCAGTATCGAACAGTCCATTTGACATGAAGTAGTACGCAAGCTTTTATTAGATTATCTAACATGTTCTATCGTCCTCTACGAGATATTTGATCTCTATAAAAATTTAGAATGGCTTGTTATGGTGCATCTCAAAGCAATAGAACTAGCGATACAGTTTTTACTTCTTCTAGCTTCGTAAAATAGCAAAATCCCTTTTTTATCATATATCTACTCCAACTGATATTAGCGAGCTTAGTTTCAAATTAATTAAAACGTTACTTTCCAAAGATAGTATCACTGATATGTTCTATATCTTTTTTTATAAACATCAAGCTGTTGATATTAAAAACGATAATACAGTGGTCGATTATAATTATGTAATAGCTTATCAATAGCTATAATTTATTACTTTTAATTTATGATTCGCAAATCTATAAAATTCGTAACTAAAATAATCTTTTAATCCAATATAGAAGCGCATTCTTATAAAAGTCTTATAATAGAAAAGTCAATATTGTATCGTGTTCCAAATCAGAGTATGTACATGTCGATTTTTTGAGCCTCTATTATTATTAAATAGCAAAAATTGATACGAGAAGTAGTGAATATACTTATTAATTAGCTGTTAATCTGTTCAATTCCCAACTGAAATGGGTGATTTCACCGATGCATTATCATCCTCATTTAAGCGTCCATTTGGAGTACTTTTAGGTACTTGTAAGCGATGCTTTGGCCTGTGCTTTTGCTTATCACTTTCAAGGTAGCGAGGTGGTGCTAACTGTTCTAGTCGTGGCGACTTGGGATAGCGTAGGGTAGTTTGGGTTTTATTTAGCAATTTCCTAACATCATATTTACATTTAGAAATTATTACATAGATTTATTAAATTATATACAACCTTCAGTTTATGTCATGTAAAACTATGTACTGTACCTGATGCGCTTTTTAGCATTATTTAAAAATTCTTCATTCTCTAATTCCATCTTCTGAGCTTTGGATAACTCCGGTGTTTGTTGAGGGTGAATCAACTATAAAAAAGGTTATCAATAAAAATAAAGCCCATGTTATATGTATGCCTATGCATACATGTTTCATGATGTATAGGCCACATCATTGGAGTTAATTGGTGTATAAGACATACGATTTGCGATTGTTGGTCTATCGTAGTTAACACTAACTTTCTATCCTTACCTTAAGTTTAACGCCTACGTTAAATTTACAGCTTCTTGCTTGAGCACTGAAGGACAGATAGACTTTATCCTAAATAATTTACCAAAAGCATATTAATTTACCGCTTTCCCCGGATTCATTAAACAATCGATCGACATATAACAAGGTAAACTTAATTATAGTTACCTGCCATTTGCAACGAAGTGCAACTTCTTTGGTGATTGCAAAACAAATTGGTTGAAATGGTGGCGCATGAATATGAGCATTATTTTTATCCAGGTGTGAATCAAGATCCCAATTCCATTTCTTTTTACGCGTACCATTAGAATCCGCAACTTCTCCGCCGGTCGGATAAATCAATAATCTGTTAAAACAGACAATATAGTAATATAAATTTACATGGAAAATGCTTGATTACATAGTATAGATTAGACGATGGTCAGGGATTGATAAACTACTGACCTAATTCTGTTATTACTATGATAGATACAACTATGGCCGGACGGATTAAATAGGGCTAATATTTTTTGACTCTCAGATAAGGGAGCATCCTAGAGTAAATATTCGTATTGGCATAAAATAATGTTATTTAACATGTAATGAAACCATTGAGTTTACAATTTAGTCTATGATACCTTACCTCGAGTACAACATAACTCAATCCATTACCATGGGCACTAATACCTATAGCTACATTACCTGATGGATAACTGATTAAATACGCAGTTAAGGTAAAAAATAGTCAATATACATTTAATCCTTAGTAAAGATGTCAAGCTGCCATTTTACATGAATTATAAAGATACAATACGGATCCCGTGCCATCAGGAAGTAGAATTAAGAACAAACTACCATTCTCATAAAATTTTTGAATAGGTAATTGATTTCCTTTTGCCTATTTCAATTTATGTATGACATTGAACATTTCAATACCCACATAAATGTTTCCTTTCAGATTTAATATCTACACTTTAACTATGGTTACCAATAGATAATATTGACTGAATTACTAATTATTTATAATTATGGTTAATTGCTACCTTTTGTTGAAGAAAAGCTAAATTAGACGGCAATTCTGTCATAAATGACAATTTTTCGTCGTCCTCGTCAGGATCTATTTCGTCTTCAGGTAAAGGAGAAGGTATAACTGTCCATCCTTCTTCTAAGCAACGATTTGAAGATAGGGTATAATTGATTGTTTTAATTTGTCGAGCAACTGCAATAATATAGGAATAAATATAGATAAATATTAGTTCCAATAGTACAGTAATTTATGCTTTACTGTGATAAAATAAGGATGTTATGTATTGTAATAAGTAATTAACTTACATGCATAGTAATTCAGGTTACTAATTGTATTAGCTAACTGGCGTTCTCTTTCACGTTCTCTCATTCTATTTTTGAGTAAATATTAGAGTGTAAATAATTATGTACAGATATATGAATGCAACTGTGCGTAACTATGCAATCTTTAATAGACATACTTTTCTTGTGCTCTTTCTTTCGCTTCTCGACGAGCCTGCCGATTCTTAAATGGTGCATGAGGGGAAACATTAATCAGCGCATCACCTTCTACGTCACTTATATCGCTATCAGCTTGATCAGCATCTGCATCTGGAATTTCATTTCGTTTACTACGAGCACCTTTACTTTCACTAAGTTCGTGTAAGTATAGAACGAATTGGTGGTAATCTGGGCAGCAAAATAGCTGTAAAAATAAGATGAAAATGAGAATATAACATTGTTGTATTCACAGCTTATAAATCTTATAATTTTTTCATATTAAACTTACCTTTTCTGCTGGCGTTGTTTCAATTTCTTCTATAGTTGGAAATTCTTTAATAATAGCTAATCCACAATAATCACAAATTCCATCACCTTGTGCATCACCAATAGAACTATGAAAGCTAGCTACTGATTGAGACGTCATCGGAGTTTGGGCGTCGACTCTTAGAGTTACCGCTTCCGATTCTCGATTATACTTTAATATAGATGGTGGTCCTACTGCAGCAATTGCATCTTGCTCGTTATCTATATAATTGTCGTTGTCATCTTCATCGGACGAATCTGAGCTAAATTCCATAGTCAGGACACCGAAAGCATCAGAAATTTCAGATGTAGAATCTATTTTTTGGGATGAAATTGTACTTGATGGGGTATTGTGCCTACTAAATGCTTCCTCCGGTATTGTGCCACTTTCTGCATAATTTTCATCAACTACTTTAACATTGGCTAGTGCTTCTTCAGCTAGTGACCGATGCTGCATTGCTTGGCGAGATTCTGTGATTCCATCAAGCACATTAAAATTATGCATTGTATACGATTTAATAAATTATAGAAATCAAATTACATCGTTATAATACAGTATTACTTTCAGTTTACCTGGAGATTGGTTGCTTCCAGAATCTTCGTTATCAGAAAGGGCATTGCCTCCTTTGACTAAATTATGCAATTTCCAATCTTCCATCCAGCTCCAGTCAGTTTGAATTTCAATCGTTCTTTTAGTCCTATCCTCATTATATGTTGCATTGACTATTCCGTGTTCTCTTTTAATTTTGAACGTTTGAGGTTTAAAACTAACTACAGGCTTGCGAATATCTCCGTGTCGAAAGCGTCGATGCTGTTGTGAAGATAAAGTTTTACGTTTAGTGCCATCTGCACTAACAGCATTCCTTGTAGTAACGTTAATCTCTGTTTTAGAAGCATTATCGTCATCAAATGGTTTAAATTCTTCGCTATGTCTAATTGATAGATTAAAAGAAAAGTATTATATTTTTCAGCAATGATTTTAATTTAAAAATAGAGCATACATTTATCATAATGTCAATACCGTCTTTGAAGTATATGTTTTCCTTCTGGGTTATTAAGCATTACGACTTTCTTTTCTTTCAATTCTTCATCTTTAGTCGTATTTTTTACGTTGGTATTACTTTCGACTAGGCTGTAATTGCTTTCTTCTTGTTCTATTTGTAAGCATACACAAAATTAGCGTATCATACAAGTTTAATAGTCGAGATCGCAAGTCACTATGGAATTAGTATCAAATATCTACCTGGCTTTTTGCTTTCTTTAATCGGCTTAATATTAGGTAAAACAGGCTTTGGCATTTGTTGTTTTGGTGTAGCTGAACGCTCCTTTGCAATTATATCTAAAATTTCCGAGTCTAGCCCTTTTACCAACTCAATAGTTGGACTTGAAGGCTGAGCCGTTTTAACAACATCGAGTATAGGCAAGACTGTCAGACTTTTAGATTCTGATATCGATTGTGCTCTCTTTCTTGGATTTGAAACCCAATCATTTATATTAGAGTAGCTTTTTGACCGCATACGACTTGTTGTTGATTGTTGTGGTAACGTGTCTTTATTTATTAGTTCTTCTGGAATATCTGCGATACTCTCTGATCTTGTTTGTCGACTTGATGTTGTGGAGGAGTCATTCGATTTTAATTCAGCTCGCTTCAACGGTTGATTAGAATTATCAGAGCTAAGAGAAAATGTGACACTGTGCGATCTACTTCTCCTAGGACCTCGACGAAGGGCAGAGTTACTAACGTTCTTTCCGTCATCAAATGGTTGATTTGTAGCGGATCTTGTTTCACGAGACATTATGTAAATTGTATCGATTGACTATATGCATAATGAGTAATAGTAATAATTTTATGAGGATAGATCATTGAAACATGTTTTATGTCGATGTGTTCATACGCAGATAAATTGTATAATAAATAACTACATTTAATAAATAGTTAAGGTTGGATTCCATTTAAGTCAATTACATACGCGTATATTGAACGTAAACCTGTAGTTGGTAACTCAGCTTAACTTTAAGCAATCATATTATAGAGGCAAGAGAAAATAAATTCATAAGCAATTAATGAAGCACTTTTCTTCTATATTAAGCTAAATTACCTCTCTAGACAAAGTCTGCTATCTACATATATGGATTGTAAACCGATTTATTTATAATCTTTGAGAATTGTAAATATTATAAAAACTGAAATACTATCTTACTAAACGAAAATTTTATTTAAGCTAAAATTTTAATCGTATCTGTTGATAGATTAAATATCAAACTTTCATTTGTCAACCCAGTTATTTTTATCATCGCTATTGCAATTATCTCATTAAAGGAAAGGGTAATCAGTGTCTCTATCTGTGTTTAATCTGATATAAAATTTAAAATACCGTTTGCGTTTTATATTAATTCAATAACCGGATATCGCAATGCTTACCTGGTATGTGACGTATCAGATTGATCGCCTCAGTTACCACATATTCTTATTTCGAAACTGACTGATTGAATGATGAATATTGGTGCAAGCTATAACAAAAATATATAGACCGAGGTAAGTTAAATGTTTATATTGATCCATTATACGGCGAATTAAAATTTGATTGAATACAGTAAATTTTCGACTTAATTGCTTAAATTATCATAGTCTATATGATATATTGTCAATAAGCAAATTTAATATGCTTCATAAGTAGCCATAACTCTATTCATAAAATGACGAAGAAATGTGATGTTTAACTAATAAAAACCCTGATTATGCTTATAATATGATATACACACTTACGCCTCGATGACCGTTAGTATCCATATACAGATGCACGTTTATATAGAATAACTGACTATAGATATAGATAGTTTGCTACTATACCACTAAAATATCTAAATTTTTCGGGTGCTACTTACTTGTAAAAACAAGGGCAGTTTAAGTCTTTATAGGCTAATTTACTTGGGTATACGTGTATTTCAATTTGTATGACAATATGTTATTAACAAGATAGGTCGATACTACCACTAAAAATTTGGCATACTGTTAGAGTAGTTATCGGATATAAGTTTACGCTAACCTAACCTAACCTAAATTTGACTCGAATCCTATATTAAGACTTGTACAGAATGGCAACAGAGATCTCATTACCGAAGGCTTTCAACTTTACGTTGCCACGACAACCATCTGACACCGTTAAAAGTGTCACCGCAAGTGCGCAGTACGATAATACAGTGAACACAAGACTACACAGTGCACAGTGCACAGCACAGTACAATACACTGTAGACATTCGCCGTGTACTGTGCACTGTACATTGTAACTATGTTCAGAGTTCAGTACGGTCCACACGGTCCGACTCCAGTCCGCCTTCGCGCCGAACTGTGATGAACTTCGTACTAGAGTTAGAATAGAAAAGTTTTGTACTGTACTGTCATAATGACAGTACTGTACAGTACAAAACAGTGTCATTTAGCATTTAAGCATTTGCCATTTGGGTAAGAAAATTTTTAGGGTTTGCAAATCTCTAGTGAGTGTACAGTGTACACTCACGCACAGTTCACTTACTGTATTGTACAGTATGGTCAACTTGGCCATCTGGATCTGGCAATACAGTACGTAGTTCATACTGTCACATACTTGTACATTCGAAATGCAGTAGAACTACGTACAATACTGTATGGTACTGTAAAATACTCCGTCACTGCAGCGTACTGTACACTGTACAGTACAGCTGCTATTTTTGTTTCAATTTATTATTTGCAAAGACTATGCACGCCTACCATTTACTAATTTCGATCCTGGTATCGAAATTGTAAAAATACTGTACCGTAAATAAATTTAAATAAGTTTTGTAACGATAAAACTTGTTTATTGCTTATTAAAAAACAAATAAATAAATAAATATCAATGGCGGGCCAGGTAAAACACCACTACAGTACTGTACTGTACAGTACTATACCGTACAGTGTACAATGTACAGTACTGTACATTACCGTAATCATGAATAACGAATATTAATAAATGATCTTTCCGAAAGAACTGAGTATGCGCAGCATGCACTAATAAGTAATAACTACTGTACTGTACAGTGTACAGTACAGTATTTCGCCTCTTCAAGATACTGTATCTACAGTACTTGAGTTCTGTACAGTACAGTACCACTAACCCTTAGTCACTACAGTACTGGGATTCTGCTTGGATTCCAGCAATAACTGCCAATTGACGATTATTGACACAATTACAACCACGTACAAGCAAAATGAACCCTAGCCAATCATTTGCCAGCTTGCCGGTGTCTTCACGTGCCTTTTGATGATGCTGAACAAAGTGTTCTATCGGTCATAGATCAAAACATCGGTACGGTACTGATGTATTCATTATTACCCGAAATGAGGCGCAGGGGTATAAATATATATTTGTTGACGTACCCCGCTGGATTTCAGTTTCTCATCTGCTTTCCAAGTGACGGATCTCCAATCTTCACAAGTGCAGTACGTCGAAAACAATTCTACAGCATTTCAGCCTGCTTAGTCATTACAAAGACAAGATCACATTTACTGTACAGTGGTGTACGCAAAACTAGCCTTCGCTAACCTACTGCAGTCCAGTGTCATCGTGCCGAAAAACAGCTCTGAACTACTTTCTAGTAGTAACATACTCAATACAAGACTACAAGTGCGTACATACTTTACCTGCACATTATTCCAAATTCGCCATTTCATCCTTCTGATATTGACCGGCTTCCAATTGAAAATTATTGTGTAAGAAAATATACAATACAATATTTCCTTTCTGGTACTGAGTGTTACTTGGAGTAGATAGAATGTACAGTACTGTACATAGATGAACAGATGGATAGTACGTGTATGTCATGGGTCATATTTAATTACTATCTTGCATTGGATCGGTTTTCATAAGTCGCATTGCTCACCTCATTGAAGCTCTTAGATGATATTTTGATTCCTGTTCTACTTTTTGCCGGGACTAGGATATTTATAGTGCCTTGTTGACCACACTTGATTGATCATAGACCTCTTGTATGTACAGATTGAGCTTCGTCTATTGACTTTGCGTACCATAATGCAGCGCAGCACGAAAGGGGTGAAACATATTTGACCCACGCAGTAGTTAACAGATTCTATATACTGTACTTACGGTACTGTACTGTACTGTACCATCTTACTAAAACGATTACGTACGAGTATTGCATAAACTCGATTACTCGATTGAATAATATTAGCAGTAAATACGGTCATGTTAACCGATGGGATGTATTGATAATCTAGATTAATCTTGATCTTGTAACATTTTATCTTGGACTATTATAGAGATATCATCGTTTTAGTCTTTAAACCAGCCTAGTAGAGCAATTATTTACGACCGGAAGAAATCGGATTGAAAATGCAATGGCAGCCATTTATACTGGGTGGTGTTGCCTCGCTTGCTGCTGAGTCATGTAGGTTGATAGCGGCAGATTGAAATTTCAGCATTCTGTGTTAAATGATTTATATCTTCATATACCCTATGCATGGACTACCCTGAGACCTCTACTAATCAATTTATTACGATGCTTTGGCTCAGTATAGCGTAGACTTATTGCTATTTCGCTATGCATTAAATAAATGTAAACTATTCCGTATCCTTGTCATCGATGGTTAACGGTTAGTATTTACTGTATGATTTAGGCACCTTCCCGATTGATACGGCAAAGATTCGATTACAAATTCAAGGTCAAATTGGCGATGCTAGTTTAGCACGTCTACGTTACCGTGGCATGGGACATGCTTTAAGATTAATTGCCGCAGATGAAGGTTTTAAGGCGTTGTATTCTGGGTATGTACAGTACTGTACAGTAGAGTGATTTATGAAATGCAAGTTATACGAATCTTACTCTACTTGTGCCATGTTGCTATAGTACTGCACTAAATGGTAAATATAACAATTATATTATATTAGAGGTGATGCATCGTACTACAGTATATACATTGATAATATTAAATTATGTCTGTACTTCAATACAACGATATTATCATCAAATTTATTTACTCTATGTATTAATTTATACCATAGTCTTGCACCTGCCTTGCTGAGGCAAGCATCTTATGGCACTATTAAATTTGGGACTTATCATACTGTCAAAAGAATTGTCGCAAAAAATCCTGAAGGTAAAAGTTAATGAAATGATTCTATAGTAATTTACTTATTTTAGATGATTTAACACCTATTACAGTAGTGTTTATTTAGTTGAGATGCATATTTGGAGACAAAAATTTAACGTGGCATTTTCACATGTAATTTTATTATCCTTGTTGATTAATATATTAATTATTATTATAGATGAGACTATACTCACAAATGTATTTGCTGGAATGATTGCCGGAGCACTATCTTCAAGCATCGCTAATCCTACTGATGTTCTGAAGGTTGGTAACTATGATAATATGATTGCGCACAATTACACAATCTACCGTAATCCGTAATATTTCATAATAGAGTTTTATTCATTACCAAGAAACATTCATTTTTCTATAGCCAATACATATAGTAGTATTATTAAGTGTAAATTAGTTATGTACATTATGTGATCATTACTTCAAGATTACAAATATGTATATTGATACCTACAAGTCGATCGTTTAGTATTAGCTAGCTGATGCATTAAAATGTGTTTAGTTAAGGCTTATTCGTTTTCCTTGAGTTATGATATAGTGATTCACATCATTTCCGTTTGTTAGTGCTTTAATATTCGCAAAATGCTATTGTGTCATTTTGCAGATACAAGTAGAGCGAATTGCTTCTTAGTATTTCTCCTATCTCTTCAGTCATACCGTATCGTAATTATGGTGTAGTTTGTACTATACTTCATAATAAGGTCCTACAGGCATACACTACCAGCTATACTGCACTTGGTTTAGTTGGTTATATCAGAGCCATACTATAGTACTGTAGTCTGTACTGTAGGACGAGTATTAACTGTGCGTATTATCTTTTTTCACCGTAGAGAAGGAGAATTTTTCTGCATTGTGTAGCCGATCTAGTGTATTAACGCATAATCTACGCATACGCGTAAATCCGTTTTCTAGTAAATGCGGTAGATTAACCAAATATTTATTATTCGTTAAGTTTTAATTGACTTGATGAAATACCGCATATTTTTATTTGTCATATACTAGTTCGTTTATTCGTAAGCTCAAAATTAAATTAAGTTACTTTATGCTATTGCTTCACGGATGATTATGGTATTTTACCTTCCAGACTTTAAGACGTAAATGTTATCGCGTAGGCGATATATGAAAAGGAATCTTATGTCGTTTTCTGCAGTATGTACGGGCAAAACTGTAGCATTCGTCTGAATGATGGTATAGCGCTCTTCAGACGCTTTTAAATATATGTGTATATCTATGTATAGCTTGTCTATATTCAGTCCTCTACTATTTCGTTTGATTTCATTTCAGTATGAACCTGCATAGCATACCTTATTTACCGTTTAGTATATATATGTTACTGTACATTTAATTGCTTTAGAATAGAAATAAAATTTAATTAAATTATGTTACCATGTGCTTCTTTAGTTTTCCAAGTCTATTCACGGTATGAAAAAATTTATGATCATAGATAATTGAAAAATCACGATATGCTAAGCCTATGTAATATTTGTAGATGTAGTTCATGATAAGATGTTATTGTATTACAAGTTTTGTGTTTCGACTAAATTAAAAATTATGTATTAATTTTAATTTTTATTATGGTTTTATAGGTTAGGATGCAAGCTGGATCACGGATGAACCTGACTGGAAAGAATGTGCTTCGGTCTTTTGCTGATATTTATAAAGAAGAAGGTATTAGGGGTCTTTATCGGGTAAGCTATTTCTTACGTAATGTTTACGATGAGGCTGGTCGGATGTCTAAGTAAATTTTGTACAAATATTATTTTTATTTCTTAGGGTGTGGGACCAACGTCACAAAGAGCAGCTGTGATAGTTGCCGTTCAAATGCCAACTTATGAACTGAGTAAGCGTGAGCTCATTAAAAGTCAACTTATGAATGATGGCCTATCAACTCATTTATGGTGCGTTGTACTCGATGAAAGATATTTATTAATCAATCAACTATTTAACACGATAGTTATAAATTGTACTTATATATTTTACATAATCTTGTATGGTTTACAGCTGTAGTATGATATCTGGTCTTTCTATGGCTCTAGTTTCTAATCCTTTGGACGTTATAAAGGTTAGAATTGTTAAAATTTGTAAAATTTACCGTTTCTCACCTACAACTACAGCAATATTAGCGATTATATAGCATACGTAGACTTACCTTTTAATTTTGATATGGGCTTACAGCCAGTTAATTCCCCAGAGTGATAGAGATAACTTTAATATTTATAGACTAGAATGGTGAATCAATCAGCAAGTCGTATTGTTAGTAAAAGATCAGCGTCATTTTATAAGAATTCTTTCCACTGCTTATATCAGGTAAGAAATAGTACCAGCAATATCTAAAAGTCTCTATGTTGTAAAGTGAACGTAAGGTGCCTAATTAATAATTTTATTCGTAGACAATTCGTGGTGAAGGCATCCTTGCACTATATAAGGGTTTCGTACCCTCATTTTTGCGTGTTGGACCTTGGAATGTTATTGTATCCTCACATAGATAACAATTAAAATTACTATTGCAACTCTTTACATTATCTATTAATCATGAGTGCTCTTTCTTATGGTCCTTAACTTTCTAAAACAGTTTTTTGTAACATATGAGCAAATGAAGCGCATTGATTTATTGCACCATTACTAACCTGGTCTGAATTTTGGGTAGTTGGATTCATTGATTTTATCAAGACGTTGCTGCATAACCAAGAAATGTTTCTCTTACGAAATTAGACTACTTAATAATTTATGTCAGCTTAGACTTAAATTATGTATTATATCTTTGTGTAGATACTCGTATACGAGTACATTCGCCTCACATTGCAGTAACCGCAAATTGACATTATTACAAGAATTGACTTTACGGTTGGAAGCTACATGTAGGAGATGGATATTTACCAGACATGTACAGGATACTAGTAATGCTAAATTGTTATTACACTGTGAATACTTACATAATTAATCATGTATTCGCGTATATAGCCTGGTTTGCATTCTGTATGATATTGTAATTTAACCATATATGGCACTTGTAATATATTGTACTGTACGGTGTTGGCAAACAAGAAAATTATTAATCGAATTTGCATAAGTTGCGAACTAATTTGTTTAATTTATTATGGCATTATTCGGTGGACTAAAGACAATGTAATTGTATTTTGAGGGATGTTAAAAACATTTATTACTGGAAATGCTCTCAGCTTTTATAAAGGAAAATTCATTCACTATGCTTTACTCTTAAATACAAATAAAGATCTAGAAGATTGCTTACTACAAGGGAAAATTACTGAGCAACATACTCGTACGGTAGATCTATTAAATCATATTATATACTGTACCGTATGTTTAATATTAATGCCACTGATTTATTACGTATAATTATCAATTGCCACCAGTTAAGAAATGCCTAATAATACTGTACGTTGCTACGGAAATCGCTATTGCATACAGTACAGTCATTGGCAGCGCATATGACTGTATCGAACTTACTGTACTAGTATACGTATTGAACGGCAAGGATGACTTTAGGGTATATTGTGAAGGAGCATGAAATCATTCACAGTATTCATATTTAGCGAAAGGATGACTTAGAATACAGTACATAATGAAGAAGCATGAAATGATTCACAATGGAAAATTACAGTCGGCATCCAAAATTTGTTGAGGCCATACTGTACAGTACATTCAAGCCTTTAAAGAACGCAACGATTAATTATATGACTTGATCGAATTGTGGCTCCAAATACACCCAGCTCACAACTCCACAATGACAATCATTAATTGTAATTGTTGAGAACGCAGTCAATCGAATACAGACGTACTTGCGTCAGGTTAAATACACCTCCACCGAGACAGCATTAATTGTAAATTAGAATAACTATCTTAACAGGAATAATACAAGTTTTTATTTTTCTGTATAGTGGAACTAATCAAGTTAACATTAATAGCGACGATATTCATGCTAGATAGTAAAAAGTTGATGAGGTATAACAATTTCACAGTATAAGCGTACATTTGAAGACCACTGCACAGAAATTGTTAAAGCACTTGTGGTTTAGAAAATTTAAAAATACTACAATATTATTATAGGCATGAAAATGTAGAATCCTGCTCGATCACTATTAACCTGTATTTATTGTTGCTCATTGATAGTTTTCAGCTATACAGTAAAAATAATTATAATTGATGATGATTCGCTATTACGCATTAGTACAATAAAATTTTAGCAAAACTTAGTGTACATGTAACGTTATACAATTGTCAATAGCGGATTCTGCACCAGCGTGCATACAGCATGTTAGGTAAATGCAATAACAATAATAATAGGGATGAGATTTATTACAATAATGATACGTATCAATCGTTTAAAACAGAACTACTGTCTACTTGTGCCTTTCTGAATTTAGTCTTTCATCGATAGCAATAGGTCTGTCGTCATCCATTCATCATATTTATCATTCATGACACATGTTACTCATCGCTCAATTCATACGATTCATATAAAATTTGCCCTCGATGATTAAAGGTATAAAACGATTGCCTATTGGTAAAGTTTTCCGATGGCCTATCACATCATAATAAAAAGAAAGAATGACAACACCATGAATGAAACACTTATATATGTAGCGAAAGAAAAGTCGTCAAAATAAATTTGTTGGCAATAAGACTGGATTAATATAGAGCATATTGTTATAGAGACATGTAACATGCTATCAATGATACATTTTAATACGACAAATTCTTTTTCAGGCTTTCAGAAAATTGACCAGTAAGAGAATTTCTGTACGGTTCATAATTACGCATATAATTATATTATAATTTACGCCGAGAAATTTCAGTTCTTTGAATAGCTAGTACCTGTCGTTTAGTTCTGCTGTTGCACTTATTTCGCGAAAACTTCCAGAAATGATAACTACGCCAATGGTACAAACGATAAAGCCAGTTAAGCATTCGACTAAAATCTGCAAGTTCAAAGAAATCATTGTAATGGATGATTTTGTTTGGTTTTGTAAGAAAGATTTATGCCTAGGTATTGCAGAAAATTGTTAACAAAAATTGCTAGCACAAGTTATTGAACTATGATCATTTTCAATGCATATTATGACGTTCATGCTTAAGCTTTGAAAGTATTTACAAGGTACAACCATGTTTCATAAAATGTAATTTCTTGAATAAAAAAGTATGATGATACGACTTTGATGCTTACGTCTATTGGTGTATTAGCCACATTTTGTTCGGTTAATTTGGCGTAAGTCCGATCTATGAATAAAATACGTTGCAGCGATCATCAATGTAAAGTGTTGAGCGCATCCAATTAGGATTCACTGTAACGGTTAGATATCAAAGTTAATCAATGAAATTACGTTGTACAGCGGAATAGGCTGAATGGAATACTCCTAAAATTCCGAATAGAATTAAGAATCTGGCAACGGTGCGAAAGCCAGTCGCCATGATGTTTCTAAGCTTTGGAATAGCGAAGTAATGTAGAGACTACAGTACTGTACTGTACTGCACTGTAGTGAGAGCCTTTCTTCTTCATGAGTACAGTGTACAGTGTACAGTACATACAGTATAGTACAGTACCATACAGTACTGTACTGCGCAGTACTGTACAGTACTAGTACAGTACAGTACAGTACAGTACAGTGTACGGTACGTGCAACGTTGGTATTGTAGAAAAGTACTGTACACTGTACTGTACTGTACGGTACTGAACTGGCTGCACGTAGGTGAAAGCAAGTTTCTGCCTCTAGCAGCTAGCTCTAGATCCCAAGGAAGCGAAATTGAAGTCCAATCAATTAATTATTAACCGTCAACGAAGAGAATATGTACAAATTATTTTAACATGAGCACAATACGATTAGTCAACCTAGCCAGCCGGCTGCCATTACGATATGGGACCACTTGTTATAAGGTAGGACTGCTAAGAGTAAAGTCATTTTATTCATAGTTCAGTACATCCGGTAAAGAAATGAATTGGCTTGATTGTCCTCGACACAGGCTCTACTCTATAAGACCGTGTTCAGCGTACACCACGTGAGCCACTAGCTACAAGGTCTGGCCATGTTCTCTGGTCATGGCGTTGCCAATGAGCAAACCACACTCGCTCTGCTAATATCATATTATGAATAATGATACTCCAGAAGAAATGACCACAAAGTTTTTAAATAGATTTAAAACGTAGAATAGATTCCTTACTGACCTCACTGTATAGGATCGTAAGAGACCATTCGATTACAGTATTATGGCATGAAAGTCAAGCTAAATTGCCAATAAATGCTGTATGGAATAATCTTGTAAACGACTGTAGTAATCAATGAAGTCTTTCAATCCATTATAGCCATTTTGATCAGCTATACCTGATATTGCAGTGTACAAATATAAATGGCTCTGCAGTACCTGAACTCTAGCTGTGCATAGGCATAAGGGGTCATAATCAACTACAGTGCCGTAAATGCCGGCAACATTGTTGGTTTCTAACCTTTCACTTGCAATGCTTTGCAGCATGGATTTACAGCACTTCAACCTAGCTGTCCCTGTATGGAGAACATCTACACCTGTAATGTGCAATATATTGAGTAACAGTACTATGATTTATCTGCCTTCATTCAACAACGAACTAGTAGTCCTGGTTTAAACTTGCTGCATAACCCATTTCTAAAATGATTCATATAAATTGTAGAACTGTACGCTACTGTATAGTGACGTTAAGACGAAAATAATGCAGCGTGATTCAAGTAGAAATGTTGGCGTACGATCACATATCGCAGCAGTTGCAGTACAGTCGAACTGTTGCTTTTCCCGTAGACCACCATTAAACTAACAGACAGCATGTTGTGCCATAATATTATCCAATATTTTCATTGATACTATCTATCGGTTATATACGGTACCTTGCTGACCACTTTTAAAGTCATTTAGAATAGTTTAAAAATTAGTATCAACATCGAATCATTGAAATATGATAGTTTGCTCCTTATGTATAACATTGGATGTATTTTTGCTACCTTGTTATCATATTACTGCTCATATATATATATATACTCTAATAACCAAAAAGCTATAGTAAATATCAGCATCGTAGCAGTAGATGCGCGTACTTTTGTATACCAACCCTAGAAGTAATAGTAATTATTATACTCGTATGTAATAATTAATTGCATTAGTTGACGTATCTGTTTATTGAATCGATTTTATAGATATCACCTTTATTACGGGCTGCTATGTCGCAATCGGCGGTAAGAGTAATAATTAATTATTCGTGATTAGTAAACTGTATGTATGTGTATTATCTATCATACTGATCATACTGTACAGTATAATCGCAATTTCCCTTTATATCGTGAATTCATAATCCGTACTGCAGTCGATTTTCTGGCCGTATTCGGCAATAATTAAATTTTGTATTTTCTTATGTGAAAATAAAATTTATTTCTACGAGTTCTTTCATAACGTACCTACACAGGTAGAAGTAGAGAAAATTCGCAATATTGGAATATCAGCTCACATTGATTCCGGGAAAACGACATTAACAGAGCGAGTTTTGTTTTATACCGGACGCATTGGTCAGATGCACGAGGTAGAGTAAAAGAATATAAATTATAATTATTATACGTAGATTTACACGTGATAATTTTAATTATGCTCTCCCTTAAAATGAAATTTTAAAATCTTGAAAAACTTCGCACTATATGCAGTAGATCTTTACGGTTATACCTATACCAACTTTGAATTGGAATCGTTACAACTTTATCAAATTTAACTCATTAATCTTCACGCCTGTGTTGTATTACAAATTTGAGTAACTTATTCCAGTTTCTTAAAAATTACCAGTACAGTATTTAAATTTATCTCTCATACGAGATATAGAGCGATGTACTGAGCGTTTATCGATGCTTATAACTTTGTTGCATTTATTGCAGGTCAGAGGTAAGGATAATGTCGGTGCTACAATGGATTTTATGGATCTGGAACGTCAACGTGGTATTACGATACAAGTTGGTATTTGGTTTTAATCACCCATTGATTTTATTGATAGCAATACAACTTGACTTAAAACTAACCAACTTATTAAATGTTGTTTTTGTTATGTTATCGAGTATAGTCTGCTGCTACTTATACCAGCTGGAAAGAAACAAATATAAATATTATTGACACACCAGGTAAAATATATAGTAGAATATTTCGACATTTAAAACATTTGCAGTAGTAACTTTCCTTTTCTAGCAATTAACCATTGTAAACTTTATTGAATGATTAGGTCATGTTGATTTTACTATGGAAGTCGAGCGTGCCCTACGTGTCTTAGATTCAGCAGTATTAGTATTATGCGGTGTTGGAGGTGTTCAAGTGAGCAATACCTATATAAATATCTTATATTCTTTGTACTTGCATCTAACGTTGCATTTATGTACCGATAGAGCCAAACTTTAACCGTTGATAGACAAATGAAACGTTACGAGGTTCCGTGCTTAGCCTTTATTAACAAACTAGATCGGTTAGGAATATTCGAATGATCTTTTGCTTTGTCTTAATAAGAACCTTTGCAATAATTTATTATGATAATAATAACATTAACAAGGTATCTGAACTACTTCGTATAGAATGGGAGCTAATCCAGAAAGAGTAGTTTTGCAAATTAGGTATTTTTAAGTTTACAATTTCACTTTTAAAGAAATCTGTATAATGTTCGTTACATATTAACGTTCTAGAACATACTTTATCAATTTTATCAAAATACTAGGTCGAAATTACGACATAATGCAGCTCTTATTCATTTACCGATTGGTTTGGAAAGTGATTTTAAAGGAATTATAGACATAATATCTAGAAAAGCTATTTACTTTGAAGGTGCATTGGGGTAAGATACATCGTGTTTAAGCCTTACAATTTAAATTAGCATTAGTAATAGTAAAATAACGCCTGATGCGCTTGCTAGTATTTTATTGTAAAGTTCGCCAATATTTATTGTCCATTACTTAACGGTATTCTATAATTTAGCTCCCAAATAGTCGAAAAAGAGATTCCTGATGATTATGTGGAAGAAACGAATAAGAAAAGACAAGAATTGATTGGTACTTACTTGTTAGATAGATTAGCAGTTTGACTTAGTTAATCGACCAAATTTTGGCTGTCGATTTGGATTTAACGTCAGATTATTTATCATAGCTTAGTTGAATTATCGGTAATATCATTACTTGCTTTGCTAAGTTTTAGTTATTGCTATATTTTTACATCAAAATAGAGGCAGTAGCTAATGTTGATGATGAACTAGGAGAGAAGTTTCTGGAAGACGCAGATTTATCTAAGGAAGACATCATCGTAATTATGCATCTTAAAAATTTTTTTAATTGTATACTGAGTAATTCAACTTTTGTTTATCTGATTCTGGTTCATTTCTGAATCTTGCTATAAAACAGGCAGCAATTCGACGTTGTACCTTAAAGAAAACTTTTACACCGGTCTTATTAGGATCAGCTCTAAAGAATAAAGGTGTCCAGGTAGCTGTAGAGATCATGATCTTATTCAAGTAGAGAAAAATTTTTTATTAACATTCTTAATCGCCTAAGATACGAGTATGTAGTCTAATTTATTGAACTGTTGTTGTGGTATTTTATAGCCTCTTTTAGACGGTGTTTTAGCATATTTACCAAATCCTTCCGAAGTTGAAAATTTTGCTTTGGATCCCGAAGAGTAGGCTTAGTTATTATTGTTATTAATTTTGATTTTAATATTCATTTAACTATTATAATTTTAGCTATAGAAATTAGAACACTAACTTGTTTCATTCTGCAATTTAATAATTTTTTGAAATTTCAATTGTTTACTTTTGGTAATGAAGACATATTTACTAAATCAAAATACTTTTCGATACTAGCAATGAGCAAAAAATTTTAATGAATCCTTCACGGAGCAGCGCACAGCCTTTTGTTGGCCTTGCCTTTAAGCTTGAGGTATGCAATGCTGTAATAGTGGGAAGAAGTCATCGCAATTGATTATAGCCCATATTTACCGTTGTAACTTTAGCAGATAATACAATGACGTTAATTAAATATTATGACCATTATGTAATTGCTTAGTGACTTTTATCTTCGAATTCAGGCAGGTCGATTTGGTCAGTTAACATATATACGTATCTATCAAGGACAGTTAAAAAGAGGTGGCTTTATTGTTAATGTTAGAACCGGTAAACGTCTTAAGGTACCACGACTTGTTAGGATGCATAGCAATGAAATGGAGGTATTTCGATGCTTTTATTTACGATTTCCTAAAGTATCATGCTTCTATACAATCTGATAGGTTACCCTAATCTTACTGTAAGTTATTCAAGTCTGCCTTAAATTTTTATCATAGGACGTCCAAGAGGCTTATGCCGGTGATATTTGCGCATTATTTGGTGTAGACTGTTTTTCGGGCGATACATTTGTGGCTGAATCTTCTCGGTCATTATCGATGGTACTGCTGTACTTGATAATTTATCCTGTAGACGTTAGTACCTTTTGACTTAGTAATTTACCTGCATCATAAAAAAAATCATAGGAATCGATGTTTGTTCCAGAACCTGTGATCTCTCTTTCTATCAAGCCTACCAATAAGGTAAACATAGAAAAATTCATTTTCTTTACCTGTCTATTTTTAAAATATAACTAATTTTTTAGAACGATATCGGACAATTCTCTAAAGCGATCCACCGGTTCACTAAAGAAGATCCAACTTTCAAGGTGCACTTTGATGACGAGAGCAAAGAGGTACTGAGCAACATTGTGGTGCGCATGTTGATTTCTGTGGTTTTTTATCCAATGTCTTATTATGTATTGCATACAAACATTTATTCATTGTATTCTGATACTTTATTAATAATAATTATTATAGACCATTATTTCTGGTATGGGAGAATTACATTTGGATATTTATGCCGAGGTAAGTTTCTTGCATTGAACGATTTTAATATTATTGGGTTGCTTAGTCTCCAATTATACAATATAAGCACGCCTTAAGAATCTCATCACTTTTGAAAACTTATTCGTATTAGAGAATACGTACAGAATATAATTGCCCATGTGAAACTGGGAAGCCGAAAGTGGCTTTCAGAGAAACAATTGGTTCGATTGCCCAGTAAGTAAAAATAAAAACTATGATAAAAATATTTAATTTAACGATGAAATCCTTACTGTATGACCAGGAAAGGACCTTCTCATCTAATACTGTAATTTTGATACAGATTCGATTATTTGCATAAAAAACAATCTGGTGGAGCTGGTCAGTTTGGTCGTGTTATCGGAGAAATTCAAGTATGATAAAGTACTCTATTTACATGTACGCGTAACGAAAAACGTCTTCGAATACGATAATAAAATGATTTGTTTGCTAATAATATGGTTAGCCTTTGGGCGAGGATAAGTTAACATCAGTTGAATTTTCCGATGAAACTGTTGGTATGAATATTCCAAAGAACTTTATACCTGCTATTGAGAAGGTATATTTTCATTTGTTGCTGTATTGGCATTGACGATAATTATAATTACAGTACTACGTTTGGCGTATTTTATAATTGCCAATGGTATTTTAAGTAGATTTTTTGCTTATCCTTAGGGCTTCCGAGATATATGTGAAACTGGTATTATATCTGGACATAAAATTAATGGTGTTAAAATTGTATTAAAAGATGGTAATTAACATATTGTATTTACTTTAAAATATTATAATTCTAGTGTGTAATTCTCATGGTGAATTTATGGTATTGTTAATTAACCCAATAAATACTGTTATTCAAAAGGTACTTCCCATGCAGTCGACTCTAGCGAATTAGCTTTCCGCCTGGCTGGCAAGGGAGCTATGAGACAAGGTATTCATTGTTATTGCCCGTGTCACACTTTTTTGGTTAATAATCTTGATCAGTTTGATTCCTGATAGTTCTAACCTCCGCTCTTTAGTATTCCCTAAGGCCAACCCAATAATACTAGAGCCGGTAATGCTGGTTGAAATTAGCGCTCCAGAAGAATACAGAGTAAGCATAATTAAATGTGAAAAATTATTGGTAAGAATCACCTCACAAACATTTCTTTTATTCTTTACTATATGAAGGGGGCTGTTCTAACCAGTATGAGTCGTCGGCGTGGCGTCATTACTGGAAGTGATTCAGTAGAAGGATACTTTTATCTGTTTGCTGAAGTTTGTAACTGCTATGTTTTGACATTATATGAATTATTTGTAGATAAGTTCCATAAAAGTAGTCCAATCCTGAACTCATGGGTCTGATAGGATTGCATAAAGTTACCAATATTATTTTAAATTTTCTTTTTCAAATTTATACTGTAGGTTCCGTTGAATGATATGTTCGGATATGCAACTGAGTTACGATCAGCTACACAAGTAAGTATTGTTTATATAGCACTTTTCAACTGTAAAAAATATTTATGTAAAATGATCCTAAATATGTAGAGGTATTTGTGACTGCTTTAACAGAACTATTGCCATGTAAAATATATACCGTATATATACTCTAAAGCCACCATACTTAGTAACTCCAATATACTGTTAGGGCAAAGGAGAATTCGTCATGGAGTACCAGAAATATGCACCAGTAACACCACAGTTACAAGACACCTTAGTCAAGCAGTTTGAAGAAGAAAGGTTACGAAAGTTAAAAAAATAAAGAATGCCTGCAAAGCGAAGTACGTACATGTGGTTACTTCATGAAAGTAGCTAATCATGGTCAGTTCTTTATGAAATTGATAAAGAATGATATTAAAGATATGACCATGCCTTTGCTATAGGATGACCTTTAGCGTTAATATTTTTATCAAATAAGCTTAAGCTATCATAGTATCGCTCCTTATGTATACACGAATATTACAAGTAAATAAAAGTTATATCATGAATAAGTGAAATTTAAATAAAGTGATGAAAAATACATTGACGAAAGCATTATAAATTTTCGAATCGTGATTATGATTCTCCAATTTTAATTTTCAAAGCTAATTGTTGATAGTACCATTTTTTGAGTCAGTACTAAATACGTGAAAGCATACGTACTGTATATGGGCATACATACCCAGTAACCTAAAAATGGTCAATATTTTCAACGCTCATGTCACATATTTTCATTTACTATAACGTTTTCGTTGATATAGCATTAAAATTTATTGATTTCGTTAACGTTACAATTTCAAAAACAGTTTCTATTGAAATACACTCCTTACTAGGAAATGCATGATGACATAGAAGTGTGAGAAGATTCGCTAGTAAATGCCTAAGAATTTGACTAATTCAGTCAAATACCAATTATTTATGAAAGCTTTAGAAATTATAGTGATCTTACTATGGGTATATTCCTCATTTCTATCACAAAGTACACACTACATGAAGTGTGCACCGTTGCATAAATCTCTAAGTCAAGGGAGTGTTATTAAAAAGGGACACTATTATTACTATTGCATGCTAAACTACTATATATTGGTACAACAATGTTTTAATACGCATACTTTGAGTGGATAAATTAGAAAGACTCGCTGGAAACTTCTGTCTACGATAGTGTTTCACAGAAAGTTTTCAAGACATAAAAATCTAAGGAGTAATACCATATCCAAATTTATGCCAATCAACATTATAATATGCGACCAATAGTAACAGAAACTTTATAAAATAGCATCAATTAACGCAAATTATTTTTATAATTCATCTTTTTTATTATCCTGTGGTTGTTGGTCATCTTTTCTATTGCTTTCAGGTTGTTCATCATCTTCGTCATCTTCCTCGTCATCTTCGTCTCCTCCTTCGTCATCATTGTCTACTTCTTTAGAGTTTCCTGTTATTGCCTCTTTTTTCTCTTTGGTTAAAGGTCCAATGTTGGTGCCATCGATAATTAGCCCTTCATCATCACCGAACCATGCGATATTTCTTCTCGGATTATAGACATCATTCTTTTCTAGATATTCTCTAATATCTACAGCGGATTCGACGTTGAAGTCTTTCTTTAAATTATCTCTTTTTTCTAACGTCAAGAAATCGAGAGCTTCCTGCTTTGGTAACCAGTCGCGATCGGCTAAATGAACACCTCCCATTTGAATAATATCTTTCATATTAGCATGCAGAGTTTTATTAATCCATTTCTCAATATTGCTTATTTCTGGAGATTCTTCCTTATCAATAAATGTGTTAGCAATACCCTTTCTTCTATCGACATAAATGCATCTTGGAACAGCATCGGTGTTGCCACGGGTATAGTAGTAAATAATGGATTGCGTCACAACATCATCTCTGTCATAACAGGCAATTATTGCAAAAAGTTTCAATTAAAGTGCCTCAATAATTCGTAATACATTTAATTTAATTACTATATTTTCTTACATTCTATACAAATATGAAAGGTTCACGATATCATATGATTTCATCGATTCATGAAATCATACGAACCTACAATACTAACTATGATCTACCTTTACATTTGCATACTTTATATAATAACATTAGTCAATTATCGATGAAAGAGTCTTCAAAAATACTGATTATAAGCTAGTGGAGTGACTTACAAATCCATCCATGCGACATTTATATTACTATAAATAGAACCAGAAAGGCGATTTACTATCTCCTTCTGAATTGCTTCCGCATCATGGCCATGTAGAATGAATGATACTAATGGTTTCTTACTTCGGAAATAGTTTATAAAATTGTGTTCACTAAATTGATCCTAGAAAGGTGTAGAGGATATCAAGATAAGAATATTAAAGTTATTTAACGTTGAAATTATAGACAAGTTAAGAAATTGGATTATAATCATGAATGTCGTTAACATTATGAGACTAACAAATAATGGTAAGCCATTATTGTAGATAAAAGTTTCGATTCCGTCAACGGTTAACTCTCCTTCGTAAACAATCTGTCTTTTTACTTCATTAGTTGCTTTATAGCAAATAACTGCCGGTAATTTAATATTGAGCTTTTCCGCTAAGGCCATAGAAATGTCGGATTGGAAACTACGTCCGAATTGCATTATTCCACTAAAACGCTTCATAACTTCATCAAATTCTATTACGTTAAGTAAGTACATGAAAGTTATGAATTAGTAGACAAATAGGTAACTTTTCAAGGCTGATTATAGACTGCAGTTGATATTATAACGATAACCAGTTATAAATAAAATTGAAATTAGTCGCTACAGAACGAAATTGTTCATACTAGAAATGAAATATGGATTAAATTGACTTCCATAAATATAATAATTATGCTTACTAAGTCTTACCCACACTCGGTTTCTCGAACAAGCCAATAACGACAACGCCCGAAGCATTTTCAAGGAACTTTTGACCTTGCTCAACTGATGTAAATTTTCCATTGCTCTCTTCAGTATAAATCTTAATTCCAGCAATCAAACTATCGATTGTAAATGATCCCTTATAGACCACACCGTCATTATTCTCACTATGGGCGTACAATGTATAGCAGAATAATGATAGAATAGGTAAGATTAAATTCAACTTGATTGATTTAAAATTTTACTATTTCTAATTTTATCTTTGATTTTTACTTTTCTTTAGTTATATCAAGTATCTTATTGATCACTTACGTATAAACTTTAACTGTTGGATACTCTGTGATACCATTAGCTTCACATGGTCGTGGATAATCAGCGCAATTAATCTCGGCAAAGCTAAGTTTCATTCTAGTCGGGTTTTGCTCGAACTTTAATTTTATATCTTCATAGATAAATGAAAATGCACGACTTCGTATATCCCCTGCAGATGGAAATAATTTGTTCATAAATACTCTATTTACCGACAAAAATATTAATTTGACATCTAGTATAGGATTACTACAGCCTCTATTAGGTAGTTATTAGTATAATCTCTGTACAAAGGAGATATATAGGATTCTACGTTAATGGTTGATTAAAATAACGTTTTTTGTTAGATTAATAAAATAATGGATTACATAATTATAATTGTTGCCTATTATTTTTATATTGGAATCAGTATTTCTTATCTTATTTTTACACTGCCTTATTTTGTTGAGGGTGGCCCTATCTTAATTACTAATAATATGATCGATAATCATTCTAATTAAGACAATGGATAGTGTATAATATAGGGATGCAATATCTTTGCAATAATTAATTAATCAATATCGAGAGTTGTGTAGTTAACATAGAAAAATAATTAGCTCCAGGCTGATTGATATTTAGTCCTACCACTAATGAACTATAATTCAAAAATAAAACTTATACTAGAAATATCCATTCCTATAGACTAATGGATCAACAACGGCAATTTTCGATAGCTTAGACGAAGGCAATTTCAAAGATAAACATTTCTATATTTACAATCGCCTTTTTTGACAAATGCTAGTACCTTGCTAGATAATAAGCTTAAAAAGAGACAATACTGGTAATGAATACAAATTTTAAAAAAATTGTAATAGATTTTCTTACACGTTGTATAATAATTAATAATTCGAATTCCATTTTGGTTGATAAATTCTTGAATAGTTTTATCGGTTAATGATGTTACGGAGCTTTGTCTTTTATATCGTTCAGCTTGTGGATCTTGTTCATCTGATTCGTATATACGCTTGATATCTTTAGCAATTTCATCATCAATATTGTTTATATCAGCTATAATATTAACCAAAAGCAGAGAAAAGATATAGCACTTAAATTATTGGTTTAGTTAATGCTAGTAACAATAGTTAACGATCCAAATTAACAGATTCCAAGGACTAATTGGTAACTTAATAGATAAGATATACGTAAGAAGAGGGGTAGGTATTCTGGTACCCCGCAATAACTTTTTATATAGAAAATTACAGTAAAATTGTATAAGATAATTTAAATAGGAATGTGCTGATATTGATTTATCTATAACGTCTTAGAGGCTTTTACTAAAAATATTTGTATACTTTATAATATTTTTTATTTACTAATATCTAATATTTAAATAACCACACCATATAATGCTATTCGATTATAGATAGTAATAATAAAATGGTATTTATTGAATTAATAAAGTAAATTGATAGTATAATGAAGGAATTTGATATGTGACTGTATCAATCATTTTGGATGCTAAAAATGGCTTCAATCAAAATTTTTAAGGGATAAGATATATACAGATCCGACATTTAATAACCTTTACTATTAGATAAACGTTTTGGTGGTTCAAAATGATCGCCAGCTGTTGGTGGCAATCTAGTGAAATCGGTTAACGTTTCTTCTTCGATAAAGTCCAATATGCCTTCATATGTAAAGTCTTTTGTCTTACTAAATATGTTAACCTTGCCTTTAATGCTAACAAATCGCAAATTTGTTTCCTAATAGTATCAATAGAATGAAATAGTTAATATTGCATCAAATTATTTTATGATTAATTAACTTTGATGATAGGCTGAAAATTCTAAAAGTTCAATATCAATAAGAAATATACATTATTACCATGCTTTCGCAATTAATAATATCAGTAGTGTAGGATCGATCCATTTTTTAATCATACTTAGCTTATTTGCAATGTCAATAAGTGAAAAAGTAATTTATTTTGATTTCTAATTCCATCAATGTACTGTATAGTAGTAGTGTAGATAGGATTAATCTTAAATCTTCTTCAGCTTGTGGTATCCAAACAAAGAAATTTAATAATTCAATATCTATCGAGCTGTTCTACATTGATAGCTGATTACATCGATGTAGAAGAGTAACTAGAGTCAATCTTTGATCATGCTGATCTTATGAAATTAAATGAATAATTTTAGCAAATTATTATCAAATATTTAATAGATATTCTTTCCATGATTTCTGATAATATCAGCATAACATTTGTAATATCAGTTTGATATCTCTATTTAAAATTTAATACTCTATCGACAATCTTTATTCGATGTTCATTTCTAATTAAAATAGCTCATTCAGACGATACATACTTGTGGCACGTCTTTATCAGAGGAATACAAATAAGTAACTACGTCAAATTCCGGATGGGTAATAAAACTCCTCTTAACTCTTCCTAATACAATTTCCCAGTAATCGCAAGATACAGGTCCAGGACAGTAGAATATAGCGTAATTGATTTTCTTTTCTTTACCAGTGGTAATGTTATCATGTTTCTCTTTCGTGATTGATTCGACATCCATATCGGCTTTCTCAGCTAGGTGCCGTAGTAATGAATTCAGTTAGACTTATAATTAACACTGATTGCATAATTATCCATATTTCAGTTTCTCCTCTTTCAACTTAAGATTAATTGTGAAATTTAAGACTGAACTTGTTTCTAGATTGTTAGTAATAAGCCTTCTCGGCACATTACATCAGTAATTTCTACAAATTTTATAATATGTCTATCGTCTCCGATCGCTATTCGATTTCTGTTATGATAAAATATACACGCATATTTTATTGACTTAAAGGTGAATATAGATGCTATATGTACGAGTATATGCAAGTAAGGAAACTGAATTCTAGCTATGATAGCGTGGACAATTATCACATACAAGCTATGGGTTTCAGTACTTGTGCCTCTATTTTAAGATCAATATTTTCTTTGTTACCGTACTCTCTCGAGTTATGAACAGAACTGTAGTAAGGTTTAAGATTAAGTAATATATAATTCAACTGGACTATTCTTTTAGTAAATGTACGGGGCTTGAAGTACTTTAGCAGTAATTTCGATATAGATCGAGATATGCTAGATCATATCAATTTAAGAAAACTGAAATATTAACATTTGATTATACTGTACAATACTTACTTTTAACGCCTACACCAACGCGTTTCCAGTATTCGTCTACAAAATATTTCAAGTTGCGTGCAGTATAATTTCCTAACATTTTATGCGTATCCTATTATATAATAAATGAAACAGAAGGAATTGTCTTATTAATGTATGGATAGCGATTCATAAATGATAGAAACGACAAATATTTATTAAAATTTTGAATACTATTTGATATTACTAATATAGATAAACTACTTGACTAACGTATGTGGTAATTTGATATTAACAATTGATGCATAGAGCAAAGCACCAGTATCAATCTGACTAGAAACTTATATTTATCATAGTAGTTAAAGACCAAGAAGGAATAGGTGGAATAGAAGGTAAGATTACCCTGTCTGCACCAGCTCTTTGAGCATAGACTGCTGGAAATTCTTTAATTTTATACCATTTAACTGGCAAATCAGCTTTTTCATCTAAATTGGACATATTAGCTATAAGAAATCCGATTTTTCCTGAATATTCACTTCCAAAATCTTGGACATCCTGTATGATTCGTTCATATTGATGACTTTCAGCGAATATGAAAATTTTATTGACATCGTTTTGATTATAGATAGTTAAATTGTCTTGATGGATCAATTCCGTCTAAGAATAATAAAATAGCACATAGATGTTAAATAGCGTAGAAAAAAAGAAAAGAGAAAAACTTTCAATACTTATGCAGCAGAGGCAAAATCATTTATAGACTAATTCTATCCTACTTAGATAAATCTAGTATGACTTTTGTTATTATCAACTTACATATATCGGTAATTTATTCCTTTGCATGAATAAAAATAATTCGTGGCTTGAAAAATATTCACTATGGTAAGTGTGTGGACATGATTGATTTGTCCGATGTAGTGTATCATTGCAATGGTAGATCTTGTATACATAATCCAAAGGCATTACCGGGCTATAAATGAAAAATAAGTTCATACAATATTGGTTGTTTAATGAGTTCAAGACTTTATTTCCTTCTTATTGCATTGAAATCAAATCAAAGTAAAGCAATCTACTCTTAGAGCCATACTCTAGTTGTCGATGTATTAAGGTGATGTTCGTGATGATTACAAATTTATAGCTCTCCTTGAAAGTAGGGAAGCTTTCAAAGAACATCCGATGAGCTAGATATGGGATATAATATAGGAAAAGGATCGAAAATGATATTCTACACGATAAATTTTAGTAGAATTGAAGTATCTACTAGGCAAGATTAAGTTGAAGTATTCTATTTTATACTGTAAATATTATTTTTAAGTAGAAAAGGTCATCGTTAATACGTAAATACGAGCACTATCAAATATTAAAAACTACGCTAACGGTAATCATTTACGAAATTTGTTTCATTTCATTTGGACAATATTTGTTTGGATATCTCATGAATAGTAAAATAACAAGTAATCTTTATACCAGCATGGACTTCTAGATACTTTGAGTATCTGGAAGTCTATGATACCGGTAAGATCATTGTAATGTCCTGCTTCGTTTTTATAAATAATTTATTTCCATATCTATTTCTATCAGATACCTCATTATAAATGAATTAGCCAATCTACTTACCTCGAGTGTAGAATTTACTAAAATAGCCAATAAAAATATCCATATTCGCTTCAATGTTATCCAATATTAATTTTTTTAGCTCTTCCTGATTGCTAATTTTAGCCACAACTTGATCATAGTAGATGCTATTTGGATTAGCAAAAGTATAAGTGTTAATGTTCTATTAGTTGTAAGAACATGGCTAATATATAATAATGCTAAGATTAGTATAATACTCTCGTAAGAAGTTGACAAATTTCCATGAATTTTTTGTGTAAATTTTATCCTAATCGACATACTGTAGTAATCGAGCGACAATAGCATCCGTGTCTTGTAATTCTCTCAATGGAATGGAACTAAAATGTTTTCCACGCCTGTTTATAACCAATGTAATAATAGGTTAAATAAATGATTAGAAAGTTATCTTGTAGTTTGAATGATTCCTTTGCTACGTTGTTTATGTATGAAAACGCATAAAAAACAGTTAGCGATATGAACCTTTTTAGTAATTTATAATTAGAAGTCATCATCTACCATGGTAGTATGTGGTAGTGGTTAAAAAATTTATTGCATTATACATATAGTATTAAAGTTTGCTAGATTTATAAGTAAATTATAATTTTCATTTAGTTACTGTCGCTGGAGAAATCATTAAAAGTAATGTTAACAAGTTTGATCATGGAGAACTAATCTATCATAAGTAATGCCTTGCCTCGCTATCGACAAACCTGAAAATCTGTAGCTTTGGTTTAGTGTTGCAAAATTCTTCTTGGTAGTCTTTAAAGCAATCAATCTAAAGTAGAGATGAAGTTACAAAATTATGGCTTAGTCATGGTAGATATTGCAGGATTAAAACAAGCGATAAAGCTAAATCTATGTAAGGCAGAATCCAAACCAAATGAGCACTACACTTCAGGAAGCGAATAGCACAGAAAGAAAGTTACAATCGTCCTGTTTAAATTACATGGTCAATAACCCCTATCAAATAGGATAGCTAAGAGTCTTAAGATACAATAGCACCTGTATGCGGAAAGATATACTCTTTTATAACTTGTTATACTTTTATAGAATTATATAATTCCAATTTATTCAGTCAATAACTCCGTTTAAGCTATGTTGGTAATCTTCAAACATAAAGGAAGTGAAGAGTCGGTTTTATTACTCAAGTAGTCATTTCTACGTTTCAGCAAGCGGATAACACAGAAATAAAGTTACTACTGTACTGTTTAAATTATATGAATATTGACTTTTATCAAATACGGTAGGATAGCTATGAGTCTTAAGATACTAACGCAAAAGAATAAAATTATATGTAATTTATTCTTTACGGTAGGAGTTGCCATTTAATCGGTAGATATTAGTTCAAAAAGCAAAGGAAAACTAGTCATCTCTCCATTCAATGAAAAATCCTTCTCATTATCAAGTCGATAGGCCATTTGAATAACTTATTGCTGGCCATTGATTTTTATACAGGCGCATTCTGAGTAGGGGAAATAAACCCATTTCTTAACAAGCTTAACAATGTCCATCCAGAATGCGATGCCATTCATTCAGGGAAATTAAAGCACCTTGTCTTTTATAATAGTTGGTTTGTAAAAGTGATTAAGGCTTTTTTTTATGTGGTCGCCTTTTCTATACATTGAATGGGAGAAACAATGTTGCAGTACTGTTGTAGATAGAGCCGCCTTGTCTATAGTATTATAAAGAGACACTGCTTTAAAATGGAATAGTTTACACTAAAAATTACCATTTGATCTCAACAATGGCGTTGACTAGCCAACACCAGTTGAAAAACATCTTCCGCCATGGTTGAAAACATAACATCGCGAACGATAAATAATAGTTCGATAAGTAGTAGCGGCAATAGGAGAAAAAAAAATATATTAGACCAGAGTTCATTTTATCTAATGCGGATATGAACTAAGGTTGTTTTCTGTACGTCTAAGAAATAGAAGTTAGGACAGGGTGAAAATGGAGTGAATAGGTTGAAAGTATATAACGATCAATGGACATTAACTTAGAAATATATTAATCGCGCATTTTCTCATCTAGTTTAATTAATTGAAAAAGGCGGAAGGAAATGTAATGAAAGGTCGCCGATCTTAAAATGTTTCCGAGAGCAGCTACTATCGGCAATAATATTTTCCTATTATTAGAATAGTGCGCGTTGTAAAGTAGAAGTGCAGTGAAATGAAGAAAGTCTGGCCTAGAGTTAGAATGATTCATTGCAAAGAACGGCTATCATTCGTCATCGTTCGGCTATGGCTTCTATGAATAAAATTGACGATAATCTGAATTTCTTATCGATTTAACTAATATTGTAACACTGTAGAAGTAGAGAAATATCTTATTCAAAATCATCAAAGAACTTTAAATGAGATGAATATTTAGTAGTATACATATCTGGGTAGAGCAGACAAATTTATGATAGTCTTCGATTATATAGTCATGGACATTTAGATTACATCCTCCTGTCATAAACGAATTAAGATATATTAACCTGGACTTGTTACTATCCGTTTATTTACTAGGGCATGTTCATAGATAGTCTTTGATTTTACTGCAATGGATGTTTTGCTAATCTACATACTTATATGGCCGGTAATCGAAGATATACTGTGTTGAAAATGATTGTCTTACAATAATTTTTTTCCGTATCCTCTCGGATCAACTGACTTTAAAATGAACTATTTATGTATTAAGAGTAAAAATCCGGTTGTCATCCTTGACTTATATTTTCCTCTTGTTTTGTAATGATAGAGTTAATCATTCAACTCTAACTAGGCTTAAATCGACGCTACTCTACACATTAAATCTTATCCGCAGAGGATGCCATTCTTAACACATTATTGATAGCACAAGCAACGGCTAGACCAACCAAGAAAACATTAAAGATTCGTATCAACGACATCCTATAGACCATAGGGAAACCATCGACAATTACTATTTTACTCTTTTTCTTTTAGTGTTTGGTACACACGTATGATTACCTATCAAATAATACAAACTCTCAAGCAATAGCATACTGCTTGTTTATTATCTTGGGGAGAAAGCTATTTATGTACTTATTTCCCTGTAGAATAGCCAATTAATGAACTTTACTGTGAGTTAAGAACGTATTTCTGTTAAGTCACAATTAAAATCTTACCACTTCTCAAACGGGTATAGAGACATGCCTAACTTACTAATCTTTATGTATAACATATATAATTAGTAAACTCTTTCCTACAATTCATGCTAGCGATCTATAGCACAAAGGTTACGACCTATCTTTGTAAAATAGCATTTCTGAGATTGAACAACTTCTGATAATAATTATTTGTCTACGCGTAAACTTATTTCATAGTAAAATAGAAACACTCCTCAAACGATGATGTCAGATTACGAGGTGTAAAATTCCAAGGCATAGTTTTCAAGGTTAGAGTCAACAAGATGTCCACGATGAAAGTATTAGTCTTTTGCACAGTAAAGTAGTACGAAATTAAATACCTTAACACCAACTACCACAAATTCTTTACGGATTATTTGTCAATCATATCGACTGGTAGTACTTAGCAAACAGAAAGACCTTGTACTCGTACGTCTATCGGCAAACTCGAACGGTATTGACGATGATGATGCCTAAAGATTGTACATCGCTTTCGAGAAATTATTTGATGATGAACCAAGCGTAACAAAGTTCCAACATGGAAGCGTCATAAAAAAATGATGATAAATTATATGCTTAACTCAAAGTTATATCCCTATTAATCTACTTGGAGGCATTACCCGTAATGCCGTAGGAGATAGTCTACAGTTCTCTTACAAAATTTCATTTTTCTCTCGTAAAGGAGTGAACATATTTATTGTACCGAAGGGTAGGAATAGTAGATGTACGGGCAACGAGAATCGATATAAAATGACTTACAATAGCGATCTTGACTTTATGATACTCTAGGGCATCTGCAACAACGCGAAAATCGGCTTCAAACTGTCGAGTGAGGGTCTGATCCATATTACCTAAGTAATCAGAACATGAAAAAAACGGAAAAAACAACTTTAGAAAATAGAAATTTTCGTTACCTTCTACTCGTACTAATAGGAGATACTAGAGTAATATTCTATAAAATCTGCAGTTTAGTTTTTCATCTTCTTCAAACATACTTGGTACTGGTTGCTTGTAGTAAACTACAATTTGCCTGTAGATCAGAAGATCATTCTGTAACTGTTCATTGGTGATTTCGATATTAGGAAGTTCAGTAAGCCAGTCCTTTCGACATTCAACATGATATTGTGTCAACGTTAAAATGGCTGCAATCAGTAAAAGATTGAACTGCTTTGCCGCCATCTTCTTCGTTCTCTATCTCTTCTTTACTTCCTTAGACTCTCACTAATTGCTAGAAATTTTTTTCTCGAATCTTAAAATTTTGATGGATACAGCCCGAATAAATCACGCTGTAATCATCAAAAAAGAAGTGATTGATTCACGATAGACTCCTTCAATGCCTTTTAAGCAACGTTCATTCGGTATGCAAGTAGTTATTAAAACAATGATCTAACAAGTTGTTTCATTGATTTGCAAGCCTTTATCCAGTAGGAGGAGTTGAAATTATCCGTATTGTTCTAATTGACATTCATGCTTCCAAGTTTGTATATAGCATTTAATTTCTTGCTGCCACGTAGTACGTTTAATTAGCATTACCTTTGTTATGTCTTTACAAATAGATGGAATATTGAATCAGCATCGTCAAATAATAAAGTGTTTATAAAATATAGTTAATTCTTTCTCATCTAGTATTTACTACTTTTTCAATCTAGCCTAGTAACGCTGCTATGTAGGGTAATCAATTTAAATCTGATCGATTAAGTTAGAACATGCTTGCACTTTTGCCTATTTTCTATCGTCCATCCTTGCTTACAATTAAATATCCATGCGGTATGAGCGTATTGTCTATCATATACGCGTATTACTCGTCTTCTAAATACTCATGGATGCGGGTATACCTTGATCATATTGTCCATATACGATAGCTTAAAGGTGTTAGAATGAACTTTTACAATTCAAATGAAGCCTATGCTAGTTTATTAGCTTAAAAACTGATAATTATAATTAATCTCGAAAGAGCCAAATTAGGTACTGCCTATTTACTTTCATATTAGATGGTAGCTTAAAAACAAAGTGCAAACTTAAATCTATATCAAGAATCAGAACATGATAGTCAAGTGCAGGTTTAAAGACATACGTCTCTCAATTTAGTGATTTGCAGGTTAATATTCAGAGCGCAATTTGCCTTTTCGGCAAAGAGTTAAATAGTACAGCAATGATCAGGTCTATATTAGGTAATGACTTAAAATAGAGGTTGAAACAATATCATCTACGGTTTATCGAATATCAGTAGGAGGATTAATTGAGCTACCTTAAATCTCTCTTCAGTGTATCGATTTGAAAACTGATATTCACTGTCTATTTTATCAAAAGTGCTTAGATGTCCTCATAGTAGTCAGCTTTATGCAAGATAGCAGTTTAAAATAAGAAGTACGAATATCTATGCCGAAGAGCAAAGATAGACCCTAGCTAAAATAACTTATTTCATGTTCTTTTTAGTAGATTGGTTTGAAATCTGATAAGACTATTTAGTACATTATTTGCTTCACCGAAAAGGCCTAAAACTGACATCAATTAATCAGTTTAACGTATACTAAGTAGTAGTTTGAAATAATCTCAACCTCAATACTAACATCAAGTACAATGTTACAAGATATTTCACGCCATAATAGTTCTCTTTATATCTTATTCTTACTATCTTTAATCTGATATTTGATATTCAGTATTTACTTCATTAGTAAGAATTTAATTGGTTCTTAATATTCAATGTTTTGCATACCATCAGCTTAGAGCTAGGCCAATGCGTTAAAATAAATACTAGATAGTTCAATCGGATGTAATCAACTCGTTAATTATTACAGTACGAGTGTATACAGGTATACATTTGATCAGCGTTAGCGTGGTTATTGGCTGAGTCGTTTCACTATGACAAGCATGGGAATTATCCTGTTTCAATTGCCCTAGGATTAATATCGATACAGCATATAGACTAACATAATATATGTAACTTGGAAACTAAGTGTTGACATAACCTAAGATGCGTAGCTAATAAATAATATATGTATTTGTACAGTAATAATATCCATATCCTCCTCCTACTATTATTCACTAAATATTAAAGGGCTTACCTCTGACTAGTTGCCTTTGAAAATCGTGCAAAAAATTAAAAATTTTTTATAGCCACTTGATATCTCGTGCTGATAGGTTGAAATTTTAACTATATGCCTACTTGAATGAATCTTTTGAAATTTTAATCAACTTCATTTAGCATACAGGCTTAAGGCAACATCGCTACGCTAAATTATATAATAAACAGTTTAAACAAAGCCAATTCGTTTAATGAATTTATACCAAAGGCTGAATCTGACCAATGGCATTTGATTCGTAAAAAATAAACAAGTGAACTACAAAATAATTGTAAAAAAATGACAACAGGTAGCTAAGATTTTCGTATAGACATAAAAATCAACTCTTTTTGCATGAAAGAGATTACAATAAATGATATATTTTAGCGTAAATTTGTACAATATCATTATAAATACTCAATCGGTCTTTATTAATAGCTGAAATATTTAATATAAATATTTTGGGTAGTTAGATATAACATCAACTCAATGGAGAGTACAAGGTACGGTATGATATAGTAAACTATAAAATCTTTAAATTCAACATAGTGATACCAATTTACCTTATATTTCTCATAAGAATAACGTTATATCAAACTATTTATTTATTCTGATATTGCTTTTTCGCCTTGTAGAAGCAAGATTTCGAATATTTCATAAAATTTTCATTTTCAATTACAGTATTAAAAAACGCATGTATAGTAGAATGAAAAATATTATACGACCTTAGGAATAATGAACAGTTTCTCATAGCTTCTAATTATGAATTCCCATTAATTAAAATCTTAATATATCGCAGAGTATCAGAAATAATTACAATATTTATCATGAAATAAGTACGATATTAAGTAGTTTACAACATTCTCAATAGATCTCTAACGTCCGTCATCTATCTAGATTATATCCTGTTCAAACCCAGATGATGATCCTCTGATTTGTAGATACAATTAATAGATTAATGAGACTATGGCAAGAAATTAGGACAGCCAATAGACTGATCAAACCGTAAAATTACGTACCGTTTCCTTAACCGGCTTATTTCCCTTGTGGTTGAACGGAATAATAACTAAAAAAAATAAATTTGTCTTAGATGTATGATGCCCCATGAAATACTAATAAATACATTACAAATCCAAGTATCAATAGATGTACTGTAAACGATTTATGATTAAAGCAGTCGCAACTACAGAAAAAGCGGCTTACCAATGCAGATGCACCTTCTGATGCCATCAACATGTAAAATACATGGGACCAACCCTATAAAAATACAGTGCGATGAAATGTTTACCATGTTGTACATGTTTGAATATAATAACGTTTAACAAATAAAATGAAAGAGTAATCAAAATAAGAGTTAGCTGAACTATATTGAAAGACTTACAGTCGGCACTATGTAACCAGTTAGTAATGGTCCCATAGCCGCACCTGAAGTAAATTAAGTTATATTTCATTATATCCACCACTTGCATTATAACTGCAGTGCCTTTCAGGATATCCCAAATATTTCTCAAGCGAAAAATATGGCATAGAGCAACAACTTCAAATATATATTTCGAAACTAACCTATTCCACCAGTGCCGTTAATGATTGAACTCACAGTAGCTGTAGCTCTTTGATTACTCTTTAGTGATGGGTGATTTCCCTGATTTTATTCATGCAATATATTATGTTAACTACGATTAAATCTAACATTATATGTATTAGGCAATATGCAAGGAAATGGGGACCTACCAATTCCGCAGAGACGGTAGTGATTATAAGTGCGCTAGGACCATAAACCGTGATACCACATAGCATCATAAGTACTAATAGGCGTATCAATTTACATTTATTAAAAGCAATATAAAAATAATAATAGAAATATATGTTTATCCAATTGTAAAACTTACCGATATTTACCGCTAAACTGATATGTCCAAAATAGTGATATATAAATAGCTGTAAGTATAAAATGATAAGAATTACTTTTAGAGCCGTTTGTATTACTTAAGTGTATTTGCCTTCTTATCAAGAACTTAAAAATGCTTTACCGAAGGAACTGAGAGTAACAATAGGACAGTGCAAATAATAGCTTTGCATCCGGTCTTATCGATAATTAAGCCAGCACTTACACTACCTGTAATTGCATAAAATGAATTTCAGTACAGTAGTAATTTAGTTTAATATGACTATTGAATAGCTATCTAATTTGTCTGCTAATTATTACCTATTATGCCTCCGAGATCAAAAAAGACTGAAAGGAAAGCAGACTTCTCTGAACCATACCGGACGCCATTAATATCTGTAACAGTAGAAACTTTCAGTATTACATTTTCTCGTCCGTAATAAATTGTACAATAAATTTAAAATATTTACCAATATCATCCAGATAAAACGGTAACCAATAAATAAATGTATAGCTGACCAATTTATTAAAAAAGAGGGCAAAAGCGAATATGGCTACGCTCTGAAAATAACATTAAAGCAACATTTAACATAAAATTTTTATTTTACGAAACTAGGAAAAATGTCCATTAAAGAAAATTAAACTCACGTCAATTTTAATTGCATCAATAAACCTTATAGCAACTTTAGGTGGTGATTGCTGTCCAACGTTGAAGTAAGGAATAAGAATTTCGTAAGCATTAATACGTGGAAAGCATTGTATATCTATAAGTTTGTATTTACTATATTGCAAGAAGCTTTCTACACTCACATTATGGTGAATATCAGGCATATTAGCAGTATCAACTGAATTTATACTACGATGACGAGAATGTAATAATCTTCCAGAGTTATCCTGCAGTATGTTAGATTCTTTCATGAGATAACAGCATACGTAAATTTATAGTATACAATAGTACTCATTATGGTTAGTTAAATTATCATTAAAAGTATATATTGTACCTCTTCCACATAACTATTTGCCGTACTGTCATCCAGGAGCCTCTGTCGCTCACCCTTAGTGCGATAATGATCATAATTGTTAGTCATCTGTATTCATATTAAAATAATTGCAAAACTTTATACTGTAAAATGATTTTTATTTGGTAGATTACCGAGTTACGATAACGGTTGATTTCGTCTTCGTCCTTTCGCAGTTTGATTATTGTTGAAAATGAATTACATTCATTAATAAAAGGCTGTATGGAATGGGAAATAACTAATAAGGTCTTATCTATAAAACTTGAATTAATTCATACATTTTGCTTCGGTTCTCGGCAGTCAACCTCAGAAGGTTCTTAAGGATAAAGTAACATCAAGATTGAAAAGGAATAATAAAGATAACGCGGACTACATTATTACCGGCTCAGTAAATGTACGTTAGACCTATTTTTTATATGTTAAAAAAAGCATTTCTATACCTGTAACGAGAGTAAAGAATGTAACTATTCCAAAGACGGCCATTAAGATACCAGGGACAACAAATGACCAGCCCCTATTAATTACAATAATTACGTTTTTGAACTCTATACTCCGCACTCCTAAAGTACTACAACCACAAATATTTAATAACAAATATATTAGTCATTATTCATAAGTCATTAGTACCATGCCCCGCTTGCCCAAATACCAGGAATTATCGACCCAAGAATATTTCCAACAGAAGTATGTGAGTACCAAATACCCATTACTAAGCCTCTCCTACATTGGTTTAAATACGAACTTATTTAGCTTCGAAAATAATTTTTATATCAGTTATGATTATAGCATAAATGCTTTCTGCTGATTATTCTATATATTACCTTCCTTTTCCATACCAACTTGCAACACACGCAATTAAAATAGGTAATCCATTTGACTTTATAAAAAATTTAATAGGGTAAGCTTTATAACTAATATAGTATAATTTAATATGAAAAAGTTTAAACAATTTTAGATTATTGAAATATAATAATTTATTCAGTTTCTGAAGAATTATACCTGCACTAATCCATCTGCAATCTGTTTTACAATAAAAATAAAGATGTAAGCAATTTTAAAGTGATTTTCAGATCAACAAAACTCAAAGGTTATATAGTTGCAAAGATAACTGACCTGGAAGACTACAAAGTAAGCATAGCTGTGTATTTTAAGGAAATAGCTTAGTCCAAGGGCAACTGTTACGACAGCAACAACTGTAGGTGGACAATTAAAGTTCTCCAATTAATATTTGAACTACTCGTATTTAATTTTAATAGTTATCTACAAGTTTCGCTTGAATTATCCATGAAGTACGAGATTGCAAGTTTAAGCAACTTACGTAGCATACTGATAGTCAGAAAATATCTTTTATTGACCCGTTCAGCTATATAACCACTGTATCGATCAATAAAATTAAGTATTTAGTCATATCATATCGCATTGCGATTTCGCAGAACTGATACAGTACTGCGTGGTCATTCATTTTTATATCGATACAGGGTATAATATTAATAGTAAACCGTGTTATATCAAGACTTTAATCACTATACGTATTTGACTTGCCTGACAATACCACCAAAAGCATAAAAGAGTAGAAAGAGCAGATCTAATACACCAAGCAGTTGACTTCCGTCGCTTGTACCTACATTGAATTGTAATTAATTTACAGTTTTGAGAGATTTTATATGATTTCTGTTAAGCAAAGAGCTTGGTCGAGACAAAGGCCGAAATAATTTTGCGGATTTTCGATATATGGTATATTAACTAAACTAAATACGTGAGAAACTAAACATATTTAAGTGTGATATTTTTAGGTGGGATAAAAATTCTAACGAGGTTCAATGCAAATTAAAATCGCAAAATACAGTACTATTTTACCAAATGGTTTCCAATCAGGGCAGGGTACATATAAATGAGAGATGTTAGTATGATTTCCTTCAGCGCCAATAGCTGAGAGAAAATTTGAGCGAATTGGACCATGATCAAGGGTACAATTTGCCGTAAATAGAGAACTCTACAAGTAGTAATTTGGAAAGAAAGCGAGACATTTTTATCATGGATAATATATTTAAGAAATATAATTAATAATTGGCTATGTAGTTATAACCGATAACTGCATTTAGGGGCCATAATGATTAACATAATAATTTAATTTAAAACATGTTATAAACTTTACGAGTATGCAAGGATTGGTAATTTGTAAGCAGCCTGTTAGATATGTACATACAGTATATCGCTAAGTAGAAATTCTAACTTTTTTGTAAGAATTTGATAATACTACCGAGATTATGATTATAGATATTAGTAAGTGATAATTTACTCGTCTATTAAAATTGTTCTGCTTTTAAATAAATGAAAAATTTGATTAATACATATGGATTTATTGAATATCATTATTACCTTAACAACAGATATCACCTTTCTAGTGATGTGATAGTTAGTATAGCAAATATACGTCAAGACTAACGTCCACATACCATACCTAAGTGAAATGAAGTTAACAGGCAATGTTAAACAATAGACTGGGAAAAGCTTCTATTATCGAAATACAGGCTAAACTTTATATGGGATAATAAAAAACTGAATAACTTCAAACCAATCTCTAGTATACTAAGTAGAAATCTAGCTACTGTTAAGTTTCAATCATTATAGCTGTAACTTGCGGTACAATATTATACGCCTATTAATCGCATAATGCTGAATATAGGTACGCGTATTACATACTGTTGGCTGCAGATGAAAACGTAGCTACTGACTTATTCTACAGTAGAGCGAGTATTGTATTTATATCCATTGCGATCAGAATTCATTATTATATTATCTGCATCTTTGCTTCTACCATAATGGAGTTTGCAATATGCGTTTGTAAATTATAACGCAATTTAATTTGTTGCCATAGGTACTTGTAGTTGAATAATGAATTGATTAAGAAAATGCTATATGAAATTACTCAGTTGGTAGATAAATTTTGATACGAAGTAACATATTCGTTTATCATCTGAACATATGTTTACATTTACTTACAATACTATTTTTTGTACTGAAAGACTACTTCATTGTAGCTATTTGTGCTACTACGAACTTTAATCATCAAGAAGATAAACTCTTTTAAGTCATTTATTGCAAGTTTAGCGAGTTATTGACTACATTTTATACTGAGTAAGAAGTAATCACGCTAACGAGTTCTTACTATATTCAATTGTAGAATTGTAGAAATCATAAAATGTTTGACAAGATTCATTGGCTTTGAATTACTACAATTGGTCATTCATTTCGATGATGATCCTATACTCATGCAGGAAGAAATATCCCAAGAGCAGGACCTTCACGGGATCAGTACACACTTCCATAGTGCTGAGTTAAGAACTATTGGATAAGGTATTTACACTCATATTACACCTAGGTTTGATCTATTCGATAGAAGAATAAGTTGATGAATTCACTTGCATAAGTTTTAAAATTGTTCAACGTAAATGGTTTCAATAAGATAGTGAAATTCAAAGTGATGGACTGAAGTATTTTTGAGTTCGTTTGTTGATCGTGATTCTGCTATTGATGATCATCAGTTAGCATACCCTATTAGCCTTCCAGTACTATGAAGACTTACAGTAAAGTGTTTATAAATATACTATAACAAAGTGGATTAGGAATACGAGACTATCACACATTATCTTTACGTGATTATTTGCTAAATACAGTGAGTATAGTGCCCATAGAACCAATATTTTTCGATCCACTACAAGTTCGATTATTTCCAAGATCAATCAGAGTATTCTTAGCATGTGCCTTACGCTCAAATACCTACGATGGGCATGTTAGTTGTTCTGTGCTCTCCATGCTTGAGTATTTTTATATGGAAGTAAACTGCTGCAGAACATTATTGTTCCATAATAACTGTACTGTATTTGCTAATGGCTTTGAAGGTTAGTCCAAGACTTTTTACTTCAAATGCAATCAATACCTTGTATCCTTGACACAATGAATTGAGTAAGCAAAAACCGCTTTCTCTTCTACGGTTTATGAGCTAGTACAGTATATAATTTCATTGGACTATCTACCAGATAGGTCGTACTGTGAATTTTCCATAATAGCAGAAGATCAATGTACCTTTATTCTTTCATTTTTTGAAAGAAAGAAACCATTTCATTTCCTCCATCTACAGCACAACCACAGGTAGAATAGGCTAAAGAGATTATGATTAATTATTTTCTATAAGGGTGATATCTCCCTTTGCTGACACAAGCACAGCGTACAGCACGACAGTACATTTGGTTGACCAATAAAGAGTAATTTCATTGAGAAAATTCTAAAAATTTGTATCATTTCAAAGGGCGTAAAATGGTTTGCAAATTTCACGTTACTACAGCACAATAACACAATCTTGGATTGGCTAAAGTTATCACGACTAATTATTTTGCATAAGAGCAATATCTGCAATTCCTGAGACAAGCAGCATGATAGTTCGTGTGCATGATCAATCAAGGATAATTTCATTGACAAAATTCTACTAAGAATTTTATATCATTTGAAAGGATGTTGACATGATTGCAAATATAGTATGACCTTGATACAATCTATTTTCGATAATGTTGATATCTCCTATTCCTGATATAAGCACAGCTAGCACACAGCATGATAGTATCAATCAAGGATAATTTCATTAACAAAATTCTACTAAGAATTTTGTATCATTTGAAAGGATGTTGAAATGATTGCAAATACAATATGACCTTGGTACAATCTATTTTCGATAATGGTGATATCTCTTATTCCTGATACAAGCACAGCTAGCATACAGTATGATAGTACAGTAGGTGTTGTTGATCAATCAAGGATAATTTCATTAACAAAATTAACAAAATTCTACTAAGAATTTTGTATCATTTGAAAGGATGTCAAAATGATTGCAAATACAGAATGACCTTGGTACAATCTATTTTCGATAATGTTGATATCTCCTATTCTTGATACAAGCACAGCCAGCATACAACATGATAGTAGGTGTTGTTGATTAATCAAGGATAATTTCATTAATAAAATTCTACTAAGAATTTTGTATCATTTGAAAGGATGTTGAAATGATTGGAAATACAGTATCAGCTTGATACAATCTATTTTCGATAAGGTTGATTTCTCCTATTACTGATACAAGTACAGTATACAGCATGATAGTAGGTAGGTGTTGTAGATCAATCAAAGGATAATTTCATCGACAAAATTCAACTAAGAATTTTCGACCACTTCAAGGCCGTCAAAATGAAACCAAACATCACTTTACGACATTACTCCTAGGACAGCAGTGCAGTAAATAGACTAAAGTCGTCCTATCTCATTGGCTACGATAGCAATAATATCCTCCATGGATGACTTCCTTCCACTCCACTCATTATTATATCAATGAAGAATAATTCCAGCGAGAACATAGAGACCTACAATAGTCTACGCAGCATTTGCAATGTCATGCAAAGCATGCACTTTCAACTCATTCAACGCCTTTATACCTTGGTTGAATAAAGCGTCCAATGATCATCATTTTGGGTGGGATAATAATGATCATCAGACCGCCAATATAATCCCTACTATTATTACTTTAAATAAACTTACAAGGATTCTCTTTCTTGTCGCCTTAAAAAACGAATAAGTGGTGGAGCATTTTTATCGATATTCCGGCGTCGAACGTGGCTATAGCCAACCGGTAAATCGTTGTCTTGTGAAGCCATCAAGTCGTTGTCCTGCATTGCGTTTACAAGTTGAAGTGATCGATTGATGCCAAACAAAATGGAACCACTACGGAATATATACTTTATGCGATACTAGAGTGGATTTGGGGGGGGGGGGATTCTCAATATTCTAATTAGCCTTAATATTCACAGAGTAGAGAAGGAAGAGGCTGAAAAAGTAGACAGAAGAAGAATTTCCTATTTCAAACAGAAAATTAAATTTGTCAATTTGTTGATTCCATTGGTTGCCGCCGCTATCCTACAAGTTGAATCGTGGGTGGACGCTACACTCGCCATTGAGTCGACTGACGACAGCAGTGAATAGTAAGTAGTTCGACTGTAGGAGGTGTCAACAGAAAAATGAAAAGACGTACCGTATGTGTGTGTATCGTACAATAGCCGCAAGACCGTGGTGCATTGCATAGACAATGAACTCGATCGTGGTCAATTGCTATACTAATTGAGTCATTTCTCCAACGTATTACGTTATCGTGACGTGGGTGACGTGATTTCATAGCAGGTCAGTCACTTGAAGGTCGGCAAGTCTCGTTCAGGTCACGAGAGCTACGCTTGTCAATCCGTCAGTACTTCTAAGTCTGGAAATGGTAGTCAATCTGTTGACCTAATCCGCTAGTCCACAAGCAATCTAGTGCTGCAGCTAAAGTATTGGAGTCCAATGCATGACACTCCTAACCGTCTAACTGCTATACTTGATTATTGATGTCGAATTTGCTTGTCCATGGTGAATCAATAAAACTTTTCATGTTGATTTTTACATCAATCTTGTATCAGTGATAATATCTGTATCGATCTCGAAATTGGAGTCAATCCGTTCACCTAATCCGCTAGTCTACAAGCAATCTAGTGCTGCAGCTAAAGTATTGGAGTCCAATGCATGACACTCCTAACCGTCTAACTGCTATACTTGATTATTGATGTCGAATTTGCTTGTCCATGGTGAATCAATAAAACTTTTCATGTTGATTTTTACATCAATCTTGTATCAGTGATAATATCTGTATCGATCTCGAAATTGGAGTCAATCCGTTGACCTAATCCGCTAGTCCACAAGCAATCTAGTGCTGCAGCTAAAGAATTGGAGTCCAATGCATGACACTCCTAACCGTCTAACTGCTATACTTGATTATTGATGTCGAATTTGCTTGTCCATGGTGAATCAATAAAACTTTTCATGTTGATTTTTACATCAATCTTGTATCAGTGATAATATCTGTATCGATCTCGAAATTGGAGTCAATCCGTTGACCTAATCCGCTGGTCCACAAGCAATCCAGCCGCAGCTAAAGCGTTGGAGTCCAACGCACGACACTGCTATACTTGATTGATATCGAATTTGCTTGTTTATGGTGAATCAATAAAAGTTTTCATGTTGATTTTTACATCAATCTTGTATTAGTGATAATATCTGCTTAGATCAGTGAAAGCTCATCATATTAATGATACTTCTGAAAATATCATATCTCTATTATAATTATTGGACACGATCAATATTAGCAGTATTAGTCAATCCGTCAGGACTTCTTCAGGTCTTTCATTAAATCGGAGGCAATCCGTTCAACTAATCGCTAGCCCACAAGCAATCCAGTGCTGCACCCTAAGTATGGAGTCGAATGCACGACACTGGTATTTGCTATACTTGATTAATGTCGAATTTACTTGTCCATGATTAATAAATAAAAGTTTTCATGTCGATTTTACATCAATCGATCATCAGTGATAATATCCGTATAGATCAGCGAAAGCTCATCATGCTAATGATATTTATGAAAATATCACCTATTTTTCCAGATATTCATAGAGATAAAAGAAAAATTCACACTAATAATACCAAATCGAAGCTCGATTCGCTTCTCAACTTGCAACAGGCTTTCCTACTATCGAATCATAATACTATTGATATACGATTGAGTATCAAGAATTTACTGGGTCCGTCTAATGTACTTAATCCATATCATTTTATAAATAGTTAATAATTAGAATTAGAATTGAACTAGAATGAATTAAGAATCAGTCAAAGGCATCGATTGATTTACTGATGATTCTATCTCCAGCTACTGCTTAATTGTTGGCTGAATTGCATAAAGAGTACAACGAATGTATGATCTGTCTCTTCTTTCATCAGCCCAGCTCTAAGTTATAAAGGATGCTGACTGATTACACTGAAATAAGATTCTATCCACCATCAATCTGCATACCGCAGTGACATCTTCGTATTGAACGATGAAAAATGAACAAAAATAATTTCCACCAGCGCCAACCTTATTAATGGAGTCATTATCTACAGCCACTGGTTTTAGCAGCTTTAGACAACACTTTAGCGTACAATAATAAACTGAAATAATTACAGTACTGTTGATTGTAAATAAAAATATATTACGTAAATCTCTTCTTTCTTCGCTGGTCATGTGTATCTTATACAGTCATTAAACAGATATTTTGATCCTATAGTAACCCTTGATCAAAATAATAGCTAGATCTGTCTGAATTATAATGATGAATAATTTAAGGTGACATTTCACACTACTTCGATAGTGTTCAGTAAGTTTTTGAATATCTCTTCTTTATTCATTAGCTTAGAATGTTCCCGTGCATAAGTAGTGATCCCATAGGAATCCTTTACTTAGGGAGAAAATGACATTCATTCTCCGTTCCGCTCTGCGTTTAATATCAAATCGAGTAAATAGGACAGCAATGGTGTACAGCTAGTGATACTCTTGCTTAGATGAGGTAAGTAAAGATGAGATCGTCATTTTTTTATTGTTCCACAACACCATAGTAATTACTACTGCTAGATAGAAATCTTTGTAAGGAATGGCAATGCAGTAGAAGCAGCTCCTATTCATTTATAGAGTTTGAAATTACTTGGCTTTGCACTACTGCAATTTCGATACTCATCACAACTTTATCCAAACTTTGCCAACACAGCAATTTTGTAGTCTTTTCATCAATCATAGGCATTTTTTATTCGTTAACAAAATGTGCTGATTATTAATAATAGATGCTGCAGCTAAGTTAACGTCTATGTTGAAAGCTTACAGCATGTCTTAGTATGTAATACTGTATATAGAATAAATTTTTATAGTATTAATTTATAATACTATAGATATAGGATATTTTAAACACTTACGGCGTCTTTTATTTTTAGTCGTATAAAAGCATTTCTATCGTAATGATTTCTCAATTACTAACACTTGTAGTATAGTAGTAATTGATGTGGTCACTGTGGCACTCATACGTCGTACACTGGCCATAGCCTACTACGAGCGTACAAACCGTGGTGTAAAGCTTGTTCTTGCCAATAAAATATTCTTCTAGTACTTATATTGCTATTCCGGTAATTCAAAATATGCAATCATTGTCTTGTCATTATAATCAGAATAATTTAGATTTACATACAGTAACGATAGTTATGGATACAATTTCTTATACACGATACACTTATACACTTATATCGTATACGCTCATAGAAGGAAAAGACAATTAGACCATCAAATTTGTTCGATGGAAATATTGGTCAAGATACATTTCTATTTTGCCTTCGTAATAAAATATATCTTCGAAGATGAATAACTATGTGCAATAGAGGCCATGGCTATGCTATTTTATGAAAATGAATTAATGAATATTTATCAAAGTAAGATCAACCTTCTTGGTAAAAACACAAGAAAAAAATTGATTATAAAAAGTGATGATTCAATGCACCGATATCTATTTTTCATCTTCCATAAAGCTGTTGGAAATACAGTAATTAAAAAATAATGACAGTTTACCATACTAAAATAGTTCATTCTTAGCAGACAAACGATTCAATCGCATCTGTCCAGTAGTTTGCAATTAAGACCGTTCAAAATAACAGCAATAATAAAATTGAAATTATCCAAATAGAATCCGGGAATGAAATTGGCATTTAGCGCTTTAATATAAGCGACGTTTCTTCCAACGATAATTATAATTACATGTCATAACTAGTATTATGCAGTAGCGACTACTTTGCCATTTTCGTTGAACGAGTACGTTCTTTCGCTTCTATACAAAATAACGTTAATAATTTTGTTAGAATGATAGGCATAAATATTTTGAACTATCATAATATATTAAAATTGGTCCCAAGTAATCTGAAACATACCGATTATTTTTGCAATATCCCTTACACTCTTTAATCAGAGGGCCTAGTAAAGCCTAAAAATAGACGTCCATATTCATCACAAGGTAATATAAGACAAACCACTCTTATAAACTATTTTTTTTCGATACGATTTAGATTTCTGAGCAACAAAACTAAGTGTGGTTACTTACAAGAAGCGAACACAATTCAGAAGCCATCATAGTATAGAATACGTTCATCCAACCCTAAGGAAAAGCAGAATCGCACCGTTATGCTATTGCAATTCACTCAGACTACTTGCACGATCTTCTATACGTATTCAATTTTCGTACATATTCTTTTAACTATATGACTTACTGTTGGTTGTATGATGCCTGCTAGTAAAGGTCCCAACGCAGCACCTTGGAAGTGGTTATGTCAATTGTCGGTTAGTATAGAAGTTGTTAAATGATATACGCATAGAGCCAGTTATACTAACCTAATGAGCCTGTAGAATCTATAATTGCCGTTACAGTAGCGGTAGCTTCTTGATTTCCTTGAAGTGATGGGTTATGTCCCTAATTAATCAGAGGCAGTATTCGTTATCAAAGAGCGGAAACGATGATATTGATCAAATTAAAACAACTAAATTTTCAACGTACCAGTTCAGCTGATACTGCTGTGGTAATTAATGCGTATGGTCCATTGACAGTTATGCCAGAAAAAATCATTAACACTGCAACAAATGCAGATATCCATCCATCAATTTCATTTCATTACCTATTACTGTAACAAATTATAACTTGACAAGTAGAAAAACATAACTTACAAATATTTAATCCTAGACTCTTCGTTCCGTACAATTGATATACAAAGAGCTGTTAATTGAATAATAAAGAAATGCTCATTACATGTATGCAACAATATCAAGATAATATAAATATCCAAAATCCCTAAAATTAATACATCGATATCTTATATATATCGATACTTACAATAGGAATAGAAGCTGCCAACATTATTATACAAATTAGTGCTTTTGCGCCAGTCTTGTCAGTCAATATACCAGCTAGTACACCCCCTTTTTACAAAATAAAATGATTTAAACTTATTTTGATGAAGGCATAGCTTATTATGACGGGTTTTATGGTAGACTTTAAAGTATTACCAAGCACTAATAATGCAAATTAAAAACAATACTAAGTTGTCATACCGATGATTCCTCCAACATCAAAGAAGATAGAAAGGAATGCGGCTTTCTTACCACCATATCGAATTCCTCCAATAACTACGCAAAAAGGCATATTCGTATTGTAAGAGGAAGACAGTCATAAAAAATAACAAAACTTTGAGATAAAAAATCGGATGTCAAACAAACTACGTACGTATATTATCCAGATAGAAAGGCAGCCAAAATAGGAATGTATAGCTGACAAGTTTATTAAAAAATAAGGCCAGGGAAAAGTACACAACGCCCTGAATAATTATACCTATTTAGTAATAGTTAGAGAAAAGAGCGTAAAGGTTGTATTCTTCATCATACTTCAATTCTCAACGCTTCTAAAATTGTTATAGCCTTGTGAGTTTGCGGAGCCTACAAAATATAATATTTTGGAGAGTCAATTACGAAATAATCGATTTTGACACAAAATAATAATGTCTTATAACATAGACAAAATAATATTAAGTTCAAAAATTAGATAGCAGTTACAATATCATTACATTGTAATTAATTAGGCAGTGGATAGCTACTATTACTGACATAAAGATTATTAATTTAAGGTTACATTGCATAATAATCCTATACATTAGCTTACCTCCTGAGTTATAGTCTCTGCAGTTTCTGCCGATGCTAAAAGTTGGTCTCGTTCGTTCTAAATTTGGGTACATTCAATTTCGCTATCAAAATTTTATATGAAAAAACTAGCTAAACGATGTCAATTTCGTACAAATTGCAATTGGTCACTTGTTGATGATTCTTCAGATGGCTCATCCTGTAGACAATTTACAATATTAGTTAATATAAATCTAGCATCAAGCAATTTACGAAAGCTTGATGAAATAATAATTATGCTATTTTTATGGAAACGAAATCTGTAAAGCATTAGTAGCTTACATTTTGGCGCGGTTTAGCACAATCGACTTCATCAGGCGCTAAGAATTAAATCGTTAAAATAATTTTAGATCACGAATAATCAAATATTATACCTTTAGTATGTCTGTTACTCTATAAATTCTTAGCATAATTATATATCAAATAAAATTACCTGCTACAAGAGTTAAGAAAACCAAAACTGCAATAACTGCAGTTATGATAGCTGGAACAATGAATGACCAACCCCTGATCGTTAAATATAAAGAAATATTCATTCTTTCACTTGATATTATTACTACCAAGAGTTAGCTACAGTAAATATTATTCTTGAAGGGTTCAACACCAATAAGTCTAGTAAAAATTAGTACACGTTATTACTTTAATTTAATCTTACCAATTACCCTGCGCCCATAATCCTGGAATCACTGAGCCCAACATGTTGCCAAAAGATGTATGTGAATTCCACACTCCCATGATAAAACCTCTCCTATAAATTTTTACAAAACAGCGGACTCATTTAGCCATTAGGAGAAGTCCATCATGCTAATTTATTGATAAGTATAGACATCTTACTTGCTTTTCCCATACCAGTTGGAAACAATTGCTACAACAGTTGGCCAGCCTGTCGACTATAAGATAAGATGAGTCGAAATGAATGCAAATGTTATCTGTTTTCGTACAATAAAAGGATACTTGTTGCAACTAGATAATTATCAGTAGCCATGCATAGAATAATATTATCCAATGTTACCTGTGCGAATCCATTCAGTATCTACGAAGTATGGAAAAGTCGTTGTAAATAATTAAGTACATTTGATAAAGAATTATTAGAAGTATATTAATCCAAAGGTACTTACTTGGAAGATAAGAAAGTACGCGTAACTATGAATTTTTGCGAAGTAGATAACACCCATCATGGCAGTAAATATTGATATTCCTATTTTAAGTGAATTATTAGCAAGTTTTGAAGAACCAAAACGGAATTAATTTTAAAATCTATACCAATAACAGTATTTCTATTACGTGAAAATTTCATACGTTACCTAACATTCCGCCACTTAGAAAATACCTCTTATTTACTCGCTCAGCGACGTATCCACTGGTGATTTAAACATACCTGATTAGAATTATATAACACAATTTTGTAATAGCAAATGTTTTACGTATGTGCATGTAGGTACCTTACTAAAACACCCACGGCATAACAGAATAAAAAAACTACGTCCAAAATTCCCAGCAAGTGACTACCATTTTGTTCATCTAGATAATTGAGGGCAGGACTTACGTTAATATTTTGTTTTCAAAGGCAATCAAGTTAAAATACAAAACCAGTCATAACATACTAAATGGTGCCCATTGGGGGCATGATTGAACCAATTTCGTTCCGTTTATAATAAGTGGCTGAGAATGGATTTCATTACCAGAGACAAGCATTTGATCATTATCAAGAGCTAGCGTACAGTTGGGTGTATATAACGAGCTCTGCCGAACAGACAGTGAAGGAATGATAATATAGAGTAAGCAAATTTTAATGACCGAAATATCTTATTACAACCATAATATCATAATATAAAAAATATTTGGAATAATTTTACGACAATTAAATTAATTGAAGATGAAATTTTTTATTTCATTTCAGAAATTAGTCCATTCTACTTCACTTTTGACATCGGTCAAAAATTTTACAGTAGATAACAGAAATGAACAGGAAGTCCTATTGTAACAAAGCTATAATTAAGCAATTCACTATATACAGTATAGGGCAAGGCGTAGATAGAACGGAGGAGCAATATTCGAGCTTAGAACTTTCTACATTATGCACCAATACTTTACAATATTCCATATAATTGTTAATTAATCAAGCTAATACGATTCTAATCTTGGTGATTTTTAAGTTCTTTCTAGCAGAGAGATCTCAAACATTAAAAAAGATCTCCACTAATTCCGGTAAGAGAATTACAGATATTGCAGTATTTTAGTTCTTCGCACGTTATAGTGTTATCTACTGTATCATCACATAGCTAACACAATTTTGATCGAAATTACCTTAACAACGCTTATGATCTTTCGGGTCATATGATAGCATGTATACGAGAGGAAGGTTAGAAATAAAATCCAAGCCGCATACCTGGTAATCAATAGAAGAACAATATCAGAAACCAATGGCCTTTAAAATGGTTCATAACGCTATTATTACGTGAATATAACTAATAGCTAATTGTATGTGAGAAGATTCAAGATGGTGAGATACTGAATAAGTAAATATGCAACTACATTGTACAGTACTGATTTCAATCTTTGCATGAAGTTACTTGTATATGTGTACGGTAGAGAGAAATACTGATTGTAGACTATATAAACAGTTTACATAAAGTTTTGAGGCAAACCACCTTGCGAATGGAAAATAAAGCATAAACCTACAAGATTTTAAAATTATGGAATTATGGCTGATAATGTGATATAGGTTTTTCATATTAGGCAATTATAGTTCAATAATAATGACTAGATTGAGCATATACGTGTATAACCAGCTATAACGTATAAACACCGTATGTTTTTGTCAGCATGTCCTGAACTACTCGTATAGTAGTTCTAGTAGGGTATTCGAATACTCTCTACTATAAGATTTTCCGTAAAGTAGAAATCACGAATAGTATTTCGACAGCATTTAAGTGATTCTTTAATCAAACCGGAAGCTGATGTTGATGCTTTTAAATACTAAATACTATAGCAATTAATAAGTAAATTTTATATCAATGATATAAAGAAATTTGCTTAAAATTCAATTTTTAGAATGTAGTTAATCTTTACTAAAATCGGACGTATCAATCTCAACGAAAATTAATTATAGACGAGTATAGGTAGGGCATTTTTATTGGCCTGTATTGGATGTAATACCAGTCTATCACTGCAATTAAAGCAACATCTGCGTCCTACGAATATTGCGGGAGGCATTCTACGAAGAGCGTTCTAATGCACTCTTGTAGTGTTATTTAGGTGGCTTAGTAGTTCCGCTATTAAATCGGCTTGACGATTTAACTTGCATTATATTGAAGGGTATTGAAGAGCATTATTATTGATACTTATTTCTATCAAGTCTTGGGAAGATCAACTGTAGAAGTGATGCGCATCATAGCTTTACTAGCGATTACATTCATTTTTTATCATTCATAACTCCCAAGACGAGCAATCTGTTAATCGCATATGGCTACTGTATTAAGATTGTTCTACTACATTGCATACCGTTGAGACTTGATTAAATATTGTACTATACGTCCATGTATCGTATGATCATTTCCTGTCTTGTATAGCGCAAAGAAATAACAAGGCTTATACAGTATTCGTCTTGGATAACGTTGTTACTATTGGAGGCAGAATGGTGGTAACAGCAGCAATTGATCAATTTAATGTACGTGTATCCTAGTGATTTCAATTACGTTCCTCTCCTTTCCTTTATAGCAGACCAAGTAGAAATATAACTGTAGATTACTGGAATTAAAATTTTTATAGTACAATCTGGTGCTGTTACGCTATGGTCTAAATCAATAGAATAAGAACGATGCTACATACGAGTCCGGTATCAAGTATCTAGCAATGGCACTAGCAATTTATTTTAGTGGCTAGTAAAAAAAAATCGAACATGATTGAATATTGAACTCGATTGAATACTAATCGGCAGTAACAATCCATCATCTATTGAGGCATTGTGCTACTTTTCAGGGGAAAAATGTGATTCTAATCTCTGCAGTTATTTACTCTGGTCAAGATTACGATATGGATTTCCTCTCATTAGAAGGTAACCTTTAATAAAGGAAAGTACATTAGATCCTTGGAAAGAAAAAATGGCAGTTTATTTTACGGATTACTACAGTAAACAATCGTCTACTATAGCCTGTAAAAATAGTCCAAAATGAATTAGTTTTAAAGCGTTGGAATGATTATCCTATCCACTATGCAACCTCATCAATGATGACTAAGTGATAACAACCTATCAGGGAAAGAGAATTGGATAACGTATGGGGCCGATCGAGTAGTAGTGTAGATTATCTACTTTTGGATTGAATATCCTGTTTCAAAATCAATCCCTTCAACTCACATATTCTCCCTCGATTGCCTCCTTATCACTCGTATTAACGGTGGGCCTCCAGAGTTCCTGGATGTAGAACATAACTGCGTACTGCCGGCATTAATGCTGCCACTTTCGTCAATAATCTTCTCGTTCATCATATTCGCGTTTTCCTTTTCCATCTCGTAGCAGCTAGGGTACTGCCAGCAACGATTTGCTGGCGGAATATATAAGCGATCGTATGGATTACAACTCTAGCAATATTCTGCTTGGTTCATCTCATACTATCACCTATAGCGTTCAGTCGCTCGACAGACATGTTACTAAGTTTCTATAGTACTACGCCAGTCGGTAAGGATTTCTATCAGAAATTCTCCCAGCCAAGTTCATATTGATTCATATCGACTCGCCCACGGCCATATAATACACTCAGATTCAACGTACTTTATGAGCATGGATACTGTCAAGTCGTGTTGTCCAGCTGCGACTTATGGCCGGCCTTGTTGACTGTTTACATTTAGACCTTGTTTCGATAGTTTGCAACTAGGAATCCAGGATTAAATTAAATCCCACCCTTACCCCCCTCTGGAGAAAATATGCTAGCTTTTCCAGCTTTGATATACTTCTATGAAAGGGACTCCGTAGAGTTTATTCTAGTATTGGTAATTTTCAGTATTTAACCTACTTTGATTGACTTTTTGCTAGGCATGGATTACAAATAAATAGAGATAGTCAATATGGCGTTCAATGGTTATTGGCGTTGACAGCAAGTCATCAATCCACTACAACTTCCCACCATGGATGTCAGTACTGGTCTAGTTCAACAACTTTTTCTCTCTTGAATCGTCTCTGATAACGACAGTACTTTACTACAGCTGTTTAACCCTACACTACTTCTATCACGTATAAACAACTCGATCTCTATCTCGACCTACGCCATAGTCTATCTATCGGATGTGTGGATGCTTGTACTGAGGTTAAGGTTACTTTCTGTTTGTCAATATTCAGGTGGAAATCACGAGTGTCAGCGACGATGTTAGCTAAGTCCGTTGATTGTTGCATTGCATGATGCTGTCATGGATGGCGTTAGTATGCCAACTGAGCATAACAGGATACATCAGTAAGCCGAGCTACAGCACCCGGTAAAATTTCTTTAGTAATGGTATCGAAACTGGATATAATAATCATTTGCGATGATTATTGTCATAACTCTGGAATCCAGTTGCTGCATAGCTGATATAGTCATTCGGATTTTACTACTGTGCTTATCTTGTTTGCCATCATCCTGATATTTCCTCTGATTAGATACAATACGTGTAGAGTAGAGTACAGTACACAGGGACTTCTAAAGAGAAATCCGTGCTGTACTTATTTACAGAACAAGTCCTTTGCTGTACAATGTACAATTTCCTCTGATTAGATATTGCCAACAGCAACTTCTAATAAGAGAAATTCGTGCTGTGTTATTTACAGTAGAAGTCATTAGCTGTACATGGAGGATGCTTCGATCCGGTCCTATTGCAGAAAGACAGTACGTTAATAGGATTACCGATTACACATCATCCTAATATTTTCCTCTGATTAGATATTGTCAACAGCAACTTCTAATAAGAGAAATCGGTCGGTATTTTTCATACAGTAAAAGTCCTTGTTGTGCAGCTGGGAGGATACTTCGATCCGGTCCTATCGTAGCAAGACAGTTCAGTAATAGGATGACCGATTACTCATCATCCTAATATTTCCTCTGATTAGATGATATTGTCAACAGGAACTTCTAATAAGAGATATCGGTACTGTATTTCTAAGAGAAATCCGTGCAGTGTTATTTACAGTAGAAGTCCTTTGCTGTACATGGAGGATGCTTCGATCCGGTAATATTGCACCAATACAGTATAGTTATAGGATTATCGATTACACATCATCCTAATATTTCCTCTGATTAAATATTGTCAAAGGAACTTCTAATAAGAGAAATCGGTACTGTAATTCTCATACAGTAAAAGTCCCTATTGTACACCTAGTATGGCTAACAGTATCATTTGCAAATGGAGGAGGTTCAATCTGGTCCTGTAGCAGCAACAGAGTAACAGGCTTCCTTTTTATTAATAAATGAATTTTAACTCAACATCAATTATTTTATTGTGTACAATTATCTATTCCACATTCTACACGAGTAATGCTCTACTTCATCGTTCGATGATACTTTTCAAAGCGTATTTACTACTGTAATAACTTGAAATCATTAAAGTATAGAACTTTATGCTGATACTGTTTCAAAAGCACCTTTAATGAACGGGAATGGGATTACAGTATTTTTACACGCTGCGTATTACTGTATCTTGAGATTGAAAAAATTCTTTTCAGATCTTGAAGTAGGCATGCCACGGAACGTGACTCGATCATGTACACGAGCTTTAGCATAAAACATCGCCCAATATCTAGTTTGCCCATATTTCTCTTATGACTACTATTGTATAGGCTAAAAGCACAAAAATTACTCTTGAATGATAGCAAGCATACCCTGACTATGTTAAAGAGTTTACCCTAATCGCTGGTTTACAAGACGACCATAGCCGTAATGCTTCCGTATTATTCCCTTACAACCTGGTCTTGAGTAGAGCTTGCTGTAAGAATATGGCCATGAACTATCCATATTACAGTATTTTTCATATCCCAGCACCAGGGTATACAATATTACATGTTGAGTAAAAGAATCCATCGAACGATCAAACTGTAGCCATTAGCAAAGAAAAAAGCCTTTAATACCAACATATTGCAGTTTGTTGCTGATTCTTTATTGACTGACTGACAGCACATGACATGATTTCGTCGATAGAGTGCCAAATAGTAAGACCATCTGCGACCAAAAGCATGCTTAGAAACTGCATATATTAGTAGTCGATTGATTATTTAATACATACACAGTATGATTTCGTTGAAAGATGAAATAAATATCAAGCTACCGGTGACCAATGAAACAATAAGTTCTCGTCTTGTATGCCATTTGAAGCCCCAAGATGAAGGATTAAATAATACAGAATATCTTGAATACTGACTTTTAATTAATTTACATCATAAATTATTCTTTCTCCTGGCGAAGGAATCAAGGTATATCAAGTGTTTTAAATATGGCATATGTCTTAAACTTCAAGTTCAATTATACGTGTCTATTCACATTGATTTTGAGGTTGATAACATCGAACAATAACATTCTCATTCTTACAGATACTAAAATGCTATTTTTCCCGTAACGATAATAATATTCATAAAATCTTCATCATTCTTCCATCTTCATTAATGTGTAAGTTTTGCCATTACTAAAAATGATATTATATGAGTTTTTATTACCGTAACTTCAATAAACATATATTACTCAAGATACTTTCATGCCGATAATCAACCATTAAAACATAGTAATTTTTTTAGGCTACTCACGATGCTTTGTTACGCATTATTCGAATTTCTTTCACTGACGGATAGATTAAGATCTATAAAGTATTCATCATCATTAATAGAGGTAGCCAAAATAATATCATAATTACCATTTATTTTAATTAATACAAAAAAAATAAATTCTTTAGGCCTAATATTCCTGTACCAAAGTTGATATTATTTGTGAGCCCATTAGCATGTAAAATACATTGTTCCATCCCTAAATTTACATATATTTAAATAAAAAGTATAACAGAAACGTTAGCTTTATCACTATTCTTTAACTATTGGCATTGCTCGTGTTGATTAGTGGGCCTACCGTTGGTAGTATGACACCAGTTAATAATGGTCCAAGCGCAGAACCTATCGTAAAGTCAGGAATAATTTAAAACGCGAATGATCTATAATTTGTCGCAGATGATCCATTTTACTACTTGCTAACCGATTGAGGCCGTAGCATCTAATATTCCAGACACTGTAGCGGTAGCTTTCTCGTTATTTTTCAAGGTTGGGCTGTTACCCTGGTTATATACAGTGCGAAGTCAAAAATTTCAACAATGATAGGAATAAATATATCTTCGTATTTGATTGGAACAATTTTATTAAACCTAATATATCACAATACCAATTCAGCTGCCACTGCACCAACTGTTAGCATTAAGGGTCCGTTAATAGCAATGCCAGAAATAATCATTAAAACTGTAAGAAAATGGATAGCAGAGGGTGATATAAAAGGCAAGAAATGGAGAGGCAAAAGGGTATAATGATTATATCATAAATAATTTCTAGAATTTATATTCTGAATACACATTCACTAACCGATATTGGAGGCTAAATTTATTCTTCCGTAAAAATGGTAGAGGTATAGCTGATATTGAAAATAATCCATTACATCAAAAACGGATAGAATTGACCAACTTATACTTAGCTTTGAAGTAGTAGTATCAAGCGAATATTAGCAGCGAAGTAGAGATTACGTAATTATTGAAGCTTACCGTTGGAATTGAGATCGCATACAGTGTCATGCTGATTATTGCCTTTTTATTAGTTTTATCAAAGATGATACCTGCTACTATTACACCTTTAATAATAGAAAAACTATCCTTAGTAATAATCAAGCATCTTAGCAACAATTTTAAACTTTGTGTATTCTATTGTAATTATGACAATGTATTAATGGAAAGCTCTACCGAGATACTTAGAATACAATACAATATTGTACCTATAATTCCTCCAATATCGAAGAAAATAGATATAAATGCCGCGATTTTGCCATTATATCGGACTCCCCCTATTACTATGAATAGAATGTATCGTTAAATATGTATTAAAATACGTTTTTAACGTAAACTGATGACATTAAAATATAATTGAAGAGTAAAATCAAACAGCAAAGTATGATCATGGTTTTACATACGTATACTATCCAAATAGAAAGGCAGCCAGAATAAGAAAGTATAGCTGGTAAACTTGTCAAAAAATACTGCTAAGGCGAAACTGACTACACCCTAAATAAGCATACAACCAATATTATAGCTGAATATGGAATGCACAAAATTTTATTAAAACTATTTATATTATACATATATACTTCAATTTTTAAGGCGTCAGTGATCGTTACAGCTTTTGAAGGTGAAGTAGCCTACAAGATAATAATGATCCAATCATTAAATCTTTTGCCTTAATGAATGTAATTAATTAGCGTTCCTAGATATCGCTCATATATTTGCTATCTGATCTAAATCGGGCCATCTATATCCGTAAATACTGTCATAGATATGGTAAAACAAAGTAAAATATCCCGATTTATTGGAATATGCATATTGTGCCGAAATATCAAGTTTAAGAGTGACTTACACTTTTATTAGTTTTGGACAGTTGCTCCTGCTGATCATCTTTCTAATATTTCAGAGCATGGTACATATATTGCAATAAAATATACTAGTATTATTTGATTTTTTTGGCGATTCTTATTTGTATTTTATTCACTTACAGTTATCGTTTGTACGACCTCATAATCCTAAAAAAGCAATTAAATACCAGGATAAGAATATTTAGCAGTTATACGAGCGAAGTAAATCAGGAGAGCTGAACATAGCATAATCTGATATTAGGTATTATCAGTTGAAATAGTTTAGGATTTAAAATTATACTTTGTTTAACAATTACATCCGTATAATTAGATACCATATATAGAACTATGCGGAAACAGTCAAGCAAATGATTGCCAAAATTTACGATTACAATTTCACTTATATTTGGCTAGTTGGTTTATGCAATAATATAAGTTATTGTGTAGTAAAAGGAACATTACGTCATTTACATGTTGACGTGGCTCTGGACAACCAACTTCATTAGGCTCTGCAAAGTAGATAAAGCGCAACTATATCAACTTAAGCAAGTATGTCCAGATGTCAACGTTGGAAATAAATCTATTATATTATTAATAACTTGCCTACGACTAGACTAAAGAAGATTAAAATTGCGAAAACTCCAGTTATAAGTGCCGGTATAATAAACGACCATCCCCTGATATCATTGTAAATTAATGAAATAATGATTAAGAATTAGTGATTTGTATTGAGTCAATGAAATGTAGTTACATTAGATAATTAAGAAGTAAGGCTTACCAATGACCCTGTGCCCAGACTCCAGGAATAAGTAAGCCTAATATATTTCCTACGGATGTATTTGAACTCCATAAGCCAAAAAAGAATCCTCTTCTAAATCATTTAAATTTACAGCCATCAGATTACATACTATATTTACTTTAAACATATTTTTAATGAATCTTGTTGTTACTATAGGATCACAAAAAATTTTGCTTAGCAATTGCGAATATTTAAATTATTTTATCAGTTTTGTTATCCAAACGAGCGATCAGTAATTATATTAAAAACGAATAATGGATTTACCTGCCTTTTCCAAACCAGTTTGCAATAATTGCAATCATGGAAGGCCATCCTGTAGACTATCAGTACAGATATTAGTTATTTTTATACATTCCTAATCAAATATTTCGATTGAATTACCTGCGCTATACCATTCAACATCTAGTGAAAACAGTAACAAAAAGAGCAAATAATAATATGAGTACATCGGTAAAAAATTGATTTAGGACGTATTACACTTACGTTAATGGCAATTTACGCGCTTTATCATGAATAAAGGAATCTTTTACTCAATATTCTACACTATAAATGGTATCAAAGGATGCCAAACTTACTTGAAATATAATAAAATAGGCATAGCTGTGAATTTTAGCAAAGTAAGCCATTCCGGTAAGCGCAGTAGATAGTATCATAGCTGTTTGAGTTTAGGGTTGCAATATGAATCATAATTAGCACACTGTACTATTGACATTTTTATGAATTAATCTTTCCTTTTTAGTTACGGAAGTCGCTTAAATTCGTAAAATTAAAGTCACAATATTGAGATATACGCGTAAATTATTAAGCCATAATAAATAATACATAGTAGATATATGCTTATTTTATTTAATGTAAAGTGATTTTTATTTTATTTTATTTTACTGTATTGCTTGGTCAACTACTGTTAAAGATATTAGATGAGAATTTTAATATATTAATCGTGATTTTGGTATCCCTACATCTTTTATATACTCAGACTTTATTACCTAGCATTCCAAATGTTAGAAAATATCGCTTGTTGACCCGTTCTGCAATATATGCGCTACAAGACAAAAATGAGTATACTTATGATAGTCGTAGCAATCACGGAAAGCAGTCTTACATAAGTATCAACCTTACCTTAGTATCATTCCGAAGCCATAAATTAATAAAAACGAAACATCCATTACCGCTAGCAAGTAGCTGCCGTTATGTTCATCTAAATAGTGATATATATATAAGACTTGGTTTATTGCTATAGTTTGCGTTTGTATCAGAACCTGATAAAATAGAGCGTTATTCTTGAACTAAAATTTTTACATGATAACTTTTATAACTGCAAGTAGTATTGATTGCTGAAATAAAATTTATTAAATATTAATGCTAACACTTAAAAATGTATACGTTCACCATATATCAATATTATTTATGCTCTTGGAGCCATGAAAGCACAATTAGGTATGCATAATGCCTAGGTCTTATAGACATTATGCATATCTACTGGACGTTTGTAGCTTCAACAGTTTCATTGTGTTATCTCTCACTGTTATTGCAATTCTGAAATTTACTTACTGAATGGCTTCCATTGAGGGCATAACATATTTAAATTCGAATCGTTAATAGAAATAAATTCGGACGGGCTTATGTTAGAAGAAGAGTAACCGGCGTGATTGAGGTAACTTAGAATCTTGGACGTGCAATTGAGTGTATACAAAGAGCTCTAAAAGATAATGAAAATCTATTAATTAATATAATATAATTTATGCTGTGTTTTGATAATTAAATTCGTTTTCTGATTTAAATTAATTTGTTTGTTAGTTTCAAGTTTTCATAAAGATTTAAATTTTTACCTTAACAACGCTAAGAACTCTTCGATCCATGTGAAAACAAGAATAGGCTAGGTAAGTTAGTATCCAGGCCCAAGCTGCATACCTATACCCGTATACATTAAACAGTAAGAATAAAAGTATGATGAGAAGGTAAGAAGTAACGGTCAATATTATTCTTATTATTCGATTTCAAGTAATGGATAATAGATAGTAGGACAAGAAACATTGATAAATAAAAGTCTTGTAAAAAGTACGTTATATAGAAATTGATTTCATTATTATTTCCATGAAGTTAAAGGCCTGCTGTCATATTAAAAATTAGATTTAGTACCCATAATCCAAGCCCCGCATATATAAATTGCTGATGATCCAGCAAGCAAAACTTTTAATCTATCGAAGTTTTATTGCATGATCGGTCTCAATTTTAATTTACGAAAAGCATCTCACCACGTACTGAAATACGTGAGACCGACATTAATGGGCATTAATTTCTGCCTTGAGAAATTACGTAGGCGCTGCTAAATTTTCATAGGAATACGATAGATTGATCACTTGAATAGTGTTAACGAAATTACTATTCGAATTTAAAGACTGTAAATATCCCTGTTGGTGATGAAAATCTTAGCTGATGGGCGTAGTTGAGAAAAGTACTTTAAGTTAAATTGGATATGAACGATAATATTGAAACGGATTTCAGGGCACGTAAAAAAAACTGACCGATTAAAATCTCACTACTGCAGTTATCTATCAATTTGAATGCTTGAAATTGATCCTTTGATTAGATTCAACGAGACTGATATTATTTCTTACCCTTACTGAAAGGTAATATTAAAAACTGGCCGATTAAATCTAAATGTACCGATACCGGTAACGAACATTTACCTAAAACATTTGGAGCTATCTGATGTCAAAAGTTCAGCATTGATTGTATATCGGTAGCGCTATATGGAGCAGAGTGATCGCTTCAATGAACAACTAAGTCAATGATGATGAAGACATCGAATATGCGACATTTCCGACAAAATTACAAAAGTCGATTCAAACTGTTGAAGTTTTCAATCATCGCTATTACTACATATCTATCTATGATCTAATCTATGGTATAAAGATTAAGTAGGTGTCAAGACAGTTAAAAACTGTCTATTTTTGTATTCTAGTACAATTAACGAAGCGATTATTAAAAAATCGATCGATCATCAAAATATTTAATATCCTGTAGGTTACTGCAACTGCTTGAAGTATAAAAAATTTCCTGTAATTGATCCTATTTGCTATAGGGTACAGTAGTATCGAAAAGTTCAGTGTAGGTAATATTATTAAATATTTAAGAGTAAGTTATTATAAAATTCTGTAGTATCGTAGCTCGTAGTAAAGTGTGGATAATAATATACAGTAGATAGTACAGTATATATTTAATCCGTCACATTTATTGTATCAAATTAAAGATGGAAGGAGCGATACCTTAGCTACTATTTCTTAGGCGTGATATCACCTGATCTTTTTAACTGATGGTTTATAATGACTAATTTAACGAGAATTAAAAACAAATAGACCGTTACGCTTTTACAGTCTTAATAAATCCGCTACAGTTGAAGTTAACCGCCTCCAGAATTCTTTTATGCTTGCTAGTAACTAGTAATAGAGAATTAGCCCAGCAACTGATCAGTCATTCATGTAATTGAATACTAGTACCGATATCAAGTTCATCCTAAAGAGTAATCATAATCAATCCTTGCCATTTCTAATTAGACGTGATTTTATTATTGTGCTTCATTAATCATGATAAAAGAATGAGTTTAAAAATAAATTAGGGGCAAAGATTAAAACAAAATCTTACAAATCTTCTCTTTTTTGTCTTCTTAAGAAGCGTATTAATGGTGGGCCTCCTTCGTTCTCATCTTTGTTTTCCGATACACCTTTCGTATGCTTAGTTATGGGTAGTTTTTCGTTCTTACTTGCCATAATAATTTATTTATTTCTAGTCCGTGTCGAAATAAATAATTTTGTCTTCAATTCAATTACGGTCAACAAGAGATAATGAACCAATGGGTAGATTCTAAAATTTATAGTTCCTTAATCCAAATTATTGACGTGAGATTGCAATTGTTACTAATATTGAAGTGAGTGAGAAATATCGACCATAAAACTCTGGTTACTAGACTCTATTAGAGCGGTATACAGTATAGTAGTATCACTGCGTGCTTCTTTTTCTCAATAGTTCTCGTTGAATTAGTTCGAAACTGGCGTGCTATCCAACTCGCAGTTTTTTACTATTTCACACCATCATGTTGTTTATTGTCTCATATACAATATGGTGTATTGTATCATTCTAGTGTTTACAATAATATAAATTCAGAGACGAAAGTTGGCCATTCTCCTTATTACCATGATTAAGAATATACAAAACTCAATAAATTAGTTAATGAGTCACGTGAAAATTGATTAAAGGTGAAAAATCAATGAAATGGTTTAATGTTTGGACATGCATTTTTTAGTATGTCAAGCTGGTTCTTCCTATTACACGGTGATAGCGTCTCTACCAACCTAGTGATAATAGCTTGGATTTCTTATTAACTTTATGTTATTAAACGAATTCGTTCTTCTACAAACAATTACTTGTATCATGGTACAATCTAGCATTCAGATATGATCCATTTTGGGGCTGCACTACATTTACATACTCTATTGACTAATAGGCACGCAAGGGAAATTTTGAATACGTTTATTATTTCTATATCGTTGTTAATTCCCTGAAGTGATTTAGAATCACTATAGTCATATAACTATGTGGATTAGTGTGCAATTATCAGATAAATTAAAAAGAAAATTTATGCTCATTCCTGAAATGAGTGAGTAGAACTTTTGATCTTATTGATGGATTGTAGATGAATAAATCGGATCAATATTGATCTAATAAATCGAATATATTCAACAGGATTGTACATCAAGTATGGGATAGTTCATTTGATCAAGATTAGAAGCCGTCGACTAACCGTAATTAAATTAAGATATAACTATAGATTGTTGGAAAAATGAATGCAAATTAATGTGCAATAACAACATTTTGAAAGAGGCTTAATCAGACGTTATTATACCAAATGGATTGCGGGTATATCACAACATTCAACACCGATTAGATATTTGAAAATTGAAGAGGTAGAGTGATCATAGTGAAGTTAAACAATAAGTTAAGCTTAAAGAGATGGTTATAAATCAGTGTGCTTGTTATTGTGTGATTTAGTCTGTGAAATTGATCGAATCAAATCTCTGTCGTACGAGATGATCGCCAGTAATCGTCAATGCGGTAGCCTTCGATAGCATTCTACGTATACTATACACTAATTTAGATATTGAAGGTTTTAAAGAAGTAAATGACCGCAAAAGCATTAAGCCATAGTTCAAATTAAGGAAATAATAGCAGATCAGTACGAGAATCATTGTATCATTTGTCTGGGATTACTGCAGATAAATTAGATCATTATTATGAAAGGGTATAGACTACTAAAAGGTCTTCTTTTAGCAGTCCATGTCAATGGGCAAGGAGCGCAGGTAATCTTTAGTACTCAGCAGAATATATAGTTTCAAAATAAAAAAGATGACTATTCAAATCAATATGCAACTAACGGGATGGAATAAAACTTAATATTTCCATCCTCTGTTCGTACTTGTAAAGGAATTTTACATTATGGAATGGAATTCATCAAGTTACTATTAATGATAGGTAATGAAAATTTCTTAGTTTATATGATAAATGTAGTTTGAAATATTGAAATTTTCAGCGAAAAATAAGCTATATCACACAATTTGGTATTGGTTTACTGAATCTGAAAAATAATTAATGGAAATCTCGTTTACTTGATCTATCCTTGCAATGTAGTGCTCGTATAAATGCGTGTAACTGACAAAATATTACAGTTTTAACGAGTTATCATACGTTGCAACTTATCAAGCAATTTATTAGTAGAAATGATTAACAGCCTCAATTGAAAGTACCACGGTAGTAATTAATCAAGTAATCTGCAATCATTTAAGTTAAAAAGTATTCATACATTGACATAGACAAATCCATTCGCTACTACATGATGAATTTTATTGCTCCAAGAATTAAAATCTACGAAAAATCTCTTTATTTTCCTTTAGAAATATCTTCACAGTACTATCTAAAAATAAATAAGTTATTCTCTTTCAACGATTAACAAGTCTCTCATAGGCTGTTACCCAGTTATTATCAAGATTTAGTACAATTAATAGCTACGATATCAGAAGTCATTTAACATTCTTAACTATTTCAGATAAAAATTCAATTATACGTTTATCAGCAAGTGAAACTTGATACCGCATATCTCAATCTTTCTCTATATATATTGTACAAGTTACGTAACTTATTTACAACTCTACAGGCTCAAATTGAAATTGGCCAATGTAGAAGAATGCTATTTAAAAATAATGAGTGAGCCTCAATAAAATTTATCAACGTATATTCGAAGGTATGTCTTTGATCCAGATATCATCTGTGAATCTTAAAAACTTATTTATAACAGAGTCGAAGAGATTGCTACTAAAAGATTAGATTATATAAATTAAGTTTTATTTTATATCGTTGGTGATGATGGGGTTAAAATTCGGATCTTCACTTAATCTCAAGTTATGATTCCCAGTAATATCATTAACCGCATGACAGTAGCAATGACGACAAAGCTCTTGTATAAGCTAAAGGCCGAAAATTTTAAAATATATATAAGCTCACATAAAGCTTTAATGCATAGGTCGTTGGTATACACGTATGCATAAGAGTTTATGCACGAAATTAAAAACGATTGTAAATTAGTCGGTAAATTGTGGTTAATATACAATATCGCTCTCAACTTACCTTTAGGATTTTTGTAAAAGATGCAGTTGTTAGCGCATGTGTCTGGATTAGTTTCCCAAAGATTAGCAGTGCAATTGCACAGTTGAGGAAGTTCGGTATTACTAGCTTGAAAGCGCTCTTTGATACTTTCCCGTAAAGCGTTTATATATCTGATAATATTGATAAGTGCAAAATAAAAGAATGCATTAATATCTACACTTAAGAAATCCTACAAGCTAACAGATGATGATCGTAATATGGAATGAGTCATTCTTTAAGATATAAGACATTTACCTTTCCATTTCTTTGTTTCGTTGAAGTTTCTGTTTTCGCAGTTCAAGCTGCCGCAATACTTCTTCTTCTTCTGCTTTCTGCCTCTTTTTAGCCTACCAATAATCCAAGATAGAAAAAAAGCCAATTCGTTTTATTTATTTTAAATAGTATAGCAAACCGCCTAAAATTCATTTGCATAGGACATACTTTGCTAGGGCTTTCACCCGTAATGGGATTTTTCGGCTCTAAAGCTTCTCTTATTTTACTTTCTTCAGTTCGACGTAAACTTTCGTTTCGTTGTTTTATTCTTAAAGTGTTTTAATAAGTAAAGTTATTTAGCTTGCTTTTTGATTATGATCGCTTGAAGTTAAATACATGAAGGATAAGATCTGTCCGTGTATTTATCTCTTACTTGGCAACTTTTTGCCTGTGTTGTTTGAGCTTAATGTTTTCTCGTACTTGTTCACGCTCAATATCCATAAATAAGCGACGATACATGGTATACTGATTGCGAATCTAAAACAAGAGAAGTTATCATTAGTTTGATTTTTTTCTGAAATGGAATGATGTATGCAAGGGAAATAAGGAAAATCATTAAGACATAATGATGTTGATATTATCCATGATATACTAATAATATTTAAAAGATTATACCTGTCTTTTGACATCATCCTGTCCTTCATTTACTACAGATTTATTGTGGGACCTACTTTTACTTAATAACTGTTTCTTTTGAATTGGATGTGTATTATCAGCTTTATCATGCGGTTCATGTATTCCTAGCTGATCCTCTACTGTATCACTATCTGCTAAATGATAAAATTGTTATTTTTATCTCTACGTCGTAATAGATTAGGATACTTCATACACAGTATTATATAGCTCTAAAATAGATATTAAAGAATGAGTTACCTGCACTCAATTCTATATTTTTATCGTCTTCACCACTGTTCGAATCTGTAACGTTCGAAATTTGGTCTGCAAAATGTACTTTAGGTTTTGCCTTGAAACTGATGACTTCAGCACCATAGTCATCATTTGTAACATTTTCCTTTTCGCTTTCGATATTGGATGTATTGGGGTACTTTATGGCGTAGGAAGAATAAAATCAAAATTGTTTCTGAGTTAAAGTTAATAATTTACTCTTACATCTTGAGTGGGTGTATCTTTCCATCGCCCACCTGGCAGACTTTGTATCTACAAAGTACAAGATTTAAGTTAAGTAAAATTAAGGTTTGACATTTCAAGGGTGTTTATTGAATAACAAATATTATTACTTGAGAAGAAATTTTCCGCGATAAGAGACTTTGTCGAGCAGCACACGATTGCTGACTAACCTGTAAAAATCAGCATTTGTTATCATAAATTTATATATAAAATGACTAAGATGGTAAGAAAACAGTTCTGAACATATCATTACTTTTTCTGAGTGTTTCAACAATGCAGTATTTCCAGAACTAAGTGTTAATGGTTCTCTGACAATCTCCTTTGGTTTATCTTGAAATTGGTCTACACCCGATTTCATAGCTAAATTTGAGTTATCACGAATAATGCATGTATCTCGCTAGTTTGTGAAATAGAAATAAATGTCTATTAATAAACTACAAAATTGTGGATATTAAGCAACCTTTATCGAAAGTGGCTGATATAATAATGATAGAATTTAGGTAAACAGAAAGTTACATTGCATACTTTGGAAGTTGTACTTTCCACGAATGAGCTCTGACTAATAACATGCCTTTCAATTTCGACCTTTTTAAATAGTAATAATAAAAATGCACAAATTAATACGTCTTTGCAGACGTTTCCTGCTTATAGCGAGTATTGTAAAAATGTTACCCTTCATCATTTTGAAAGTCAGTGTATGAAGTGTAAATCACAGCTACTGCTATAATATTTCTTACGGCTTTGTAGGATTTCTCAAGTTGGCGAATGCGTTTTTGATGTTCCATTTGTTTTACTCTTAATTTAACTTCTTCCTGAAATTGCTTTAGTTTTGATTCTCTCTTTAATTGTTGTGATTTTATCTTTTTTTCTTCTTCAATGGCAGTGATCTAGATATGCGGATCGAGTATAGACGCCATGAATTTTAAATATTTTTGGTAATTATGAATATCTTGTGAATATTTACGCAAAAATAATTTGAACTACATCTTATCCGATGATACCTCAGCATGTTTGTATGCACCCATACGAGAATTTCTTGGCTCTGGCAAGACACATACTGAATGACTACTAGGGTCTTGGCCACGATCGGCTATATAAGCCCGCGATTTGCCACTGATCGCATTGAAAACAGTTGCTATTGGTCGGTGTTTTGTTTCTGCGGTTAAATCCTTTCGATAACTTTTTGGCACCGGTATATGAAGTTTATTACCATTCTTGTTTGTTGCAAAAACAGATTTGGTATTGACCACCATTGTGATGGATTTCAATGGAATTCTTAAAGGTGAGGATAGCGGTACATTAATTTATCAAATCAGAGTTATGCAAAACAATTTTTCAGCTATTAATGGTTCTAAATATTTTTCATGGATAGTATATTATCGTAATAATAGTATAATATATATATGCATATTGATTTTGCATTTAATTATAATTATATGGTATTGTATGTTTCTGTGGTGATTTAATGATCGATTTACTTTAAAATTTAATAGTTAATTATTTCAGCTAGGATAACAGACAATATTGGAAATTAATCATGGAGGTGACTGCTGAAATTGCAGGGTATAAATCAAAGGGTTAACGATGCGGTCATGAGTTCCATAGCTGAAATTAAATATTAGAGTATGACTTGTTGCTGTTTTAATTTTACCGCAACTCTATTAACAGAGAGCACACTTAACATCAATCTCGAATCGGGAAGGATCTTATATAAAATTATTACTAATTTCGTATACGCGTACCTACGAGATATATCGTACGTACGATCTACAATGCGAGACTGTGACAAGACTTGTAAAAAAGATAGGGTGGTCTAATTGTATTTATATACTAACATTTACTATCCTGAATAAGTACGAGTCAAATTGAAGTCAATTAATGAAGATGATTGGGTTGGTTATAGTTCTTAATTCTATGGCAACATTTATCGCTAGTTCCATCAAAAGATGATGTGGCACTTGTGGTCTAATCGTATCGATATATTAACAATTACTATCCAGAATAAATACGAGTCAAATTGAAGTCAATTAATGAAGATGATTGGGTTGGTTGTAGCTCTTAAATTCCATGGCAACATTTATCGCTTGTTATATCAAAAGATGATATGGCACTTGTGTTCTAATCGTGTTTATATATTAACAAATACTATCCAGAATGAATACGAATCAAATTGAAGTCAATTAATGAAAATGATTGGGTTGGTTATAGCTCTTAAATTCCATGGCAACATTTATCGCTTGTTATATCAAAAGATGATATGGCACTTGTGTTCTAATCGTGTTTATATATTAACAATTACTATCCAGAATAAATACGAATCAAACTGAAGTCAATTAATGAAGATGATTGGGTTGGCTATAGTTCTTAATTCCATGGCAACATTCATCGGTGGTTACATCAAAAGATGATATCGCCCTTGAGGTCTAATCGTGCTTATATATTAACAATTAGTATCCAAAATAAATACGCGTCAAATTGAAGTCAATTAATGAAGATGATTGGGTTGGTTATAGTTCTTAATTCCATGGCAACATTCATCGGTGGTTACATCAAAAGATGATATCGCCCTTGTGGTCTAATCGTGCTTATATATTAACAATTAGTATCCACAATAAATACGCGTCAAATTGAAGTCAATTGATGAAGATGATTCGGTTGGTTATCGCTCTTAAATTCCATGGCAACATTGATCGCTTGTTGTATCAAAAGATGATATAGCACTTACCGACAGCTATGATGAAAATACGATTTTAATTACGACAAGCTTGGTGCATTCAAATTTTGAGAAATTTCTTTAAACTATGCAGTAAGAGATGAACTCTTGTTGCTGATATAAATGGATATCTCCAAGTTCGCTGATTATTGTATTGATTGTTCACTTTCCTCTAATCCTTGTAAATTAGTATAGGACTTATTCGATTTCGCTATGGAGATCAGAGAGTACGTCTACCCTGTAATATAGTGTATTATCCATGAGTCCATCAACCAACCCTATACAGCTATCCTAACTCGATCCCTTGCGCTACTTCCATACTGATGACGGTACGGTCCAGTATCGATCTATCACGTGATAACATTTGAAATTACTTTTACATGATAATTTCCGTTAATATTCGTCGTGGGTTCATTACTAGTGTTAGTATCAATCTTTGATATTGTCAGTACGCATGCTCAGGGATAGGTTATCCAATTCATTGCTGTTATTATTATTGACCTTGATGAAGAAGTCTTCTTCAGCAGCAAAAATTACAGGGAAAACTAGGGCCGTAACCTTCAAAGAGAATTTTGCGTTATGAATAGGAGAGTTTAGAGTAGTCTTATTTTTATTCTGTAGTGATAGACTGCCAGGTGTCGTATAGAACAATTTCTTGCTTTTAAAAGGAACGCTACTGTAGGCGCTATTCCAGTATAGAACTGTCTAGGACGCATGCGCTATGGGCCTTCTGCTATGACCGTGAACGATAGTGAGACTGTTATTATCGAGCTAAAACCATCATGGCGTCCGTTATGATTATCGATTCTGCGCACGAAAGATTCGTGCAGTAGAGCAGAGTACAGTACAGTGTACTGTTAGTGTACAGTACAGTACTTTCACTTTGCTGCGTCTAATGTACTGTACCGGTACGTTCGCCAGCTGCACACTGTAGTGCACAGTACAGACGGACGACGTCACTACTGGTCAGAGGACGGTACTTTCCAGGGTACAGTACACCAAGTCACAGCACGCACACAACGACGACACTCAGTTCTGTTAGTCAAACATTCCCAGTGCTGCCTGCTAGCAAGAATGGAAGACAAATTGCAAAATCAAATTGAGTATGTTGGAAAAGTACAACTACTATTGCTATTTTCCATTTGGTTTAACTCATGACTATGTTGTTCTACAATAGTCCATTGAGTTTTCTTTGATTGTGTATTCTATTATAGCACGGGTCAATTACAAAAAGCCTTGGCAGAGGGTGCCAGCGTGGAAGAAATTCGACAAATGTGTTACCATAAGTCTTTGCCAGATGAGTATCGAGCAGAGATTTGGAAGGTAATTTGAATGACTTAATCGGGCTATTTGCATGTTGATGGCATTGATTGAAGGCTGTATAGGGGAAGAATGTCCATCTTTAAAATTAAAATATCAACTTTATATAGCACCCAGTCGGTTAGATAGGATAGCATAACTAGTTTACACAGAATACCAAGTATACTGATGGAGTCGTGGGTTCGTCATAGACTACGTGAAATGGAAGCGTATTTTACCTTTATTCATCATCATCAATGGCTGTAATCAACTACATTTTGTGGTAAACATGCTTTTGTCTCCGTCATTATCGATTTGAAAATAGACTTTTAATTGAAAATATGTGTAGCATACATAGGTAGATGTCTTTTAGGATTATTTAATACAACTGCCACAGTCAATGGTAGCTTTTTCTTCTTTTACCTACGAATACAGTGTCACTTGTGCTAATTAATTAATCTTTATCATGGATCATTTTATTATTATTGACAAGCAATCCTTCTGATCATTATTATTATAATGCCAAGGATTAAATAGAATTGATCCTTTCATGGAAGCGTTTATAGATGTACTTCACTGTTATACGTGGAATCGATTTCCCATCATAGACTGCAATGATCAATTAATTGACATACAAATGTTCAACAATTTTACCGCAGTGTATAGTGTAGGTAGATATACGGGTACGAGAAAATCAAAACTCTGATAGACCAAGTCAGGGATTGTTCAAATTAAAATTCCCAAGCGCCTGTTAGCATACCCATTCGTATCAATAACTTTGATAAGTCCAATTTTCAACGTCAAGTGAATATTGTATCATGCTACAATAAAACTGAAAGCGTATTGCTTATTATTGTTGTTTTCATAAAACTCTAGATATGTCTAAACGTCAAGAATAAACCGGATGGTTTAAGTGATTGGAAAGAAGAGTTAAATATGGAACAGCAGACAATTTTACGTGAAGACTGTATGAGAGAGATTGGTAGGAGATTCGTATTCAGTAATAAGATTGATACATATTTTAAAGGATTGATCGATCTCTTTGAGAAGGGAAGACTTATTCCTTCATATTTCTAAAACCATCCTTTTCATTCTTTGTATTGTGATCAAATAATTATTGCATACTAAATTTTCGATGATCGAATATAATTCTAAAATTGTATCGTATCACAGCTAAACTGCAATTGGATGATCAAGAGAAAGAAGCACAAATGCTGTGCGACATGGAATCAGTTTTAACTTTTTATTGTCATGCAAGACAATTAACGTATGTGAAGGAAAATGGATGGCCAGAATTACTCCTACCTTTTGCTGCTTTGAGCTTACCTCGTTCTGATTTATACAACTGTTTTTATGCCTTTATTTCCAAATTCATACCAAGGTAAGTAGTTAAAATGATTAGTAGTCATATGAGTGTGTAGATACATTATGTATGATTTTAAAATGGTATATGAATTATTTTTGCAATACAGAACATAATTTAACATGCAATTACTAATTTTAATGATAGTCATCCTTATTGCCATGACATGATATATTGCTAATTATCGATAGATAAAGACCAGTAATGTTGATGACATTAACATTTATTATCTGCTCTCTCTCTCTATATCTCACTTTACCACTATGCTGGACTCTACAGATATCTCTATAATAGCACTATATTGCACTAAGCGAATCATGTACTATACTTACTCATATTATACTTTTTACTTTATTACTATTCCAACGTTATTATCACGGTCAATTAGGCAACTATTGTATTGTATAATATTCGATACAAGTATTAACATTTTCGACAAGTTTACATCACCCGTATTAACTTGATCTATAACAATTCCTTTTGCAGAGAATGTCATCGATCTCCGAAGCCGTTTCAGGTTTTTAGGTTACTTCTTCAGTATCATGAACCAGAGCTGTGCTTATTCTTAGATACTAAAAAGATATCACCTGAAATGTATACGAGAAAATGGGTAAATGATTACTGTAATAATAATATAAAACATCGTAAGTTGCATTCGTAATACAATGTTATGCAATATAATTTTTATGACTTAAAGTATACATAAACTTGATAGTTAGTGACACTATAAAATAATTGATGACAATAATATACTGCTTTGTCTTTGCTTTCTTTTAAGAATTTTAATCAATTTTACAATTTGCATCAACAGTTTCGAAGTCTTCTTGAAAGTGTGTGTGATTTCAAAGCCACTAGGACCATTTGGGATATTTATTTCATAAATAATGATCCTTTTCTAGTTTTTTTCATGGCATTAGTACTGCTACTTAATGCTAAGTAAGTACTAAGTGCTAAAATGTCAATTTATGCGTATGTCCAAGCGCAGAATTGAGTAAATCTTATTTTCGTTTAGGGAGTTAATTATGAGCATGAAAGCTGATGAGAAAGAAAAAATTTGTGGTAAGCTTCAATTATCTACTTGCATTTATCATACTGTGCATTCTGCGTTGCTGCTTCTATCTTATTAATATTCGTTTCTGTACTGCTTCAACAGATACCATCAAGAGCATTCCATCAGAGATGGGCCCCAATGACGTTCCAGATTTCATATCGCTTGCTGAGTATTACGAACAAAGAACTCCAGTTTCTTTAAAACGAGTAAGATCTATGGGTTAGGACTAGCGGGTATCGATAAATTATGCTAACATTATTGATGGTTTTTAAATAAACAAATTAGAAATACTATGTACCTCTCTTTGGATCAAGTGAAGTTGACGTTGAAGCGGATGATTTATTCAACCTACTGTGCCTTCCTATATCATTAGAAGAAATAATTGAAGCACAAAAACTTTCTTCGGTATGTCTTTTTGTACTTTATGTTTGGATAGATAAACGATTCTGTTCCATTTTGTTACTTTATATTAAATTTTTTTTTTGTATCTGTACTAGAATGAAAATGAAGTAGCTTATTTTGTTGTCGATTGCCGACCTGCCGAACAGTATAATGCTGGACATTTACCAACAGCTTTTCACTTAGATGCAAATCTCGTGAGTGAAAAATCTTATTTTGAATTAATTTAGCGATACGTTTCTAATTTTTATTTACTATTGCATATTAGATGTTACAAGAGCCTACAGAGTTTTCGGCTGCTGTGCAGGCATTACTGTCAACAAAGAAACATTTTATCGATAATGGTTCAAAATCAGCTGGAGAGTACATGTGTTTTATAGGCTCTGGTAGAGAACTGGAAGATCAATACTTACATATGGTTATTGCTTATTTTCTTCAGGTGCTTGTTTTTTCGTAAGATCAGTAGTAAATATTAATTGGCATACATACATAGGAAGAAATCCTATCAATATCGTTTATTAATTTTATTATTTTCTGTCAACGTAGCGCTGCACAAAAAACGTAAGCATTATTCACGGTGGATATGCAGGTTTGTATGACCTATGGTAAATAGCGCTTAACCTTTGGATTTTAATTGTGTTATATGTACTTTATTAGCACTAGGCAATTTACCGTCAGATAGTTTAGATCCACAATTGGCAGAATTAATATCCTCACTGGTGATCAAATATTCCTCTAAAGATGAACAGTCATCGAATACAGATGAAGTAAGGACAGTTTTAAGTACAGATAATTACTCTGTTAAGAATAATTAAATATCTCTTTCTATTTTTACAGAGAGAATCATCAGAAAGCGATAGTGCTTCAAAAGTAATCTGCACAATGAATATGAATTTTATGATTACGTATATACTTTAATGATATTAAATTTTAACTTTCATTTTAATAATTGGTATTTGCTAGGGTGGTAGTGGTAGTAGTAGTGGCTTAGTTTCAAGATTATCTTTATCATTTAAACAAAGATCCACGAAATTGTTTGGTAGCCAAGGCCCGGATAGGTTAATATAATTAATTTTAGGAATATGAAGCTAAAATGGACGCTGTATAGTGAGAGTCTAAATGCAGAAGTTTATAACATTTTAGTAATAGGCATTTAAAGCCCGATACCTCAGGAAAGCCGTATAGAGCTCAAAAATCCATCTTTAGTATTGGTGACGATGATAATGGTAATTTATTTTTCACTAGTAAACTGTACTCCTTTGCAAGTTCTAATTTATCGCCCGCGTTTTTTTTTGACATCCTTAATATTTTTCAGAGGAGGACAGTAGCAATCCACAGAAGGAGATTGTTAATATTTTTACATGGAAGAAGCGTAATGATGTGGTGTATTACTGCAATTGTAAGCAAATCATGAATGATGGATCGGCAGTTAGAGGGTAATAATAAATATGTGCACGTAGAAAGGATACAATATTATCCGTATGTTTGGTTATCTAAATTTTCAATAGAATACCTACTAATGCTCTAATACTTGCTTTTTCTTTGCTTTATAGTCATATTATTGTAACTACAACTCTACTATTTATTCTGCACGATATTCCCGATCGTCAAAGTCTAGTATCTATTGAGGGTCGGCATGATCTCAAATCAATTGTAAAAATTACGGCTAAAAAGAATAATCCTAATATTATTACGTTCAAATTCGGCTTTGCTGATGGTAATGATATCCAGATTGTCAGTATACAGCGATTTTGGATCGATAAAGCTGACAGAGCAACCAAAGTGATCACGGATAGTATCGTAAAATTGTTTGCCGATGAAGAAAGCAACGAAGGTGAAGCGCAGGATACACAAACTGAGATTTTCAAGATATAATTTATTTCCTATCAGATGTTGGTAACAATGGATATGCAAGCCTCTGTGCTGTAGTAAAAATATCTTTGGGTATGTAATATATGGTCTTATTGCTATTATAAACGGTCAATATCAGTGGAATAACTCAAGATTTGAATTATTGACAATAATTTTTAAAGACCTATACGGATATTTATGTAGCTGATTACAAGTTACGCTCCTCAAATTAATTTCGATATGCGTATGCTGCACAAAGTGATACTGAAATATGAATTGCTTATTATAATTATTATTTAGCACACATTGACATGAAGACTGTGATATCGAATTTCATTATTCACAAATACGAAGCGATAGATTTGTCTTAGTATGTCAATTTACGTATTTAACATGCTGTCATGGCCTTTTCTCTCAAAAATAATACCGCATATAATATTTGTAATGCAATTAGTACTGTAATGGATCCTTCATTTGCTCGCAGAATTGGGAAATAGATTCGATAACGATCTACTGAGTATGTGTATTATGGAGGATCTGTTCTTGTAAACTAATTTGCACGTACACAATCGTATTATTTAAGAATGCAATCATTATTACTTTAAAAATTGTACAGTTACTACACAGATTGCTATCAATGGTTATCTGTTAATTATATTGCCATAGATGATGTAAATTTAAAAACACGCTTTCCGTGAATTACCGGCTAGTCTGGTAAGAGTACTACAATCTTTGATATGGGTATGCAGTTTACGGAGGGTGCGTTAGTGATTACATCATAGTTATAGTATCGTAAAATTGCCGATAAAAGATACAAGTTGTGAGTACAATGATCAGATTTAATTTTATAATTTGTTATATGAGTCGATAACCTTGATATTATTATTTAAGCAATGTTGTGCGTATAAATTGTTACCACGTATTCGTTATTTACTAAAGTTCAACCAATTAGTGCTCATTTTTCTTCCTTAAAGAAACATCTATCATTAAATATTGACATGGATTTTGTTGCATGATAGTAGTATATTACAATGAGTATGAAACTGTAATATGTAGTTATGCTGCCCAGTTGTGGCTGTATTCCCAACGATACTTTGCAATAGTGTATTTTTTTATCATTGTATGTTATGTTCTTGCCGTTATCAATCTATCAATTTAGTTTTAATATTTAACAGCATGGTAGACTGAATGATGATATTTCAAGCTCGGAAAGATGACAGCGTAACTTTATTTCATCTTTAATCAGCTAACGGTAGTGACAGCGAAATTGTTTAGAGGAAAAACATTTTTAATAAAAGATATAATAATAATAATTAATCGCTGTTAACGTAAGTTATTAATAAATTTATGGGGGGCGATTATCTCTTACTATTCTATTCGTATTAGCTTATGTCTCCGTATGATCATTTTTAAATTTACATGTCAAAGCACCAATTTTGGTTGTATCTGGTGTTTTTTTTCGAACGGAACAATCTACAGGAGTCACTATTATAATTAGCCCTATGAGAGAGTAATAAAGGCATTATGGAAGCATGATAAACGTTCCCGTAGTCAGTTGCAAGACTACCATATATGCAAACATCATTCGAGACTTAATTGTTATCGATAATTCAGTATAGAAATGATTTCTTGGCACTCCGTTGCGCATAACAGTATATATTTGTAAGAACGAATTTGCATTATTGAGAATTAATCATAATAAGAAGTTTTCGATGGAAAGAATTAAGATTGAGATCCTCATTCCAAAGTGCTCGTTTTGACGATTTGATATCTATGGTATTGCAGATATTCGATATTCTATTGTAGACAAAATATTCGACGACCAGACACGAATGAAACGTTTGTATTTCACGCAAAGAGTGTTTTTGTTTTAGATGAAGTTTTATTACAGTTAAACTAAAGATTTTACTACATCTACGATACTACAATACTGAAAAATTGAATATTGCAGTACAGTAAAGACATGGATGACCTTGTTAAGCTATCTTCTTTGACAAACAGCACTTCAAGCTAATTTAAGATCACTTTGGTTTACAAATTTTAAATTGTATATCAGTAAACAAGATTTTTCAATTTATTGTAGTATCTTTAGCTTTATGTCACAGCATTATTTACGTATTGTCAGTTTAATATGTAGGAGAAAATCTAGTAAGATCGACATGTACAGCAATAAGATGTAGACATAATCAACTATAGTTGGTATTCCAATTTGGCAGCAATATAGTACGCTTTTCATCATAACATCAAAGAGTCTCCCAATGATTATCAATTCATCATGCTCTTCCAGGTACTTTGAGCTTTTAATTAACCCATTCGAATACTTTGGATCATTTGAAAGATAGCTGAAAAGTATTTATAGAGAAGGAAGTATGTTAATTGTATAAGATAAATTATTATCCGGCCATAAATTAGCAAACGAACCTGATCCGCAAACAAGAAAAATGAATAATCCCAATACGATAGGACCAACGGGTGCTTTATCTTGTTTAGGAGACTAGAAAGAGTAGAAAATTGAGTACATTGATTCTAATAATCACAATCAATATACTCTGTGCGAAGTGACATCGAGTAATGTAAATGGTAAAATAGAAAGTATAAGTACTGTACAGTAAGCGAAATATCACCAGCGAGGGTTCTACTTGGTCAATCATAAAGATATCACGTGAATAACGAGATGCTGTCTTTTCCTCCTTTTACTAATTACAAAATTGAACATTTTTCAATTGTTATCAATACTGTATGATCTCATGGTACTTTTAATATTAATCATCTAAGGAATCATTTACGGCTAAAGCTTGGTAGACAATATACTGTACAGTAAGCAAGGATGTCGATTTCCTGCTGATCTTGTAGAAACACTAGGGTTCTACAGGTCGATAAATGATATTGACAATTGAATGACATTGAACAATCCGACAGCGCATAATGAAAACCTAGAATTTTAACATCCAATGATCGAACTTGCGAAAAGCATTACTGTAAAAAATCATAAATTTCATACAACATCAGTGATTCAAGAACGATATTGACGGTATACACACGCTGTTATTCTACAGTACTGTACCACCGATGAAGAATAGTTTTTAAAGGAGAAATTTACAGTAAGCGCACACTAACATGGACCGTTTTGCAAGTCTTATAAGTACTATAAAGTCGACGACTATACAGCGGACCTTTGTATGCAGTATCTCCACTAGCAGCAGTAAACAATCTACTCTTGTTGTATCTATCGATCGCACATTCAACGATTTCCTCAAAGTTATTTGTAGCGTGTAAACAAAGAAGTTCTTGAGCGAATGGCATCAAATATCCCTAAATATGGCGTTGAATTCTCACGTCGGTGTTGCTGTATAACTCGTATCTTATTGTGCTTACATTTTTTACGGCTAAATTGATCATTAAAATTGATGAGTTATGGCAGCCTTGTGTAGAAAAGAAAAGAATCCGAAACTAATCTATCTAATGTGTCAGGCACAATGATTTGTACAGTATATTGTTCGCTGACAACTTTATTACTTATTCTAATGGCGCATGGCATAAAATATTGATAAAGCTCTTTCGTGTTGTAGTCGTGTTCATAAAAAGCAACATCCTATGTGTAGTATACAGTCCCTGCTTTTACTGTAAGCATTCAAAACTACTTTTTGATGTAGTCTATTGGAGACATTTTGATACATGAATCGAATAATACTGGTGTGAACATCATGATCATTGTATATTTCCCTAATACTGGCTGAATAACTCGGTTTCAATGGGTTACAAAGTAGCTTAATTAATACTATGGACTAGTCAAGACGCCCTAGGGCATCTTGAAGTAGTCCATGCTAATACAGTATTGTAGCTTTTGATATGAATCAGTGAGAGTGTAATGTATATATATACGTATAATAATACAGTAATGCATACGCCGTTTTTTCTCATGTTTCTTTCCTCATTGGCATGATCGTAGCTTGCTCAATATTGTACTAGTAGGTTTACTGTACGTTAGAATTGATAACAACCCCCAAAAACGCCATTAGTATCCTGTACTGCTAAACTAGCTTAAGTTAAGAAAGTAATCCTAATGTTATCCATTCGTCGCTGTGTTATTAGCTTCTGCCGTACAGTTAAAGGATTAATTTCCTGTTTCTTTTATGAATCAACATGATCGCAGATTAATCAGAGATTCAGAGTAGTCTAGCTTTATAGTGCAGTCGATGAGATATGAAACGGCAACCACTTTCGTTGTTTTGCCTCCCCCCTCCCTTCACCAAAATTTCATCATTGCAACGTATTCTTTTAATTTATGTAGATTTAATACTACTGTAGCTTCTAGTGTAAGATGAATTTTTCCAGATGTCTCTTGATCAAAAGGATGATCAGTTCATCAGTAGTGTATCATTATTTCAAGTCATTGACTCCACTAGTTTGCATGAAAATTGAACCATCGCGATCATGTTATTGTCTAAATCTCCCTAGTTCAAACAACTCATCATCAGCAGTCCATTAGTCCGTGTCATATTCGTTCTTGATGTTGACTTGTAGTCTACTGTAGAATAGCCTTCTTTCTCCAATACCATGAGGGTAAGTGAAATAGTAGTCAAACTAATTGAACTAACCTGATCAACGTTGTTGTTTATAGAAAGCGGAAATAACATACAGACATGATTGAAGGCAATAACTAGGCGTTTGCGTTTAGTATTTCGATAGCACCATAGAATGGCGTAATACTAGTACAGTATAGTATTGACCATGATGACAACAATGTCTCAATGGATAGGAGAACAGAAAGTGTTGGTATCCCATCCATTGAACTGCGATAATATCGAACGATAGTGACATGATTATTAAGATATGAAAATAGTGTGGAGGAAATGGCAGAGGAAAAAAATGTCATCATCCATCGGTCGATTAACGTGGGTATTGTACTGTATATCGAGACAAACGGCAAATGGATTGATGACGATGGAGAAACGATCTAAACGACACCATGATGCTATTGAACATGGTCAACAAGGGAAATTGAGTCTAGAAAAATCGCTCAAGATACCCTAACTCATGTATGATGACTACTCTCTCTACTCGTCAGTTGATTCTTGAAACCGATCGAAGTTCAATAACTAATCCAATTGGCGTCCATGTTGGCCAAGACGATATCGGCTTGGATCGATCGTCTATCAGACGCTATCTACCATTTCTCCATATCATAATAGAAAGACTTACTTGGGTTTTCGGAACGGCGCCTCTTTGAGTGACATTCTTGCTGTATTTTTCACTAGCAATTCTCATACGCTGCTTAGCCGGCATGGTGATCGCTGACGATGGGACAAGTTGTTGTTGCCAAGAAGAAAAGGAATGAAAGAAAGCCAAAAGCAAGCGGCCCGAGGTCAAATACACGCTACGCTCTCCTAGTGTAGGCACAGTATTATGCTGAAAGCGTGGCCATCGGTGGCAGACCTTGGTACTAAACCACCACAAGCGAGCTGTTATTTTTGGCTGTCTGGCGAGACTGTATAGTACGGTGGCTCACAAGAACCACCGTAGTACTGTATAGCACCTGGTATGGTAAGTACGGTAGAGTACTGTACAGTTTTTCGTGGCCAGATTGGATGAGGAAAGTCTGTCTGTCCGACGACTAGTCTCACAGTGACAGTACTGTACACAGTAAGTGCCGTACTGTACTGGATTGTCACTGTGAGACTAGTCGTCAGACAGACAGACTTTTCTCATCCAATCAGGCCGTGGAAAAATGGCTGCTTAGGATGGATTTTCCGGATCTGTTTTCTAAATCACGGGTACTAATTTAAATCACATTGATGGTCTTATAAAACTGTTTCCAAGTAGGACTTAGTAGCAGATAATAAGATTCAACGTAATGTTATTACTTCCTTCATTTCAAAAAAATGACTTCATTGACATCCATCCTCTCCATACAAAAGTACTATCCATAACCAAGTGTTTGAAACAACGTTTTGACGAGATGAGACCGAAAAGGTCTGTCCGTCCAAAAAGGGATCTGTCCACTCGTCTAGTAGTGTCCAGGTCTTCTGCCGTCTTCTGCTAGTCCATGTTGTCAGTCTGTCTGGGTGGCCTGCCACTCACATTTCCATACAGTACAGTACTGTACTGTACTGTACGAGTAAGTGCTTTGACGTCCGGTCTACAGTACAGTACAGTATACTGTACAAAATCCAATGCCAACCATGGTCATCCATGCCATGGACTAACATGGAATACTGCTCCAAATTTCCACTGTGGTAGTCCATGGCTACTCTTACTTTCTAATCCCGATTAGAAAGTAAAATGACATGGAAATGAATCCGCCGCTGGTGATATCATTTTGCAAAGTATTGGTGTTCCAATCGTCATAGAATGTGCTATACAGTACTGCAGCCATACTGTGCCTTGCACATTTGCACAACCTCAGCACCTAGTAATGTTGTCGACTGTGCAAGTGTCAATGAACTACAGTAGTAAAATCCTCGCTCACCTCACCATTGAGTGGTTTACTGTAGCTATGCTGTAGCCAAGCAAATCCACCTTTCTCGATGGAGTGATTTTAACCATACTGTGCCTTGCACATTTACTCTTCCTCAGCACCTAGTAATGTTATCGACTGTGCAAGTGTACATAAACTATAGCAGTAGAACCCTTATTCGCCATTGAGTTGTTTACTGCAGCTATGCTGTAGCCAAGCAAATCCACCTTTCTCGATGGAGTGATTTGAACCATACTGTGCCTTGCATATTTGCACTACCTCAACATGTAGCACTGTTGTCGACTGTGCAAGTGTACATATCTACAGTACAGTAGTAAAATCCTCGCTCACCTCACCACTGAGTGGTTGACTGTAGCTATACTGTAGCCAAGCAAATCCACCTTTCTCGATGGAGTGATTATAACCATACTGTGCCTTGCACATTTGCACTTCCTCAGCACCTAGCAATGTTGTCGACTGTGCAAGTGTACATAAACTACAGTAGTAGAACCCTTATTCGCCATTGAGTGGTTTACTGCAGCTATGCTGTAGCCAAGCAAATCCACCTTTCTCGATGGAGCGATTTGAACCATACTGTGCCTTGCACATTTACTCTTCCTCAGCACCACTTCAGTATTGGAGGCATGACCAAATGATGTTGAAATGGCATCAACACGCGATCAAGTCTAATCATCATTGATCATTTTGATAGTTGGCAACAGATTGCTTCTTGGACAATGTTTCAGTATCATACCTAGTGAGCAAAGCATGTTTGATACAGACACTGTCCAATGCAATTTCCACTTCACAACTGTGGGATAGAGTAGGAGAGGAAGGACGGCATACTGGACGTTGCATACGAAATCATGCTACCCAAACATGACTTCAAAGGCGATAGTCAGTTAGTAGCTAGACTGCAGTCATTGCAGTAGTGGTTAACACTGACTCCAAGTCCTTCGAAGCCGTAGTAGTAGCTGATCAAATTAATCCCAACTCGATCTTTTCCATCTTTAACGCCAACGAGTAGAGGTAAAACTTTGCTATTCAATCATTAACTACAAGGATTTTCTTCTCATGTTAACCTATCATCTCTATCCTATAACATGATGCACTATTGATACGGATACATTACCTGTTGTTACAGTAGTATCAATCGATTTGCAAGTTTGGTCATCAGCGATGAAAATGGCGGCTTTGCAACTTTGACCAATTTCAACCAATCTTGTTGTCTCAATCAGTCCAAATTCAACAAGACTAGCATTCAAGTTTCTATTCTATCGATAGCAAATCCTGTTATGCGATAAATTGCCATGTCAAAATCAACCAGTCGTAAATCGTTCAAGCAAAGCAAGGAAAAGAATAATACTCCTCATAAGGTATCATAACCTGCAGTTTGTCTCATCAACCAATTGAAAAATTTCTCCATTACTCTATGTCAGTAGTGGCAGGTAAAGTCATGCAGTAGGATTACGCCAGCCAAGTATCCGTCAAGGCACGATAATAGCTACTCTTCTCTCTTCTAGTCTATCTGCTAACACTTTCAAAATGCAATAGTAAATAGTATTTAGAAGAAAGATACATCTCCATCATACCACATCTTTTTCAACTTGTACCATGTAAATCACCCAACAACCCTACAGGTCAGACTCTCTTCCAGTCTACCTACGAACACTTTCAAAATGCATTAGTAAATAGTATTTAGAAGAAAGATACATCTCCATCATACCACATCTTTTTCAACTTGTGCTATATAAATCACCCAACAACCCTACAGGTTAGACTCGATTGAAGAATGAAATGATCATAAGGACAGTGCAGTATTATGATGGCTATCTAACCAACAGGATTCTCATCGAGTGGTTATCAACTCGGCTTAGATAACTTAAACCCTATTTAATTCATCCACTTGATGAGGATAATCATTCTTAGATGGCGTCCAAGAAATACAGACAACGTAGAATCACTTTTGATCCATTCAATACGATACTGCAATAGTATACAGTAAGTTACACTCCTACAACGACATTCGAAAATAACGATCATGACCACAGAAGGATAAAGTTTGAAATAAAAAATCAACCTTTTTTATTGTCCATTTGACTATTCCTTCCTGTTTTATGCTACAATTCAATCAGGCTCTTTTATCAACGCGATCGTAGAGCACCTTACCAAAAGGGTAAATGTCGTCAATAAAGCGTACAGTAGATGGTTTGAAAATAATATTTTTGGGATCGCTAGATGAACAAACTAGTCCATCATTATACTATAATTGTTCTCTGTTTGCCTATTCTCAATCGATCTTTTCCCATTCTCGCCAACTCGTATTCTATAAGATTTCGTAATTAAGTCATCAGAAAACGACATAATTGTGAAAAAATTCCCACATGACATGAAGGTAATACAGTACAGTAGTGGAAGACTGTACGCTTTTAAGGTGCCTAGATCGAGCACTACAATAATTACAAGCCAGTATCCTAAATCGATGGGATGACCACAAAATCTTCTTGTACATTACTTTATTTTTTTGAAGAAATAATACTAATAGAATATGTGATTAATTTGCCTATCGATGAAGAGGAAAGAAATTACACTGCGATGATATTCAATTACCATCACTTTATTGTGGCCCCTCCTGCCTGTTCAAAGCAATATTGGCCTTTCAATAAATTCACAGCCATGCATGGACGTAATCATCCTAAAAATTTTCCAGTCATTTACATATTAAAGAAATAGAGATAATAGATGATTTATTTGCCTCTAGGAGTCAACTAGCGAAATTATAACAAAGTAAACACATCATTATATTTTATAGACTCTACTTACTATAGTCTCTTCTACTTGCATCTCAATACGAACGAGTACAGTCTATTGCAATAAAGATCAGGATCATGGATCGATTTAAGCGCGTTATACGAGATTACATAAAAGAAATCCAGTTAGTCTAGCATTTGTTTTCCTATTGATTAGGACGAATAAAAACGATAGTATTATCATGTTATAAATATCCTAATTCTGGCCTGTTCTGAACATAGGCAACAAATAAATCAAAGTCATCAATAGACGTCGTCGCCGTTAGAAAATAGTTTGCTTTATTACTACATGACATAGAGGAAATTGTACATTGTATTCACCTATTCAAATTAAAAAATTGCACCAGAAAATAATCTGTATCATCTCAACTATCTCACTTGCAGAGTAAATCGTAGTCATGCTGTAAATAGGCGAAGATTGAGATAATATCGCGCTAACACGTTAGTTCAGTAGTTTATGTTAAACGAAGAAAGATAACTAGATTTGATTCTATGTGTCAGATTAAATTGCCACTACTTATTTTTTCATAAATTATAAATTAGTTCTGCTCGATTAATAGATAGAGACTATCAATCACTTAACTACATGATGTCGATAGATTGCCAGTTTAACGGTACTACGCATAAATACGTGCAACAGAGTACTCGAATGCTATGCTATGTGTTATACTATAACAGTAAAGGATATTTACGCATACGCTCATGAATACAAAATATTTTTTTGTCATTTCGAATCATAGATAGATATAACATTTTAACGTGTTACAATGAACTCATTAACACCTATTAATCTTAATAGACTAGTTAGAGTTGTTCATATCAGCATTTCTTGAAGCTAACTAAATGAATGGAGACTACCAATATTCTATCCTGTGTAGGTCACGCTTCTAATCCAAGATTGTTTTAATGTCAATATTTAAACATAGATTATAATTCGTTGCTTGCCAGCAAATTTAACTGAAGAGCAATTTCTAGAGCAAATATCGCCGTTACCAACTTATAGCTATTTCCGATTCGTTGCCGCTGATAATAGGTAAATACATATATATGTGTATAAGCATATTAAAGCTTACAACTTTCAACAATTTACCGCCAACGATATTAGCCATAATAGTAAGCAAGCAATAGAGTAGTTGCTATGGCATGTTTAATTTTTTCTTGATGTCGTATGCTCCTGAATTAAAAAAGGGGTATAAAGGATACGATGCCCTACATTGATGTACTACATTGGATATATCAGTAATGTGTATATTTGTTGAACGAATGCTTTATATTATTTCGTTTATATTTCAATTACTTTCAGTTATATAGACACTGTCTATAATGAAAATTCTTACTGATACTTTTATTGATAGACTGAACATACTACTACAACTATGCTTACATCTACATTTAATAACCCATTGCAGTCAATGCTAAATGTCATTGTATAATAATGACTATGCTAATATCAGTACGATATTATAAGCGTCATGTAAATCGATTCTACTGCTAGACCTACCCTCAACCTAAAGAAGCAGTCCTTACTGAGCCCCTATATTAATTATAGTCAATTTAAGACTGTAAAATGCTACTCGAGTCACAAATCGAAATTATTTACTTATAGATTATTTACTAAAAGACCAATTACCGGTATTTTTCATCATTAGTTATGGTCGCCACTCTTTTTGTCGTGCATACGTTAACTTTGTTAACGCCAAAGATATTGTCGACTTTTTCGAGAAATATGATGGTTATCCAATCTCTGACAGTAAAGGTTAGGAGATAATATTACTTTTATTGCAAAATTATATGCCAAATTTATACCCATGTTTGCATCTAAGTACATTGAACCTAAAACGTCATTAACAATTTTATTAACGATTCTATTACAGTTTTGTTACTTCCTACCATCTAAATAGCTTCCTCTACTAACTGAAATGATTTTAAATACAAATAAGGCAAGCAATTCCCAGCAATAGTTGAGTTTGCTCCCTTCCAGAGAATACCTAAGAAGAAGAAGAGAGATCCAAAATGTAGTACGATTGAATCCGGTGAGCTAATTTTTGTAATTGCTTTTTATCTTAGCCATGTGAATGTGCTTACTATTTAAATTCTCTAATAGTAACAAAATTGATATAATGTTATCGGAAAATATTGAACATCATGCTTTTGATAAACAAAAAACTAGATAAGGATTTCTTGGCGTTTATGGCCTCCTTGGCAGATAAAAAGGATTTGTCGCATATTAGTCAAGCCCCTATTGATATTGAAGATACTAAAGATGATAACTTATTAGGTGATTGTTGTAATGAGTCAATGCCAACAGTATACTGAACGAGTCATTTGGGAACTATCTCTAAGACGATTGTTTTATACAAAATAGAATCCACTCCTTTGTTAGAATACGTGAAAGCTCGAAAAAGCGGTAATAAATCGAAGCAATCCCAAAATCAGGTTGTTATAGATTATAGTTTGTTTATCCATGTCGAACACGTTACCAGAATTATCGAGAGTATTATTTAGAAAGCTAATAAATCTTACTTTACAACGTACGGGCAATATTACTACTACAAGCAGTAGACTTCATCCTGTAATTCTATCAATTTACTACTTTTTATTATAGTGGTAATACTGACACTTGTTATTAGTTTACTTCTCCAAAATACTTATTTATCTAGTTGACATAAGATTACTTATACCAATTATAGATATCAGCAAATGAAGCAGAGAAAAAGAGAAAGAAAGAGAAGGTTATGATAGTGATTATGCTGCAATATTGCATTTCTATGTGTTGTAGAAATTTGCTAGATTCAATTATCTTAACGATAAGTCTTATATTTTCAGAAAACTGAAAATACTTCGGAACAAGCCGAAATTGGAAGCAGTAAAAAGAGTATTAAACATGATCCTCCAAAGAGTAATAAAGATTCTTCAAGATCTAGTAGTAAAAAAAGCTCTAGTAATCACAAAGTTGAAAAAGATAAAGAGAAAAAGGAATCTAATGTAAATGAAGAACATAAGAATGCTGTCAGGAATAAGGATCGAATATCCGACAAGCGTGACTCGACCAGAAAAGCTACTGAGCTAAAGCAAAATCATAGAGATAAGAGTAAAGGTAGTGAAAGAGAGAAAGAAACAAAAGACCGTAATAAAGATCGCAAAATAATGACAACAAGTGCATCAGCCAAAAGGAATGAGGATAGAGAACGTGATAGTAAATCTGAACGACGAGAAAAATCGGTTAGTTTAGTCTTTGTTTTAAAAATTTGTATTCCATGTTATTAATCGGTAAAAGAAATTCATTTTTATACAGGCATCTAAGAAATCAATGCATGCATCAATCCCTCAGGAGAAATCAAAAAGTAACTATGCGTATTTTATTTCGTTTTGTTAAAATGATTCAAACGATTAGGCGTATTTTACGCTACATAATGGAATCATTATTTTTATATGTCATTAACTGATACATATTTGCCTTGCAGAACAACAACATACTGACGAAAAAGAAGGCAAAGCTACAAAAAAACTTTCTAGCAATGATAGAGTTTATGATAACGGAAAGAGATTACATGATAAGGATACAAGTAAAGCTCGTGATGAGCGCGAACAACAAGGACGTATCCGTAACAAGGTACTGAAATGACAATAACATTTCGCTCTCGGTAAATTATTACCATCACTAAATATAAAAAAATAATTGTATTGTAATGATTCTCTTATGGTAATGTTAATACGTTAAGGATCGTCCGGATAGAGCAGTTTACAATCCAAGGCAACGCTTTGGTAGATCCTCTGAAGGGGATATGGAAGAAAAACGACCACGTTCTAGCCGATCTCAGGGTAGTAAAAAATAAACTTAGATTTATTATTGGACAAGGGTATCAAAACTAGCTACATGCCTTACGTCACTGTCGCAGATATGGTATCACAATGCTGAACTCTCTTAGCTTTACGATATGTTTTCTGATCGGGCTCGCATTGAATTTCCAAGTCTGGGAGCTGAAACTGGATAGTAACCCATCATCAAGTATCAAAAAGCTCCTAAAAGTTTGTACTGTACTCTTTCAGCTCTATACATTCATATTTGCTGCTGCTGCCAAGTCAGTGAAATTGCAAACTATGAGTGCTTTGATGTAAAACATGATCGACTTAATGTTATTAAGTTGGCTGCCTGTCGAAAAACCTTTATATGCGTGCATTAACTATGCATGGAGACAATCTCAAAAACATCCATTCAGTTTTATGATAATTACACAATATATTTGCGGCGATGGTGCCTAGAATATCTGATCTATCTTTGGCCAATCTGTTGTGATTATTGCAGTATGCAGCAGCTATTAGAATAATTTATTACAATGTGATGTTGGTTGGAATATAATAACAACAGTTAATGACAAGTGATTCGGAGCATGTTCATTGAACGAATTTTTATTTTAAAACTTTGCATTTGAACGTATCTGAATTCTTGATTGAATGACTTTGATTTCGGAGCATTTCATAATGAAATAAAACAATCTTTGTAGTATCAAAATATAACGTATATTCATTTTCGTATCATAGTTATCTAAAATACTGAGAGTGATAGCTTTCGTTCTATCCTCTTGTTATTCATAGCTCCCATTACGTAGTGGTTTAATTTGTAAATGGTATGCAAATACACTGGTTGGTAACACGTTAATAATCTAAAAGCATAGTTAAATTTGAAATTCTTGCAAAGCCCTAGCTGTCTTTCTACTGCATTTTCGACAGGCGATGCCTTTCTTGCATTGTTGATGATACACTGAGTTACATAGAGGACACTACAAAATTGAAAGCTAGCATTAGCTGGTTTAATGTTGCAATTTTATGTAATCAATTGAAAGATTGCTTCACCTACCGTGATGGCTAAATCTAACTGAAAGGGAAAAATTACTTCTTCGCTTCTACATAATTCACATATATAGCCTTTCTGCCAACACCGCTAAGACCAGAAGGAATTGAATGCATTTTAAGATGCACATTCCGTGTAGCCTGAGTAAATCTATTTTTCAAATTAATTCCTACACACAAGATACGTATACTCACTCACCTTACACGATTTGATATGTTGCATCGCCAATTGGACCACACTTCTAAGTTGTTCTATCAATTTTCCGTTTGATACCTCAATCAAGTCCTATTGATTGAAACATGACAAAATAACGGTCTCTTCAAACTATATCTAAAGTTGTTGAGTTATCGCATACGATGTCATTACCTGAAGTGAATAAACACTAGCATCTTCCCATAGATAAAGCCTTGATAAGATTCTACAGGACAAACAAGCAATGCATATGTACGTGTATGTGCATACAGATTTTAATAATGTATCTTGACTACAATCGCAAAGTAACTTAATAGCTATAAAGGAATCAGCAAATTCTTACTTCCTTTCAATTGCTACCACAGCATCATTGTCATCACAGCAAGATAAGTATTTCTTAATTTGGTTCATTTGTAGTCTAAGTCTCTGAGAAGTAAAAATTCACATTCATTAAACTTCCGATAAGGGTAATTATAAGCTGTAAACACCATTTCATCATTGTAATCTGAGATGAGAACTATCGATAGCAAACCTTGGCTTCACCCATTTCAGGGACAGTATTATACAATGAAGGATTAAGCTTGGAAATATCGAATAATGGCTCTGATTTTATCATTGCTAAAAATTTCATATTTTCGTGGCAAACTATGAGGTATAATTTTAATTTAGTATTTATAATATTTGGAAAAGCTTACATAAAACAAGCTACTCAGTAAAAGACTCTAACATATTGTTATATCATTATAGTCATGAGAACCGAAGCATGAAATTATCGTCTACCTATATCCATACTGACCTGCATATTCGGTTGAATCCCAATTATGTATTAGACGAGCCGGTATAACATGAAATTTGCCATTATCGTGGCAACCAGAACAATAATAACTAAACAAAGAAAGGTTAAATCAGAAACAGTCTCCGACTATTTTCATCTTAAATCTACAAGAAACCGATTGCATAGCCTAGCTACATTCAGGCCTATTTTAAAGGTAGATCCCATTAATAAGGGCTGTCTATGCCTACTTTCCTTATTGTAGATAATATTTACTTATTTAGTAGGATAGTTGCTATCGGTTGTAAATTCTGTACACTTACCATCCGTCGAAATTACAAACATTGTAACCTCCAAAAACTAGAATATTCAAAAAAATTCGTTTTTTTATTAAATATCATCGAAGTCGTTTACGATAAAATCGGGCACAATAATTTCATAACTAACACAGATATTAATATATTATGTAACAAAATGTTAACTTAAGAATTCGTTAACGTATTTAATCATTAGAAACTTAAGTATTAAAAACTTGGTAGACGAGAATCAATTCTCAGCATCAATTCATCATGCTATAAATTGGAGAATATATACCGTCGATCAGTGATAGTCTTTTCTTATATTAGTCAAGGGACTGTATCTTATTTTCTTTACGATTACTAAACTATTTGATAGGAATAATAAAAAATATTCCCAAAATATAACTCTCAAATTTATCATAAATATTTTATTTTCGTATAAAAATAATTTTACAAGTATAATTTCGTCTAATCTATTAGCAAAGTGAATATTTAAATCTTCAGTAACATCTTTTTGCAAAATTATGTGGTGATTGCATTACTGCAACAGAGATCATTTAGTTTATAATCATTATTTGGCATCGATATCAGTCTACTATGCTTACTTAATCCAATAAAAGAGTTGCAACGGGAGCATTTATAGTCTTGACTGTCTAACCCAGTCTCGTTCTTGATTGATGTCAATAGTTGCATTTTTGTTCGAGTAGCCTAAATAGAATAAAAATTGAGCTCAATGCATAAAAGATATCGTCATCTTACGGCACAAATATCTTGGTAGTAAACAAAGTGACCTACACGTATAAGTAGTTACAAGGATAAGTGATAGGTACTGCTAGCCAGGTAATAATAGATTATACTACAGCCATGAATTTGCAAGTAATCTGAAGCCTGTAACTACAATACTGATGTCATATGAAACGCACAACGTTATTTTACTTCTATTACCTCGTCCATAGTCGATGGATCCAAGCTGGAACACCGATGCATAATCTGCAAAATAAATAAAACAAAGTGTATATATACAGTACAACATGCTGGCATTTCACGCTCCCTATATTGGTAATATAGGACGTTCTTCATGTCTACATTGGAATTCACTAGTAGTCTCTAACCTCTATCCACTATCAAATAACATTCAATGTGTCGCGTATAATAAATAATAAATACTAATTTTAAAAATAAATAGACATATACAGTATATACCCGTATCGTACAATATAACTGATGTTAGTTGAGGTTGCGTTATTTACTCTAATGGACAATTGCTATCAAAGGATGTTCATTAAGTTCTTACCGAACAATTATCTGCATCGAAAACCTCCCAGCTAGACAATGTTTCATCTTCAATTTCTTGGAAATCATCTGATCTTGTAGTCATTCTACAGGAAATAACTGCAAGAACAATACTTTCAACTGATTTAAGTATAATTGATATTTATAGTTGCTCTCGGTCAGCACCCAAATAATTGGATAGGAGCATGGATGTGTTTTTAAGCTTTCCAATCGATATCAGCTAACTTGAGGCAAAGATAGTAGAAGAATGGCAACTTTATAATTACAACATCTATGTTAACAGTGGATCTCGTAGCTCATGAAGAGAATAGTTGCAGCTATAACTATAAAACTGTAAGATCCTAACGATGAAATGTTGGTAACTTCTATTGCATTAAGTTTATCATCGCTTGATTAGAATAATATGCTCATGTACTACAACTCGTATATCCTGTAGAACTGCAAGTTAAGCTAAGCAACATACCAGTAGACTATCAGTTTCTTATCCTACAGTATCAGAACTGATCATTGCCGACATACAAGTCACAATCTAGCTGTAACATTTGAATTATAAGCAAGGCTAATGATGATAATGTTGATGAAGGAAAGCAGTTGCAAGGCCGATCGAATTTCATACCTATACGTCATAAGCCATACCAAATGCCAATATGAGTTAGATGAAGTGCTTACCGTATACATTCTCATTACCCGTTTGAGTATTTATATTGATGAAATGGCGCTTGTTTGAGTGTGTACCCAGCTACAGTACGATCGATGGGTTAGGAATGTAGTGGCAAAACGATGAAAAAGATTGAACACACTATAGCATTAAACTACTGAATGCGTACTTACCCATGCATCGGTTGGAGCTATTCGTTATATATGCAAGCGATAGTGCGCAAAACGCTGTCAATACGCTAGCAATTACTATAGAACATGAGCGTCATCGTGTTATACGATCCTTTCTGACGGATGTTGATCTTGTTGATTGGTTTTGCTTCCTGCTGGCTTAGCTTGTCGCTGCACTTGTAGTGGTTTTATACCAGTCTTGTGTCGGCGTATGAGTATTTAGTTGGACATTTTAATTCATTGCCAAGTTCCCTATTGATATCCTCATCATGTCAAGCCAAATTGGAGGTTAGTATCAAGATAATCGGCAGCAATAGCCAATTTATTATTCTACTAGAGGGATAGTGGGATTTTATTCAATCATAGTGGACATTTAGTAGATACTGCTGTAGATTGCGTATAGTAGTAGATGTTCAAAGCAAGGTGACGACGATGAGGGTTGAAATTGGGTTCGTGTTCACGACGGAAAGAGAGTGAAATCAATGGAATTAAATGCATCGTAGTATAGGCAAAGCGTATTCTTGCTGTTAGATGGACGATCTAATATTGATAGAATAAGAAAAAAAACCGTGACCACTCTATTTAGTTGGACAAGAGATAGCGTATACAGTAGTATTGTGACGACGATAAGGGTTGAAATTGGGTTCGTGTTCGCGACTGAAAGAGAGTGAAATCAATGGAATTACATGCATCGTAGTATAGGCAAAGTGTACTCTTGCTGTTAGATGGACGATCTAATATTGATAGAATAAGAAAAACAACCGTGACCACTTTATTTGCTATTGTAGTTAGTTGGACAAGAGATAGTGTATACAGTAGTAGAAGCAATCTACATAGTAGCCTGGTTAAGCAACCACTCATAAACGTTAATATTATCTTATCTGGAATACTACTGGAAGTCCTATTAAACAACCATGAGTGGTGTATTGGCGATATTGTCTGGTAGTCCGTGCGTGAGTTCACTCACTAATACATTTAATGAAATAATAAATTAACGTTAGATAAAGTTGTGACAGCCCAATGGTACACTGCCATTGGCTTTAATTAATAATTTTAACTGAAGACTACACGGAAACGTTATGTCGGATAGACAAGTACGACACTTTGCGGTTTAGTAATATATACGGAAGAATATTATGATGTAATGATGCTATATGCTTTCTTTACATTAATTATAGCATTGAGGCTGCTTTGTGCTGTACAAAAATATGCTTGGGGAAAGATCGGCTCTAATAGCGAAGTAGCACTGTTAGCCAAAAGCAATGATCCGCAGTTTTTATTGGAAGAAGATAGCCCGTATTCTGAGGTATGTTTGTTATTTACAGAATATACCTATTTTTTGGCGACGACGTAGGTAGTATAGTACACACCATATCAACTTTAGGCAAGTGCCAATGGGTACTAGTGGATTACCTACCTTACAGGATTGATTATCGTGCTCTATACCCTGTACCATTTGTATAAGTAGATTCATTAAAGTATAAGTCTATCTAGGCATTATCACCAATGTTAGCCTACAGTGCAGAAATAATGTTATGTAATATTCGCATTACTATGTAGCTGTGGATGGGAACCCATATAAAGGGTCCGTCCCACGTTACTTACCAAAACGCAGAAGGAGAAACTATTAATAAGTTGTTATCCGATTGGATAAGAGACCATCCTGTATTCGCAATGGGTAAAAAAGTTGCCGATGAATATCAAAATCAACTGCCTTTTCTATTTAAGGGTAAGGGTTAGATGAAACTCTCGATAGTTATTGAATGGTTTCCTCTTTAATAACATTAAGTATATCTTGCGTATTATTTTAGTCCTATCAGTGCAGAAAGCTTTGTCTATACAGGCACACCCAACGAAGAAACATGCTATAGAGCTTCACAAAAGTAGACCTGACAAATATCCTGACCCGAATCATAAGCCGGAAATGGCAATCGCATTGACGCCATTTGAAGGACTATGCGGATTCCGTCCTATTGGCGAAATAGTTACATTCTTACAGACAATACCTGAATTTTATAACATCGTTGGTAAAGACCACGCAGAAGTTTTACTTCGCAGTTCTAGAATGGTATCTGCTAAGGACGAGAACAGTATCCTAGCATGCCAAAATGCACTTAAATCGTGTTTTACATCTGTCATGCAATGTGACCCTGAAGCAGTTCAACGGCATCTAACGACTTTATTGGAAAGGTTATCCAACATCGACGAACATGGTGAACAATTAAACGACCAATAGATATTGCAATTGATATTTTTCGACTACTAACTACAATAATATCTGATGAATAACTTTAATAAAATGTCTTGTATCATTTATAGATGAATATTATCAAGCCTCTCAAGGTACCTTGTTATCAAGATTAAATAAACAGTTTCCCGGTGACGTTGGATGCTTTTGCATCTATTTTTTTAATTACATACGACTCGAACCCGGTCAGTGTTTGTTCCTTGCTGCTGGTGTTCCTCACGCTTACCTAGCTGGAGGTAATATCTGTGTTATTAATGGTATTATTAGATGTGACAATATAATTAAATTAATACTGTCATTGTGGGACAGAACCCTAAAATTAGTCGAAAAATATATAACCAAGTAACATAGATTCTTTTTTCTTATTGGTGTGTGATACTACTGTAGATTGCATGGAGTGTATGGCATGCAGTGACAACGTTGTACGAGCTGGATTAACTCCAAAGTATAAAGATGTTCCAACATTATGCGAAATGCTAAACTATCGTTGTGCTACTCCATCAGAAAATCTATTCTCCTGTCATACAGATCCCGTAGACGAATTCGTTTCAGTGTATGACCCTCCTGTTGGTGATTTTGCTGTTCACGTTATACGTGTGCCAAAAACGGTATCCAGCTATGAAATGCGAGCTTTACCTGGTCCGAGTATTTTTCTTGTCGTCCACGGCAACGCAGAAGGATCGATTAACGAAGAACATCACGTTATGAATTTAAGAAGAGGTAGTGTTGTATTTTTAGCGGCAGAACATAGCTATTCACTAAGAACCGCAGGTGATGACCAAGACCTTTTAATTATGAGAGCATTCTGCGTTTAAGGAAATTTACGACATTTGACTTTCTTTTGCGAAGATTTCAAACCTTACTTCTGTTACAGAGGTGTAATTACAATATCAGAAAGACTTTTGATATAGCTAGGTGATAATGGGAAAATGAGAATATATAATAGTTTAGAACCGTTAGTATCACAAATTTTAGTAATATTTTTAATACGAATGGTTAATATTAAACTAGCAATTAAATCGAATGTAATGCAATAATTTCTCAATAGTTTCTTAGCGTCATTTTAATTGTAACTTATTTGTACTATACGCTTTTATATTGTTAACTATATAAACAATCAAAATTGACGAATTTGATCAATTCATTTATTCTGAAGTTGTGTTAAACTTTACTGTTAGCAACTTAATAATCTATGCTTCATCGATTTGATATTCTGAGGTATAAGCCGAACACTATGGTACAATTGAATTGTCGTTATAGAATTACTTGTATATGTAATCTCTAGCAAGAAGTAATAAATATTGGATGATCGAAAAGCTGATTATAAATGTAGCATTAGCAGGACAAGCGCATAAAATTAAGCAATGATCATGATAATGATATCTGCTGTAAGCAGTTTGATGATTCGATTTTGTGTATGTAATTGTATTATTTTATATGGATACCCGTATTTTGATGTCAGTATACTGCAGTATTGTGATGTACTCGTATGCTATAGCAGTCTAACGATCGGTCTTTGGCTCTTTGTATCCACAATAATTATAGCATCATTCTACCAGCATAGTCGTTCTGCAGGACATTTGATACACTCAGACTTTGGTTGGTAGTCGCATTTGCCAGAGTAATTTACGACTTTACAAACAGTCTTTAGTATATGTACTCAACAATTATCATTTTAGATCAGTATACTACAGTATCTACTGTAGTCAGTGCGATTTCGTAATTTAATTGCATCACAGTGCTCTAAATTGAGAAAATTTCCACGAGTTTCCTATGCTTTTCTGAGCTGATTCTATATAAATTTTATCTAGGATTAGCTGAAAAAGTATAGGAAGCATTTATATTGCTTTGTCACAACTGTCTAAGTGGCATAAACTATCTAGAGCTACCCTCCTAGATATACTCAAAAGATCAGTCGGTAAAAGTACAGCTTGCTCTAGGTTACGACTTTATTTTAGTAGTTTTCACCAGCAGTTTATAACAAAAAAGAAAAAATAATAACAACCGATAATAACTAGCTTTCATACTTAGACTTAAAATTAGATAGCATAAAGCAAGAGACATCTAATCAAAGGAGGTCAACGCAGCTAAATCAATGCAAACATGACAGATTGTAACTTAGTCAAAACCGTATTATTAACTTGAGTACGATAAGAAATTATAACAAGTTCAAATATAGCTCTTAGTATGAGCTAGGCAAGAATTCCAGCCTGAGCACGTACCTTATCTACTGTTATTTAATATTACTAACAGAATTCCTACTACACCCACTTCATAACTCAATCAACATCGATATCTTAAATTATAGACATAACAGTAGAGCAAGTCATTGTCCAACAGACTGTTAATACCAATCAATGCAATGCATGAATTTCTAAATTAACGCATCAATGTTAACCACATACGGTAACTAAACGGTCTACCTACTGTATGTAGACGTTCATAATGTAATAACATATAAAGGCTGGCAAAAGTATAAAGGATGATGAGAGCCAGAGGCAAATACTACGCCAAGACTTTAAAAAAAAGAAAGATTGGCAGCGGTGGGATTCGAACCCACGCCATCGAAATGACTGGTGCCTAAAACCAGCGCCTTAGACCACTCGGCCACGCTACCTCATATCGTAATACCGAGGATGATTTTAGTTATTAAAATATATTACACGCCGCTACAGTAGCGTGTTCTGAGTACAAGGGACAGACGGAGTGATAGGACTTGTACTGTACACAGTGTACAGTACAAGAAGACAAAAGACAACTACTGTACTGTACTGTATTGTTCTTGGAAGTACTGTAGGTACTGTACAGTACTGTACACTCACTGTACAGTACACTGTTGTTGGAGAAAAAATGACTACTACTGTACACTACTGTACTGTCCTGTACAGCACAGCGCGGCGTACAGTACTGTACAGTACTATTGTATAAAATCGAAAATTAACTGCAAGTGCTCGTCGCTCTTTATCTTATCTTACAAAAGACTATTGATGGTATCACTTTCTTATTAACACGAGTTATTATCTATGTAATCTAGACAATATTGGTCTGAAGTCCTGTGTCGAAAATAAGAGTCATCGATTATTGCAAAGCAGAGGGCCAATCGTCGTGCGTACTGTATTACTATCTAATACAACAGTGAAAAATTAGCGAGGCCTTTGTCAATTATTAAAATTATTATTGATTATCATCATTGAGTGAATCTCACTGACCGGCTGACATCAAGAGTGAATGAACGATCCAATATCGACCTATCTTGTCGTCCAATTGTTCGATTAAAGAGAGAAAAAATGTCCTCCATATTTTGCAATTCAACTTTCAAGTAGGACACGGTAATAATGTAGGATAGTAAGTATGATGATGATAATTGAATGATCGATCGCCATGACAGATACATTATTCGTACATACACTACTTGATTCTGTGATAACATGCAGTTAATTAAAGGTACAACATCAGGTAATGCATCAAATAGACATTACTAATGATTGATTTTGATTTCCCCCCCCCCCTCACACTCCAAGATATCATATCATATCAGACTCTCGTTACGATCGACACAGTATCAGTCACCATTTGGCATACGTCAAGACTAAAGACAGTAATGACATTCAGTCCATCGACTCCTTCTACAATCTCTTTTTTTTCCCCCATTCTTTAATACTGTAATAACCAATGGCAGAGGAGATTTTAATTAATGCTTAATGAGAAGTTCATTTTTTTGGACTGTTGTTGTAACGTCGACAAGGGCTAAAGTTGTACGATAGATTCGACGTAGTAGCATAGTATAGGAGAATATTCTTTTTAAAATAGAGACATGGAGAAGAGAGAGAAAATTGGGGATCGGATATCTTCTACAGTAATTTATAGTTGACCTTTTACTATGAAGGAATATCATGGTTGATTTTGTAAAGCCTACCAAATCAACATGTCATACTATGACTACAAGAAAAGAACTCCATTGTTTCATACCTTAGTGGCAAATAATCCAATAAATAGGCAATAATATTAATAAGGTACAACGTGAAGACGCCATGGATAGCCTTGACTTAATTTCATCATCATAGATAGGATAGAAAAGTAATAAATACATAAATTACAACTTTGAATCATCAATTAGCTATCATTGATTGAATAGGACAACATAGCCAAGTCTATAAAGACAGACCAAAATATCAATTGAGTCGATGGTTACTGGTTAACTACTTTTGACTTTGTAGAGTAACATTTCTAAGGTATTTTTAATTTACCACCTAGTGAACAGAAAACAATTGTGCAATAAAAGTAGAGCCATGGTAGTCACAAATACCAACAAAAATGATCCCGAGTTTGACTCATGGGCTTCTAAGAAAATAGTCTAGTCTAATACTGTCCGTTAGACTAGCTCATTTCCACATAACAGTATACGCTTTCATTTCTTTCAATCAATATTGGTCAAATTCTTCCATTTTGGACCTGTGTAACAGAACCCCAATCCAATTAAATACAATTGAAATACATGTATACTTTACTCTTCTATTGCTATAAGCAATAATTTACCAACCTTCAGTACTCTTCAGTCCTCCATTTAGTAGTCTATAAAGAAAGTGATGTTTCAAGCCTTCGTTTTTTAAAGCACCAATATGAAGAAGTACACCCTCGAGTAAACAGTATAGGTTATATACCGTCTCCATATTATATCGAGATTGAGATACGAGTATTCGCGTATGTACAATTCGATACAAAAAGAAATTGGTCGTATAACTTACTGATATATGTATTCAATACTAGTGCTGACCAATAAATTATAGCAGCTCTAGACTGCAGTGCAAGCTTCCATTCTTCCTCAATGATGCTCTTCTAATCAGCCTTGTTTAATGTACAGTATAAAGTTTGTTAATATTAGATATTTAGATATTGTACATTTTATATATGCGGTTATATTGTCACGTAATGAATAGAAAAAGTCCCTTTCAATCTTTTACTACTATCGATACTTTGCCTTATTTTTAATGGTATTCCCAATATCAACTTTGTTTCATCTATACGACATACTAACATTGGATGTTTTTAATCTATGTATATGTACTTAATCAAATAGGTCTAGTCAATTTTTTGACTATTATTATCTTTCGCCCTTTTCCATTGATAGTGTTGTGATTAGTCTTGTTTCATACATACGATATGCCAACGTTGGATATTTTGATACTGTGCACTTAATCGAATAAGTTCCGTTAGTATTTCTCTCTCCCAAACACACTATCCTTAATTACCCTAGTTTAATCTCAAACCCTCATTTCAAACGTTGGAAAGTCAATTACGGTGTACAGACATACTCGTATATGTTACGAATGGAATGTATCTCGCCCATTTTCACCACTATTAATCAATCTTGTATACTTTCCCGGTAATATAGTAGTATTTTAATCCATTTTTTCCGATCTATATCATCATAATAATTGATATACGTAAATTTCTTTGCTAGAGTAGGTCTCGTCTATTTTTAAATAAGCATCTCGTTCTCCATGATAGCATTTAAAATAATTAGCATTGCTTAATCTATGTTTATTATAAATATTAAGCAGTAGATGGCAGAAAATAGTAAGACAAGCATTTTAAGTATACTCGATCGCCATAAACAAAGATTCTTTTAGTTTTCTTTTTAGCCTTTTTATTTTTGATTTAATCAATTTTGAGATATGATTACAACGATCAAGAAAAGCCAAAACTCACTTTTAATCGCTTTTGATTGAAAATAAGTAATCTTAACTACGTGTATTGGCCACATAACTCATTTATTCAACCTTAATAAGCTAAACGATTCTAGAAAAAAACTTCCTATTTCTCTACCTACTCTGACTAATAAAAATCTACATAACTACTACGGTATAATAAAAAAAAATTGTCTTCGATTGAACTTAGTCGGCAGTAATAGATTTTATGGTATGCTAGATAGTACTTTTAAGTATCGAGAGTCATCATGGCGTAGTGTATCGGTAAATTATTTCCATCAGTTATTTCTGATAGGTCACAACTTGGCTTGCAAATACAGTTTAGGCTAAAAATATCAAAAAAGTCGATTGACTGCTTATTTCTTTCTCTCATCTCAACAGATAAAACGCATTACTGCAATATTGAATAAATGGGTTAATTTAGTATATATCAGGTATAGTGATGAAGAATTTTACAGGCTTGTTTATGTCATGACGACGACTACTGTACCAACCAAATATTCAAATAATAATAAGTGCTATTTAAAGAAAAAATTGACTAGGGTGAAAAGTTGAACGTGATATATCAAGAATACTTTTAACTATCGCTCTTTGACTAGCATTCTTTCTTGATCCGTTGCAAATCTTCATCAACTGTTGTAGTAATAGATATTTGGAATAAAACACTTGAATGTAACAATTTTTAATCTTCATGTTAAAACAATACACATACTGTCGTCTACTTTAATATTGATCGTTTTCACAGAGTGAAAATAACATCATTTTTTTACAGAGCCACCGTTTATGTATTCTAGTGTCTAAAAAATAAAAACAATAGCCAGTGAAATTATATTGTGTCATATATTGGATGGTGCAGTATTGATTGATCAACCTCTATAACCAGATTATTATTCCTTACTATATCATATATCAGTTAAGGTCGAATTAAAGCCTTAATTTATACTATTTCTAATTTCTAAGAGTTCATGATGAAAAAGAAAATAAAGTAAAATTAGCGTTGGAATAAGGATAATATTCTTATACTATTGTCGTCTAATAAAATAGATTGATGGCGATAATAGAATACTATTAAATGTATATATATACGAGTATACTATAGTAAAATAGTGCTTCCATTTTCAGATCCATCATTGGTAAAATGCCTGTACATTGAGGATTGTTTCTCTGATGGTCTGATTACTTCTATCCTAAATTGGTTCAATTTTTTTGGATACAAATATTGGATTCTATCATTTCGACGGCTGTGGATCACATACAAATAAAGCAACGTGAGAATAAATGTGTTTTCAAGCTCTTCTCTAACGACAAAGTACATACTATAGTTTAATCTATTGGCCGTCTATAGACACAAAAGCAACAGCATCCCTAGCGGCTTCTTGCAATTTTTCTTTTGTTACTTTGATTATCATCATTATTGTTAACTACAGTACTAATCAAGTCAATCGTGACTAAAGAGCGTTGTAACAGTAGTTACAAATGTCACGAGTGTTTATTTGTAGATCAATGGTTTTGGTAGTGCTAGCATCGATGTCTTTATGCGATAACATCATTGATAATATCGATATTATCTCAATCAATCAGTCCAATTGGCAGCTAAATGATACATCCTATGAACCATTTGGTAACTGTGCACTTATTAACGACAATTCAGGAAGCCAACAACTTTTATCAATATCTATTGATCCAATTTACGATTGGGATATCATTAAAAACCATTTAAATCAATTTGAGAAAGTTCTTTCTAGATTTGATTGCCGAGACAAGAGTCAATATCGTTATTCTATGATTTGGAGATGTAGTGATTGTCAGGTAAGTTCTTATGGCAGTATATGACACTAATATAAATTTGCTTCCATTCAAAATTCTATTCAACCCGTATAGTGAACACTTAGCAATGTGATACTAACAATTTCTACATAATGGAGAGAGGCAGAAATAAATAGATCGCATAGAACCTTCATTTTTTTAAACGTGATTTTACTATATTAAATGGATGAAAATTATAATTACGTCTTAATAAACAACCGAGCGTTACCGCATTGATTAGTATGACAGACAAATAATAAATAATTCATGATAATGTTCAATGGCACATTTTGGAAGTCAATAAATTATAAATGTACAAAGAAGAGTCGATTAATGATCCTCCCTAACATGATTTTTATACCATGATTAAGCAACCGTCGTTTTTCTTCTTATCAGCTATCCCTTTATTTGGCCTTTAAATCAAAAGACGTTAAAATAAACAAATGCTATAGTAATGCCTATCGAAATGATAGGGTTGATTATAATTATTGTAATACTACATGTATATTACTATACCATAATGTGAAGTAATATAACCCATAAGATAGACTCTTTTTCTAGTCCTATCCATCACTTAACGTTAGTGTAGCGATCGTAACAATAATGTAGCATCCAATCTTGTACTTTAAGACCAATATCAAGCTTGCTCATTAAATAGTTACGCTACTGTCTTCATCAACCTACCATATCGTATATTTTAAAAAATAATACTTTTATCTCTATAACAATCAACTAGCTAGGCAATATAGTACGATTGTTTAATGTTAATAATTAATATAATTGCATCCCACTTTCTATCGTTTAACCTAAAATTCTATCTAATATTTTAAAAATTGTATACGAAACTCCGATATTGTATAAGTAGCTTACCGTATAATAGCTGCTTTATTTAACATTAAAGATTATTTTGATTAAAATTTATTTGCAGGCCGTATATTATATTTGGCTATATCTATCATCTACTGTTATTCAAGTCAATGGCACCATTATTAAACCATGTTTAGACGTTTGCAATAGCGTCTTGCAAAGATGTCCTTACCTTGCTGCAAGTTTACAGCACAGCTACGATGGTGAATCGGCATTTGATTGCCCATGTGAGTTAGAGCAAATAATGGCATAATTTGATCGTATAACCAGGATATATCGATAGTTTTTCACCATAAGAGTTGTATCCATTAACGTCTTATTAGTATCGCTTGGTTGCTCTCTATAGCGATAAACTAATTCGTATTATGCCATGTTTTATCAATTCTTTCGATCGTAAAAGGTGATACAATGATATTACAGTAGTAATACAAAAAAACTAATGTCCATGATCCTTTTTTTACTTTTTTAACAGCTGAGAACGCGGTACAAGCACTTGGAAATAGCAGTTATGCACTAACAAATTGTATTACATATAACCAGTCTATGCTAGATATGGAGAAAATGCAATATAATCTAACGTGTGAAGAGAACAATGTTTACATGACTACCGATGTAACCACAATCAACAAAACGCTCCATAATAATTTTGTAACTGAAAAAGATTTTGCATCCAAATGTCATTATCGATTGAACAGAACCATGTATGAATTATATGTAAAAACTGCTATTGTTAATAGTGCAGTTAGCATAGCAAGTTTTAGTATTAATACGGTAGTATTATCGTTTATTTATTTACTACATACTGTACTTAGATATTAACGGGACTATTTTTGATTGCTATGGCTTAATAAGTTGTCAGTAAATGCTGTAATATTGATCAAGGTAGCAACTACCATTCACTTATTAGAGAATAATAAATTTATACATTTTCAATTATGTAATTGCTTCGTGTACGTTTATGAAAGTTAGTTGACTCATAATTAGCGCCCCAATTTAGACGTAAAAAGCCGATTTGACTTTATAATAATACTGCACTCTCAGGAACAAATTCTTACCATTCTTGGTAATGAATGAATCTTGTTACAGGAGGCTTGCTGAGATTTATCCTAGATTGCCTTTATAATCTCCATCAATTAGTTTTTACAATCGTTGATACATCGTGCTTACTAGATACCTGTTTATAAAATTTTAAATGGATAGTATATTAATTTATAAAAATTTTCAAGGTATCTTACTTAAAATTGCAAACAAGTGCTCAATGAGTACCGTACTCTAACATGGCTCTTCCTGTTCTATGTCAATAATTTAATCTAGCACTTGATCAAACCAATATTTTTTAAAATTTGTTTTCAATCTTGCTAATTTTTTCTCACTAAATGGCATTATTCAGATAGTGATGCTTATTATCTTCGGACCAATCGATCCTTATTCTTGGGCACTCAGTGTCTAAAGAACTACAAAAAAGGATTAATTGTAGCGGTTTCGTCATGTTAAAAAATAATCTGTAAATAAATGGACTGTGCTGTTCTTTTAGATATAGGTACTGAATACTAATTGATCATTTTTACGTTATAAATAAGTCAATTTCCAGTGCTTGATTCATTTCTACTTAACCGATTTTTTAATGTGCATATAGACTGTTACCATCAGTACTCCGTTTATAAAAGCGATAAAATTATTCACAAATATGCTTGGTAATTTCTATTGCCATGTTTAATCGCTAGCTAGACGAAGCATTATATCAGCAATTCACTATTAACAATACTCAAGATTTCGAAGCATCTGAGTTGCGAATACTTATCTCGTATGTTACGTAGCAAAATGAAAGTATGTATCAACATCTAAATTAGCAGCTCTTACTGGTTAAAATATTGAGTAATAAGTCTTGCGTGATGACAAAAGTCAATACTGGCTCTTTATACATAATACATTAAGAATATAAAGCGGTATTTGAATATACTAGAGTAATATTGAACTATGTACAAATAATTACTATTTTTAAGCATTATTCTTTCTACTCAGTGCGTAAGTATTCGTGTATTAATTGATCAATTCAGTCCAACTTTTAGTTTAAATATATACACCCAAATGGGCTTGAAATATGGAATAAAACTGTTAGTTCTCAAGCGAAATAATGTCGAAGCTACTTTTGCTTTCATCAAATTAATCCCTATTTACAAGTACTACACGACGTCTATTAGTATTGTTTTAAAATAATGATAAAAATAATCTCTAGACAGTAAAAGTAATATCATATAACTGTCACTTATTAAATTGTACCGTATCGAAAAGTGATCTTGGGAAACTAATATCTCATATATTTGATCATATGCATAAGATCATACACTAACGGAAACAGAGCCTCTGGAGAATAACTATATTTGACTTAGCATTTATAGGAACGCACTATTTTATACATTATGCAACGTCTCTTAAATGGTACTGGAAAGATAATTTTCTGTGGTTTACATTCTACGGTTTCTGGCCTGGTATGCTGGTTGTGAGTTAGTGGTACAAAATGCAAAACTGCGATAACCTTTTAAAAAATTCTAATATGAGGTTTATGAAGTACATGAGCATAAATACATTAACAAATCTCCTAAACGTAGGAATAAGAATTATACGTTTTATTCAAGAAATACAATAGCAGCAAGACTAATGACATTTAAAAGTAAGTAACTCAACAGATAGATGCATCAACATTTTATTAAAGTAATGATTCTAAAATTCAATCAATCGAACCCTAAACAAATTGAAATAATTTCCTTTTACTGGCAATTACTAATTTTTTTTAATAAATAATTAATTTCAACTAAACTAGTCAGGGTTATCTGCAATTTTAACAAGGTACTAGTGGTTGAATATGGGTAGAAAAAGAATCTAGTGATTGACATCTCTAGACCAACTTTACGACGTCATGATATTTTCATCATTTTGTGTGGAACCTATTGTAATATTTATCGCCTATTTATATTTAGATCTAGACCAGAACTAAAGTTGCATTTTTAAATAGAAAATGCCTATAGAAGTAATCATAAAAATTTTGTTCTTTCTTGTAGTTTTACGCACAAAACATTGAATACATTTCCACGTCCATCATTAATTTCCAAATGTTGATTTTTTGCAAACTATACACCTACTGATCTCAGAACTAGTCGCTGATGCACTTAATACTTGTTGAGTTGGAGGATCGAATTGCTGACTTGCGTTAATGGCTTTCATCCAAAAACTTAGCCCTCCAACGGTGTTAATACAAGTTCCTCTAGAGTTACATTCGATGAAGGGTTGTGATCTAAAGTTACGTAAGCAAGAGCCAGGGGATTGTAATTGTTGGCCGGAACCTTGATTTCCAGTGCCAGTTTGCTAAAGTAAGTTTTATAAGATAACATTGGTTAATGCTAGAATATACCTAAATGTTTCATACATGTTCAAATAGTAAATCTCTATCTTGAATATCATCGAAAACGCCATAATTTTTGATTAGGATAAGAGAAAATATTTATTACACATTCTGAGAATCTTTGTAACATCACATATTACAAGCTATCATTTATTCATTTATTCATAAATTATAATTTCATTTTTCAAGCTTATTAAGCTACTATAAATCCCAAAAATACTTCTTATCCAAAAATGATTTCTAATGACTAGCAACTGTATTATACCAGGTCAGATATTATAAAAATAACAAATAATGCCTTACTGTATAAGTGTATAAAGTGATTTATAGCTTAGAAGAATGTACATTGCACAGTATTATATCTTTTATCAAGGATATGAAATTAGTTAAGAAATTATTAAGACTTCGCAATTTATGCTGAACGTATAACAACTGTTTACTACAAGGTCTATTCAGCTGTACCCATAGTCATGACCAAAGTAATCAAATTGCTTACCATAATGTAGCTGTACCCTTCCCATAACTGCTGCCATCCATTTGGACAGCTTGGAGCGGTACTAGTTTGACTATGGAATGCAGCAACTGGAGCGTTAGCTTCACAAACAGAGCATCTGTATTTATAAAGAATTAAAAATATTTTTAGAAGCCATTATTTACACTATAAAACTACGCTATCAGTATTGATTACCGTCCAATGTAAGGGGCTATGTTGGATCCAGAGATGGGTACATAAGATGGAGCAAGAGATGCAGATAACCAATAACTGACGCCCAATCTCGTCGCAATATCGCAGCGTTGATTTAATGAGCAAAACATATATGGCAATGTAGTAAATCGCTCTAGACAAGAACTACTACGGCCAAGATCTTGACCTATAGTCTGCCCATTACCTTCCACAAAGAGTAAGCTATAACCAGACCAAAGTGTGGTAAAAGGGCTGGGACATTGAGGAACTGTTGTACTTTGGCTATGTATAGCCATAACATCACCGATTTGATTATCTCCAGGTTGTCCACGGCCACCAGGATCCCCTCGTCGACCGCGATTACCTTTTTCACCCTTTTCGCCTGTTGTACCAATCTGCCCTTTATCACCTTTGGGGCCATCATTACCAGGAGGACCTTGCGGTCCTACTTCGCCCTTTGGGCCAAGATCACCTTTAGAGCCATTAAATCCACGAGGGCCAATAGGTCCAACATCTCCCTTTATTCCTGTATTTCCCTTATCACCTTTTATGCCTGGGCTGCCTTTTTCTCCTTGTTCGAGCACAAATACCGAGCCAGTTTCATTCATATAATACGATAATCCTCTTAAACCTCGTTGACCTTATTAACAGAAATAGGTACATTTATGGAGAAGTTATTGCTGCATTTGAACGATAGCTATAGTTATAATAACATTTTGAACTAGTAATCAATTCTAGACTATAAAATTGATTGCTAATAATGAGATATGACCGTAATACTCCATTTAAACCTTTTTCTCCTTTTTCTCCTTGCAATCCAATGTCTCCTTTTGCCCCTGTATCGCCCTTAGAACCGTTAAACCCAGGAGGACCCGGGTCGCCTTGAATACCAATCTGGCCTTTCTCTCCTCGATCTCCTTTAGTTCCATTAACACCTTGAATGTGATAAAGGAAAGTGAAAATTGCTTATAATCATGGTAATTTAGTACATTCTTGCAGTTTAAATATCTTTAATAAGTACTGCACTGGTAACGCAAAATTTACTTTCAAACGTCTAAGATAGGTTACCTTGAAAGCCAATTGGTCCTTTATCGCCTTTTGGCCCTGGATTAGTTCCATCGCGACCGTTAAGTCCAGGTACACCTTTCTCTCCTTTCATTCCATAGAGACCTTCTTCTCCTTTATCACCTTTCGGACCATCGAACCCTTTTATGAATACGTAAATGAAAGCAAATTATCGAAAACGTAAATTTCTTCATTAAATTTCAAAATATTCCAAATGATCAATTAACTTGTAGTACACACATAGTTTTCTTATCAAGTATCAATAATTGCAGTATTCATTTAAAATCTTTTTAATTTATCATTTTAAAAGTTTGTAGAGAGGTATTGCGAAACGAAAATTCCCTCTTGAACCTTACTGGCATTCGGTGTGCTAATTGTTTATATGCGCGCGATTTTATCACATTGATATTTATCGTAGTGTTAAATTCTCACCCTGATAATACTAGAAGTTATTAACGCAAAATTTCTATTAGTTTATCATTTTAGATTATCATGGATGATAGCTCAATTTTAATTCCTATCTGGTACTCCATAATAGTTCTTGAACTGCCTGTAGCATTTTATCATATTGGCATCTATTTTTACAATTACTATTAAATATCAGTAGATTTTACCTTAAATCTAGTTAGTTTATCGTCTTATGAGACTGCCGTAAAATGAAATGTAGCCCTTCAAATCTTATCTGTATTCCATCATCGACTATCAGTAACTATGGGTGTAATTTGTATTCCTAACTCAATATCAACAATTATGGCCTATAGTATTGATTAATTGAAGAATTACCAATTTATTATTCAAAGAAATTGATGATAGAGTACCAATATTGGCGATACGTATTTTAATACCCTTGGGTCATATTGGATAACTTTAGTTAGCTTAGATAAATGATAGCGTACGCTTCAGTAGCCAAGTCTATTAACTTACCATCAGTTCCATTAAATCCTATAGGTCCCGTCAATCCTATTGGGCCAGTTGCACCTTTCTCACCAGGCTCACCTTTGGGACCTGAGCCATCACCAATTGGTCCTTGAGGCCCAGTTCCTCCAGTATTTCCCTTTTCGCCAGCTGCACCTTGTGAACCTGTAGCACCTTTATCACCCTTAGGACCTACTGATCCTGCTAGGCCTGTTTCTCCTTTAGTACCAATATCACCTTGTTGTCCTATAGCCAATTCAAGAGATCAAAATATTGATTTTATGAAATACGAGGATATTGCTAATGCCAGCCTTGAATAGATCCTCAAATAGATTAAATAAATTGATTGTACCTTTATCTCCTTGCATTCCCTTACATTCACTACTACCATCTTCGCCTTTCGGCCCAGTTGGTCCAATCTCACCTTTGCTACCTAGAGGTCCTTTAGGTCCTCGTGGGCCTGCATTACCTTTATCTCCTTTTTCGCCTTTCGGGCCTATATTTCCTTGAAAACCCTGCTGACCCGCTTGGCCTAGAACAAAATAACCAGAATCTTGTTATCTATTTGAAAATTAATGAATATGTAGCAGCAATCTAGTATCTGTATACTTTAATTGTAATATAACAATTAACCAATATAATAACAAATCATATATAATAAACAATTAACGGAGGCAGTTGTATTCTACTAGAATTAAATAGGGAAAGTTTCATTTTGTAACCTTGAGGTCCTTGAGGGCCTTTGTCTCCAGTAAAACCGTTATCACCCTTTTCACCTTTATCACCTTTTGATCCAGTCACTCCAATTGGACCTTTAGGGCCTATAGGTCCGGTATCACCTTTAGGACCTGATTAGACATGTATAGGTTATTTGAGACAATATAATTAATTGCTAAAAAAAGTACCGCATTAGTCTATTTAATCCATGAAATGTAATTACCTATATCGCCTTTTAGGCCCTTTTCGCCTTGACTTCCTTTATCACCTTTATCGCCATCGGTACCATTAATTCCAATGGGCCCAAGTGATCCCTTATCACCTTTATTTCCTACAATACCCTGATCACCTTGAATGCCTTGATTACCTTTTTCCCCTTTATCTCCTTTGCCACCAACTTCTCCTTTTTGGCCTGGTATTCCGCTACTACCAGCCAATCCTCTGTTGCCTTTATCACCTTTGGGACCATCAATGCCTGCGATACCTTGCTGACCTAACGAATCGATCATGGAGAATTCAATTTAGAAATACTTTAATTCAGTAAGGCTGATAAGATTATTACATTTTACTTAATGCCAATTAACTACCCGCATCTGATATTTACACACTTAGAAATTGTATAAAACTGCTTCAAACGATTAATAATCGTTTTAAATCATTTTATATCTTTTAATGAGATTGGTAGACCACGAAAATTGTATTGGTATTAAGAATTCTTAATCATTTTAGATTTGCGTAGCTATTACCATAAATATTTCATCATTATATGAAAATAGCGTCTGAAATGTTGGTATGCAATGTTGCGCTATTTATATCTTAATTTAAATAATTGATCAATCTTAATGATGGTTTCATATCTTAATTTACGTAAATTTATTCAATAAATTGACATAAAATATCCAATTATGAGTTATAAAACCTACCCAGTAAGATTATTAACAATAACCTAAAATACTTTTAGAAATCGTAGCTATACTACAATAAATTATTCTAAGGTATGGATAAGATACGATATATATTCTTTTTTACATGGGAAATGATCACTAAATAGACAATATTTACTATTTGAATAACCCTGTATGAATTATACTAGTACTCGTATACGGCACACGGTCACAAGTACGTTAGCGATCAGGGCTATCTCGGAAAATTCGGCTATACTAAACTAGCGAACCTTTATCTCCTTTAGTGCCGTTCATTCCTCTATCACCAGTAGAACCTGTTGCACCTAAATCGCCTTTTTGCCCAAGCTCTCCTTTCTGGCCAGTGGCACCTTTGAAACCTTTCAAACCTTGTTGGCCTGTAGTTCCCGGTGCGCCCTTCTGACCTTTGCTTCCAGGTCTTCCTGGTATCCCAGGCTGACCAGCAAATCCTATTTATTTCGAAGTGAATGGTCATGAAATTAATATTACTATTGGAAGTAGAGTTAACACTGTTATGGACTGGTTATATATCGTATTCAAAGTTATTAAGCTACTAACATCAATTCTATATCGTTATAGGCATGCATTACCTTTTTCTCCTGTTAGACCTTTGCTTCCTTTCGGGCCAGCCGCACCTTGTAAGCCAGTCTCACCTAGCGGACCTTTTTCTCCTTTTGCACCTGTATCACCTTTAAATACCGACGATAAGAGATTATTAATTTCAAAAAGGATACGCATATAAATACATTAGTCAAAATCTTACAAAAGAATTAAAATCAGCTTTTACAAAGACTAAATATCAAGAAATTAATTTGTTATCAGATTTTGAATTTGAATCGAAAGTGAGGATTATAATTTATAGATTTAATATATTATATAATTAAAGTAAACTAGACAATAATAGTGCCAGCGAACATTGTATAATGAGGAAGTGTAGTCATTTTTTTGACGTTAATTAAGATATTGTGGCAGAAATAAAATTAAGTTTCTTGATAGCAGCTAGAAATTAATCAAGTAAGGAATTAATTAGCAGAACTCTTGGCAATTCAGCTGAAAATCATCCGTGCAACAATAAGAGTACCTTTCACGCCACGGTCTCCGATATCTCCTTTTTCTCCTTTTAAGCCGTCCGTGCCGCGACTACCCTTAGCTCCAGGAAAGCCAGCAAGTCCCCGATCACCTTTGTCTCCTTTAAATCCTTGCACACCTTTACTTCCTTTCGATCCTTTATTCCCTTTATCTCCACTAAGGCCACCTTGGCCTAAATTTTTCAATAGTATTTGGGAATAAATCTTGTTATCAAATTTTCGCATTAATTGAGCTAATTAAAGTGGGTTATAGTCTATTTAAATTTCAAACCTTTATCTCCCTTGTCTCCTGCAACACCTTTTGGACCAGGATTACCTTTATCACCCTTAGTACCTTTAGTTCCATCAATACCCTCTCTACCATGTAACCCTATCCATTTTATAAAGAGTTCATTTAACATGATTAAATATATAATCAATAATCCGGTTAATAGTGATATAATATTTATACATTATTTATTGATTAAGTTGAGGAGATATGCTGCATATGGTTATATGGAATAATATAGTCATTACCAGGCTCTCCTTTAGAACCAGCTTCGCCTTTGGGTCCTGGATCACCTGCAAAGCCTTGTTCACCTCGGTCTCCTTTCTGGCCTTTATTACCTTTAAAACCTTGGTTTCCTTTATTTCCTTTCGGTCCAGGTTGTTCTCCTTTGTCACCTTTATTACCTTTGATGCCAGTATTTCCGGGTTCTCCTTTAGGCCCTTGCAATGATTGCCCTATATCGCCTTTATCTCCTTTCGCTCCTTGATCACCCGTTTGACCAACAACTACCGATGAATTTCCCGGTGGTCCAATAGGCCCTTTTTCTCCCTTAGTTCCTGCTATGCCAGGCTCTCCCTTAGCTCCAGTATTTCCAGTTTGTCCTTGATCGCCTTTACTACCTTTCGTTCCCTTCTCTCCTTTAATACCGGATATACCTTTTTCGCCCTTGATACCTTTTTCTCCTTTATTCTGTGCTGTTGATACGATAGGTTCACCTAAAAGGGAAAAATTGATAGTTCATATTCATTTTAATTGATGTTGCGAGAACGAACATCTAGCTGAATTAAAATCGAGACGTTAATCCATCTAGATATGGACAAATTAATCATTTTCTACCTTTTTGGCCTTTTTCTCCCAATGTTCCAGTTATACCTTGAATACCTGTATCACCTTTATCACCAGTTGGTCCAAAACCATCGGTACCATTAACACCTGCTGCACCTTTGCTACCCGTAGGACCAATATTTCCTTTTTGTCCTTTTTCTCCAGTTAAGCCTATGTCACCTTTAAATCCCTAGTAAAAGTTTAAGTCGAAGATAGATACGGTATTCCAAATGATAACATCCTAGTTTACATTAGCTCAGGCTAGCTTTAACGAATAGGAATAGGTATTATTTAGGCAGATACCTGTTGACCTTTTTCACCCTTACTACCAGTTGTGCCTGTATCTCCTTTAGTTCCGTCAGGTCCAATTGATCCTTTATCTCCAGTAATGCCAGTATCTCCTTTCTGTCCAGGTAAACCTTTTTGACCTTTTTGACCTTTAACTGATTCACCTTTATCACCTTTTGCTCCATCTTGTCCAGGATCACCTTTGTTACCTTTCAAACCCTACAGGGTGATTAATGTTATACTGAACTCGCACATTATGCCTGGTTTCGTAAAATGGAAATGAATTAACTCTTACTGGCTCTCCTTTTGGTCCACGTTGTCCTATCTCTCCTTTATCTCCCTTGCTGCCATTTACTCCAGCTGCTCCTTGAGTTCCATTTAAACCTGGTGGGCCGATATCTCCAGTTGTGCCTAAGCTACCTTTTTCTCCTTTCTCAGGGATTGGGCAGGCCATGCAAGCATCTCCTTTTTGCCCAATTAATCCTGGTAGACCAGGTACACCTTTGGGGCCTGTTGCTCCAGGGTCACCAGCTCTACCTGGAGGTCCTGATATTCCAGGAGGGCCTTGTACAACCGTTGAATTACTTCCGCCACTTATTCCAGGTAAACCTATCCATACATATATATTTAAGTAATTAAGATACATAAATCAATTGACGATATTACTGCTATTTATTTTTACGTACATTATGGAATTCTAGTTTGCACTGCTGCGTTAGAGCTGATTATATCATATGATACGATATTAGTAGCTTTTACCTTGAAGCCCACGGCTTCCCTTTTCACCAGTTGCTCCAGAATCTCCTTGAGGACCCTGATCACCTTGAGGCCCTTGTATTGAAGCTCCAACTGGTCCAGTATTTCCTTTCTCCCCGGAAGGACCTGACTCACCTTTTTGCCCAACCTGTCCATTGCTACCGTCCATTCCTAATCATCATGTATTTTACAGCATGAACATATCTATCTCTTTCTATATACATATATATATAGTGATCGGATATGGAGGTATTTTTGCTATTTAATACGCTACTTTGCAGCTTAGCTATAATGTATCAGGTTTACAAACCACTTAGACATTAAAAATTATTTAAAAATGCAATCACGGAAGATGCTAAATTTTCGCAAGTAATGCATGGATATACGCACCTGATTGACCTGGTTCTCCTTTCGTTCCTTTAGGTCCAATAGGGCCAGATGCTCCAGATGCACCTTTAGATCCAGTAGGACCTCGCTGTCCTGGCAATCCACGAGGTCCAACATTACCTTTTGGACCTATAGCGCCTGGATCTCCAGGAGGACCAAAACCTTGTCCAGGGCCTGGAGGTCCCTGAATATGACAGAGAATAACAATTTGATACCATGAAGTTGATGAAGTATATAATAAATTTAACTACTATGAATTTGAGTGCTTAATTACGACGCAAATACGCGTACTTGCAGATCGTATTAATTAATTAAATCATTAATACATTTGTATAGTATCCTTACCGGCAATCCTATTGGGCCAGTATTACCTTTTGTTCCTATTGGACCTCGTGAACCCTAATAATAAAGATCCGATACTCTAATTAAAGCGCTTGATTGAGTAGAGCACAATCGAGCTACTGCAGGTAAGGAATACTTACATCACGACCATAAGGCCCTTCTTCTCCAATACTACCAATGCTTCCAATGTCACCCTAGGCGGTTAATTTGAAATCATTGACAGGATGGTATTCGTTATTAAAAATTAAGCAGCTCATTTTTAAGAATCCGTAGAAATTGCATTATCCAGTAAATACCTTAATGCCTTGAATACCAGTATCACCTCGAGATCCTTTCTCTCCCTATCGATATCACATAACAGATAATCATAACATGTCTTGTAATCATTAGTTTTAAATCGTTAGAGCTTGGGTATTATAACAGTTGCTGCAATTAGCTATAGAAACGACGGATAGCTAGTTGTAGAGTAAATAATTTACCTTAGGTCCAGTTAATCCTTGCAAGCCTTGCGGTCCTGCAGAACCTTGATTACCTGCTATACCCTAAAGCAGTACACAAGATTGAAAACACGCATACAAGATGGTTAATAATGACATATTAGCTGTCATTGTGGGCGAAATAGAGTAAGCAAGTCTTAAAAATTCATGGATACTATCGTAATTCATATCAATACAAAATGGGCGTATTTTTTCTATACGGCATTACTTGAGGTCCTTCCGGGCCGATTTGTCCTTTTTGTCCTTTATTACCTTTAATTCCCTACAACATAGAAAACTGTAAATATGAATAGACTGACAGTAGAAATCTTTAATCCCTTTGAAGGAGATTAAATGGCTTTATTTGCCAGTTATCATCGCAGTTGGATAAATCAAAAAACGCCTAAATTATCTAAAATTATTGAAGCATTGATTATGATAGCTAGTCTTATTATTTACCGGCTCTCCTTTTTCACCTTCTATAGGCTGTATTTATACGTATAAACAGCAGTGGAAGAACGAGTGCTCAGTAATAATCAGTTAGACGTAAGTAATAAAGAGAACAAGAAAATTATTAATACCACAGTAACGTTGGTTGAGTTATCAACAGTAGCTGCTGCTACACTGGCCCTAGGTACCACACTTAACATTTGATAAACCTCACCAGGTGGTCCAGGCGGTCCTCTTTCACCCTATTATTTTTTAACGAGAAGGATTGCGGTAAAGATTGCAGCATGTACATTGTGCGTATAGCAAATCCTAAAATTCTTCAAGTTAAGTATATTGTATATGTAACACTCGAAAAGCCTATCATCACTTAGTTATAGATATGACCTTTTCGCCCTTTTGCATAGGGATTACTGTGGGTGATTCTAAGTTTGTTCGTAGCTGAATAGTATTCCCATAGCCGATATAGGATAGAATTATTGCAAAGATGAACATCATATTGATTAGTTACATGATCGTAAAGCAATCATTCGATAAAATAAATATTCGAAATCAGCTAATAAGCGTTTGTATACGCAGGTAATATCGACTAGTATAAAGCAGGGATAAATATTAGAATGATTAGCTTTATGATTATTAAGTTTAGCGAAGCACATACGCACTGGGAGTAAGTAGATCTCATCTAACTCTACTGACGATGTAAGATAGATACAAAAGCAGAAACTTATACGATAATGATTAGCAGTATGATCACTAACTAAGCAACCGATAAAACAAATACACAAGATAAACTGCTATATATAGAATCAATGCAAGATAGAATGAAGCAAAATGAAGATTATAATTTAATAAGAAAATTGGATATACGGTGATAAATAGTTTAAAAGTGGATAAGATAGAACTATGCTGTAGATGCTAAAACTGTCATCTACTGATAGATCTTGCTAAATAGCAATAAAATTTATAGGTAGATGCTAAGCCTAGCAGTTATCGGCGATGAATTATTTTCTGTATGTACTAGATCGCACAGTATACTTATTGAGTTAAAAAACTGAAGAAAATGAATAAAGATAGGATTACGTGCTATATTAGTTCGATCATTGATTAATTGCTATGTTAAAGGTTACATTTAAGAGCAGATGTTAAACCTTACGACTATTAAACGATAATTTTATATAGTAAGTGTTAGAAATCAGTTGCTTAAAAGAAATTGATCGCTGAAAAAGACAATTGCTATCGATATCGAATAACTTCTGTAAGTAATGATTATGTAGAGCATTTTGTATTTGAGATAGAAATTAAAGAAAAATAAACGTGCATGTGCTATATATTAAGATAGTTCATAACTCATAGATTAATACATTATTTTAAATTTCAAAGCAGCTGCTAATCCTGATATCTGTCGAATGTTATTTATAGCAATAAGATGATGAACGTAGCTTAATATTTATTACTACAAATTAATAAAATAGAACATATTAAGATACTATAGAAGATAGAATAGATGAAAATTTAAGCCAATTATATTTGCCTATATATCACACTGAATGTTCAATGTACCTCTTGTGTTTCTGCATTTCTTACATAGGCAATAAATACAATAAAAATGACTATTTGCCTAAAATGAAAGGAAATAACGAGATAATTACTCTTTTATAGTCTCAATTTGAGATATATGAGCATGATAAGCATGGTTGATGAAGAATAAAGTTTACATTATTAGCAATTAGGGCCAAGAGGGGACTATTGACCCTTGACTATTTTACTATGATGAAATTTCAAAATTATATTAAATTACTTACTTCAACATCCCTTGAGTTGAAAAAAGGGAGTTAGTCCGATTGGAATAATTTTACTTCAAATGATAACCTCAGAAAACCTTAAATGGAGGTAAGAATTATTATTATAGTAATTTAGCAAATCTATCCACTATTACTAGTCTATGATCGTGCAAGGGATGGCCAACAACTTTAGTCATAAAGTACAATAATTGAATAAATAATTTATATACATATATATGCAAATAGATACATCTTTGGATAGATTACGTGCCTCAGTATCGATTAACTTCAAATTTTTGTATTTGCCCTTATGATAATTAGCACAAGATTAGTCTGTCGATCGATGATGTCTATATAACATCTCATTCCAAAGTTAGGACATACAATCGCAGTAGTTAGTTAGAAAGTGTCGGCGAAGATATTATCATTAAGATAAATTGAGTGCGAAGGGCGAAGAATGCTGGTCATGATCGTTAAAATGGCACCCAACAGTGTATCTCACGCTGACATCGCTAGCTAAGAATGCTGTTTTCTATCTATCTATCAATAATATGCATATAGATCAATGAAATTATCAGTAGCAAACCCAGATACATATTATGGTTATGTCAAGGTGATTTTATTAACACCAAATCGACTTTAAAAATCCATATTAATACTGTATTATTGCAGAATTCATTTGACTTATTCCAGGTATTAATTTTTTGTATATTACTGATACAATGGCTTATTCCATTCGATTGATAGTTTACAATATTAATGAGCATTCTCTTGATGTTTATATTTTTTAGGCTACAGGTACAATGAGTGACTTCTTTACTTGAGTTGTTGCATAATTTATAGCGGAAATAAATATAATTATCGAGCTGCTGCCGAATGGTGGAACAGCTGAGGTTGAAATAGGAATACTGAAATGATTATTTTGAAGATAGAAATTTTGTTGATATTTTTCTTCTCTATTTGAACTACAAATTGTCTAATGGAATGGATTTCCATAGCTAAAGTTACTACTTAATTAAGATCAGCAAGATCATTAGCATCATCCGAGAACATAAAGATTTATTCTCAATGATTTAAGATAGAATAGAGGGTAGGAAACGAGAAATTTACTACCGTTATAAGTGAAGAAACGTTTCTAATTAAAAAACGATTAACAAATATAGGCTATAATAGTCAAGTAGTTAGAATTTTATATGGATTAGATGTATAAAACCCTTCTGAAAGTTATATAAGAGCTTTGTACTCAAATCGTGATGCATAAACCAATTGTGGCGATTGATCAGTATCACACATTCTTGTTTTAAATTATGTGAGTATTGAATGATTTTATTGCAGGATTAGCAAAGGGAAAAGAACGAGATGAAATTCTCTAGTTTATGCTATCATATAATGTAATTAATACACAATTAAAATAATTGGACAATTCTACTAGATTAAATTTCGCATTAATAACTAATTTAGTATCGTAATTAGCCATAAAATGAAGGCAAGTAAGGTACTATTAAAAATTGTTTAAAGCCATTTAGGAGCATGCGAACGTAGTAATAAGAGAGAAAATGGTAAGAAAGATAGGAAAAACCGTATCGATTTATGCATTAAATTTATTATCCAGCTTAATGAATGCGTTATGCACTTAGGTAAAAGATATAATTCAGAGAATTGGAGTCTAATATTTAAGAGGTTAATTTATAATTTACTAAAGAACAAATGTGCAGGGCAAGTATGCGTAAGTTGTAAATCTTTTGGCTCTGCAAAGATTATGTCAAGCCTTATTAGTGAATATGCCAAGGCAGAAAGAATGGTAATGAACTTAACTCAAAAAATAACTAAACTCGATCGCTAATATCTTAGCAAAGATTGTGTAAACTCTTCAATGACATATCAAGGATGGAAAGCTAATAGGCTAAATGTAAAGACATTTTGATGATTCATCAGAGATAGAACGTTAACAAATTTATGCCATTAAATTAATATAGAGATCGACCGAAATTGTTTAGTGGCATTCCAAGGAGTTGAAGCTAACAGATTTAGTCCAACAAGGAATACTTTCATTAATATTAACACAGAAATTGTATCTATCCGTTTTAGTAGCATAATAAAAGCAAGTTATTGGGATAAAATAATAGTAGACTTGATCAGGAGTAACAATATCAACTTTTAGTATCAACACAGAGATTGTATGAAGCCATTTTGATATCATATTAGGATAAATTGCAGATGAGTGAAGTAAAAAAACAACTTCGATTGCATGCTTAGAATAGAAAATTAGTTGCCTTAATTGAAGGATACTATGTTTTCATAGACACAAAGATTGCATTAAGCTCTTTAAAATGATATATTAAGGGTAGAAAACTAAAAAAATAGCACTTAATTAAAAGTTACTCTAATACAAGGCTTGCTATAAAGTAAGAGATGAAATAAAAGTAGATAGTTGCACGAGAATCGCACAACCAAAAATCTGCACAATAAGATGCCTATGGATTCCGTGAACTAGCATAATACCGTATCCATTTTAAGTAGTAGTCAGATAGTATACTATCTTAAGTTATTAATTGTAAGGAAATCAGGAAAGGAGGTGAGAAAAATGTCTATTTCCTGCTTAAATAATCAGTAGATCCTGTAGGGGGTATCATTAAAAATGACCATGTGCGTCAATGAAAAGATCAGGCCGACATATTTTAAATCATTGCAATTGTAATAATAATCACCATCAAGTATTTAACAAATGAACTAATTAGATATCAAGGTCTATGATTGACTAGTAATCAACATACGCTATTGCATACTGCTGTGTCGAAATGGACTTTCTAACTCTTCTATTTGTTTACTTTGATAGCATGTCGTTGAAAGCACGCATTCAATAACAAGATAATTAGATGGATGACCTACAGCTATGACTTGAATAATTAGATCTACTGCTATGAACTTAATCTAGCTCTATTGCTATATCTGATGGATCGAATCGATCAGGTGTTACTATAACCGATGCAAGATGCAACTGCCTAATAAACTTAACACGAATTCATCCTATTGGGCTGTCCAAACCAACAGAGTAAATCAGTGAGATTATTGACATTATTTGTCGTGATTGATATCCTCGACAAGTATAGGCCACAATATTAGGGGCGTGGTAAATTCTCTCTACTCTAATGATTGAAACTCTTCAGCTATAGTCTCTTATTAAATCTTTCAATATTCAAGGCATTTACTTTAAATTTGGCTCAAACTCCACATCAGTAGCTGACTAAAACTCCGAACAATTGGCCCTTGATGTTTTTATGAACTTTTACTACAGTATTGAGTTATTTGTAGGAAATTTCTAGTACAAACCATAAGTCACTAGTACATGTACGGCCGGTTCAACCAGTAGATACTAGAAGCCACGCCGTATATAGTAGTGGTCTGTGCCAAGAGCTAATAAAGAAATATTGACTATTACAACTTTTAGTGATAGTTGAATACTGTTTAAATCGATTGGGTACTACCATCGTTCCGACTTCTATCACCTTGTTATAGAAAAGAGAAAACAGCTGAAAACTAAATCATTCTAAACTGGTATATTGGACAGCTTGGAAGATTGATTTCAACTAAGATAATTTGGAATTTATCTGGGATTGATCGCCTAATGCAATACACGTAATGTAATATAACCTTTTCCGTATCATGATGAGAAAAGCCAAGATATTCATTATTGCAGCATTACTATGGTTATGCTTA